GTGGGAAGCTGTGGGGGAGCAGGAAAGCTGGGGCATCGGTTCCCTCCCCAGCTGTGTGACCTTCTGATCGCTGATGGAGCCGGCCTTGCATCCAGACCGCGACCCTGAAGCTCCCGGTCACTTGTGTTAGACAAACTCAAAAGGCGTCTGGAGGTGTCAGCTAGAAATAAATGATAAAGATTTATTCATGGGTCTTGGGGTTTGCAAGCCGTAGACACAGGCAATACCAAGAATGTTCAAAGAAGACAGAAAAGCTAAGAGCTCTCATAGTGAAACGTACCTTCTTGAGAAGAGTCAGTCCTGCATTCTTACCCTCTGGATTGGTCCTTGATGGTGACCTGCTACCTGACCGCTGGTCTGGATGCGTGGACCATCCTTCCTTAGCCGTTCGGGAGCTAATCAGAAGGTTATCTGAAGTGGTCCAAGTACCCATCTTTGGCCGCTCTACTTTTTTTTCTCTCTTTTTTCCTTCCATAGTACATACCCCTCCTCTTGCTTAGTAAACATTGATAATATGATTGTAACTGGAAGATTGGTAAATATTGATCATTGCTCAGGGTACTGTGATGACATTTCCTTTTCTGGAATTCCAAAACCAAAATTCTAATAACACTGAAAGAATATTCAAATATTAATACCACGATTTAGTTCGCTTCATATTTATATAATGTCTTTCTTGCACAGATTGTTCTCCTGGAAGTTTCTAACTGCTTTTTCTTCTTTTTTTCCTCCGCAGAAGAAACCAAGTCTATACCATCATCACTGTACCCTGGTTTTTGTTTTTGTTTTTTCAGCTTCCGACTTATTCTCTCAATATTTATTCTGTCCATTCTCCTTGAAACCTACTGAATTCCTCTTCTAGTTCGGGCCGCCTTCTTTTTATTTGGACCATACTTTCCTAATACTACTGTTTCCCCCTATACTTCCAGGTTGTCTTTCTTTTGTCCTCACATTCTGTTATTTTGGAGAGTAACAGTAATAAGTGAGGATGAAAAGAGAGTTAAATGAAGGGCCAGTAGACAGAAAATAACCCCCAGCCCAGCCTCTGCAGACAGAACTGCATGTGGCATTGTTGGTAGGCCAAAAACTAAACAGACAATCTCTCTCTCTCTCTCTCTCTCTCTCTCTCTCTCTCTCTCTCTCTCCACATGGGCATGCCACCTCACAGGAGCTTCCTCTGAAGACACTGAATAAGTAGTCTAGCAAGACCAAGGGCAGTTTGTGCAGGTGCTGATACCCTAAAGCAGTTGGCAGATCAGCCAGCAGGCCAGACCCGCCTGCCAGCCGTTCTGGTGAGGCCTGTGGGCTAAGCATGGTTCTTAGATTTTTAAAAAGTTGGGGTGACCAAAAGGAGATTAATATTTTGTGGCATGTAAAAATTACATGAAAGCCACATGCCAGTGTCCATAAACTGCTCTGTTTGGAAACACAGCCACACTTGTTTGTTTGCTTATTGTCTGCAGCTGCCCTAGCAAAGCCCGTACGTGGTGTGCTCCTCCTCACCGTTCATTGCTGCTCGGACACTGCAAATGACAGGCAACTGAAACCCAACAGCATTTTAAGTGCCACCTGTAGCTGTATGCCATGTTATTTTAACCTTTAAAATCAATTGCCAGCCCTGGCCAGGTGGGTCAGCTGGCTGGAGCATCATCCCGTATACCAAAAGGTCACTGGTTCGATTCCCAGTGGGTTTGATCCTTGGTCACGGAACATACAGGAGGCAACCGATTGATGTTTCTCTCTTGCATGTTTCTCTCTTCCTTTGCCCCTCTTCCTCTCTCTCTCTCTCAAATCAATGAACATATTCTTGGGTGCTGGGCTTAAAAAATTAAATTAAATTAAATAGTAAAGTGAAATAAAAATTACCGGAGCAAACTATCATCAAAAACAAGGAAAAAAGAAAAAAAAAATTGTTCTCCTGAGGCAAAGTGGAGTATGAATTATCCTGTTACTGAATTAGATGGCAAAGCCTTGTGTTTACTATGCAATGACACTGGAATTGTGATAGAAGAATACAATGTAGATAACATTACAGGGTTAACCCGTCTTCACAATATTCCCAACTCATAGGAAAATAAAGTATCAGAAAAATAAGAAAATTTAAAGCAGAGTGTCTCATCACAGCAGAATTTGTTTATCAATTTTAAAGAGTAAAATGAAGCTACAACGAGAGGAAGTCTCCAAGGAGCTCATTGGTTAGCAAAGCAAGGGCAGCCCTTCACCTGGTGACCGAGATCACAGTTGGCTGCAGTGGGATGAGAAACGTGCCCTGAGAAAATCCGTGTCACGCAATCAGCCCCGGACTTTGGCGGCAGCATCAATATCAACCGAAGAACAAGGCCAATGATTCCTAGCTGTTTTCCATGGCTCTTAAAGTTATTGATACTGATCAGTTCTTAGATCAATATTTATGAGAGCATCAATGCCAAGTTTCAAACGAAAGAGTTTCTATGAATAGTCTGTATGAAACAACTAGAGGTGATGTTTTCAAAGAAGCTGAGAATCTAGTCATTCTGTTCAGACCGAAAGTGGAATCTGCTACGATGTGTAACAATTGGCAGTGGGAAAAATATGAGGTCTGTTAGGGAAAAGCCCAACCGTCGTCAATATAACAATAACAGCTTGTGCGGCATCAGTATAACCTGGCAGCCAAGGAGAGTGGACTGGAATGCACATGTGTGAACAGTGACGACGTCACTGTGCTAGTCGGGGGGCGGGGTGGGGGGGAGCGCCATTGAGTGAGCGTGTGTGAGTGCGAACGTGGCCGTCACCTTCAAAATGACCGAACGAGTAGAGCAACGGATCTGCATCGGATTTTGTGTTAAGCTTGAAAATTCCTCCGCAGAAACTATTGGGATGATCGGAAGGCCACAGCTCTGGGCCACTGGTGATGGGCAGCTTATCATGCCCATGTGCCCGCTCGTGCATCATGACTCCGGCAGAGTTTTTGGCAAAACATCAAGTCACCCAGATGACTGAGACCCCCCTCCAGCCCAGATGTGGCACCCTGCGACTTCTGGCTTTTCCCAAAACTAAAATCACTTTCGAAAGGGAAGCAATTTCAGACTATCGATGAGATTCAGGAAAATACAGTGGGGCAGCTGATAGGAGTTGGGGGAACTATGAGGTCCCAAGGTGCCTACTCTGAAGGGGTCTGAAGTATCATTGTCCTGTGTGCAATGTTTCTTGTATCTTGTATCTTTTTCAATAAATGTCTCTTTTTCATAGTACATGGCTGGCCTTCTGGACAGACCTCATGTGTGTGGAGCAGAAAAAGGCTTAGTTGGACAAATGTACATGATTTGTGAAAATGATGCTTAAAGGTTGTGGTTATTATCAATTGGCAAACACTATGGAAAATACTTGAATCTCTCTTGTGTAATTCAACCATGAACTTTTCTTGCTCCCGTATAGTTAACCATCATCATTTCTGTGAAATTGTGTTAGAAATAGATGGTGACTTCCCCTCTCACATGGCAGTTAGAGAGGTTGGCAGCAGTAAAATTTCACTGCGATTTTTAAACTCAGGGCCAAGACCGAAATTTTTCTGAACAATAACCTCCTTCAGCCACTGTTATTAAACATTGAATGGCTTCGGAAATCAGCTTTTGCAAAGTTGATACTGGATTATCAAGTTGACATTTACTACCTATTATTTTTATGTTGTAATAATTTAGAAATTGAATTTAAATTCTAATGATTGAATTAGCTTTTGATAATTTTATATTTATACTGTTTCATACTAAAATCAACTTAATATTACAAGGCAAAAGAGCACATGTACGAGAACCTCATTTACACTGTAGTAGTTACGTTCACAACAACGAGTGTTTCAGTCACAGGTAATGTCAAGCTACTTCATACGCTCCCCATACTACTAAAAGTTAAAACAAGATGTAAGAGCTTCCTTCTCTCACAATTTTGCTGCAGACATATTTTCTGAGGTCCATCTACAGTCCTAGTAGTTTCCTTCCCTACTCTACCTCCCGCTTATGGTGAATTTATCCTTTTCAAAAATTATTTTAGCTTTATAACATTGGGTCTCCAGAGGAAAGATAAACATATTTGCTGTCTAGAACTAGTAATAACGAAATCATAAATTCATGTGGGCTTTTTTTTGTTCATTTTATGTTAAGAGCTAATAATTCTGTTTTACTGCTGAGCTCTCGTGGGGCCCCTGCCTCCTCTGCAGGGCCTCAGGGTTCGGGGCCGTCGTCGCCTGCAGCAGCGCGGAGCCGGTAGTGCAGAGACACAAGTATAATGATAACGCAATGCCCTAGGATGGTAATGGCGGTGTGTGCAAATGCTGTGGGAGTGTAGAGGAGGGGATGACTATTTTCATATGGAAAGTAGATGAAGGTGTCTCCAAAAAAAAAAAAAAAAAGATAGAACTGGGTCTTAGAAATGAAAGCCAGAAGTTCAGCGGGTAGAGAAGAGGCTCTCCAGGCACAGGCAGCAGCGCGCACGCAGGCATCCGGGCGCAGACCTCAGGCCCCGGCTGCACGTGGCTATGCAGAACGCGGGGAGTGGCAGGAAGGGAGGCTGGGAAGGTAAGTTGTGACCAGGTTACGAAGGGCGCTGGAGAGGGTGCCCTGAAAATCTGGTCTGGGATGCAAATCTCTAGTGCAATAGAGTTGGCTCATAAATTCAAGTAACATCATATCCTAGCAGGTCATTTAGTGATAAATGAGCCTATGTGACATACATTTTCATTACTTACACTTCCTCTTTACTCGATATATTTGCATTATTACCACACCTGGCACTAGTGCAAATTCAATGGAGACAGAAAATGCACTTAAGTTTGAGATTTAGAAGTTTTTATAGGAGGAAAAGATTTTTAAGAGGTATTGAAATGGCCTAAAAAGGGAGTCATGCTTGATTTTTGTCTTCACAAGCTTTAACTGTTTTTTGTTTGTTTGTTTGTTTGTTTGTTTGTTTGCAAATAGCCTATTCAATTTGTTATTTTCTGAAACCTAAAATTTTCTTTTTTTTTTTAGTGGACAGAAGACTGCAGAAAATCAACTTATCCTCCTTCTGGACCAACGTGAGTAAATATCAGATGATCAAAACTCACATTTTCCAGTGTAACAATCTCAAAAAAATAATGGCAGTGAATAAAATTTAAGTCATGTCCTCTGTCTAAGAAAGACAAAAAAAATGTTTTTTCTCAGGCTTATGCATTATGTGTTGGACTAAGACCCTGGGCAAATATGAAATTACACCATGATACTATATCCATTTCTAGCCTATCAAAATTATAGAGAGGGGGAAAAAAAAGGTTCCCATTCTCCACTAAATTCTTCTGTCTACTGCCGGGCATTTCACTCATCCTGAGAAATGTGGAGCTGCATTGTGATTTTCTGTGGTTCCTGAGAGTAAACTGCCAGATTTTATTGGAACAAAAAAAGTGTAGGATCTTATCTGTGAACCATTCAAGAAATAAACCCTGGTATGATAATCAAAGCTATCGAGGGAAAAACAGGATTGGAACCCAGGAGGGAGGGGCCCATATCCTGCTTCAGTGTATTCAGTGTTAATAATTTTAGTCCAGTTAGAGGGATGGCCTTTGCAGATGCTGGGGCTCCACGGGTCTGTGAGGAAGGCAGGAAAACAGCTCACCTTCCCAGAGGGTCCCCGGGTGTGGGAAAGAAGGAAAGGGATGGAGCAGGATAATCCTGTTTGGCCTGCCCCTCCCCTGGATGAGTGTCGCCTCCTGGGCGTGGGAAAGGCAGAGGGCAGCGTGAACCAGGGGTATCAAGATGGGTCTTCGGGTTTTGTAGCTCTCTCATGATATAATTTTATGAACTGATGTCACCCCGATAAATTTTTTAAAAACTATGCCAAAAATAGCCAGCATTTACCCCATTATTACTCTGCTCCAGAAAAGTGCTCTCATGATATATTTTGTGCTGCCCTTGCCTAAATTAGGTATCCTAAATAGCCTCTGTTCCAGATGCAAAGAAACTGTAGTAAACTAAAGTCTTTGATTTACTCACCTTTCTGTAGAAAGAGGATAGAATTTGGCAGGAAGTCATTTAGAACTAATTGGTTTCTCTTTTTCCAAAGCCGGCGCCCAGTCCAGCCCGCGCTGATGGCTCGCCCTCGCCAGGCCCCCCTTGCTGTCCCCACTAGCGGCATATTAGTGTTCAGTGTTTTATCGACTGTGTGCCTCGCTTGGCTGGTCTCAACCGCCCTAACTCATTGAACATTTAATGATTGTGTTCCACATTCGAGGCTTTTCTTCTATTCCCTTTTTTAAAAAACTTTTTATTTGTTCATGTTTAGAGAGAGGAGAAGAGAAGGAGAAAGAGGGGGAGAGAAATATCAGTTGGTTGTCTCTCGCATGCCCCCTTCTGGGGGCCTGGCCCACAACCCAGGCTTGTGCCCTGCCTGGGAATCGCACTGGCAAACTTCTGGTCGCCAGTGGCACTCAGTCCACTGAGCCACATCAGCTGGGGCATCTTTTATTCCTTTTTATGCTTATCTTATATGTGTCTATGAACTGATTGCCCCACAAAACTTCCCTTTTAACTGGTTCCAGATTGCTGTGTGTATGTATGTGTGTGTGTACATGTGTATTACACACATACACAGATAAACACCATCTTCTTCTATGTATACATCTACATATGTGACTATTTTTGCCCTGGTGTTTCTGCGGGATTCCTCCCCACCTCGCTAGCCTGTCCCCAACTCAAATCCTCAGCTCCGCTGGGATCCTTCTCCCCTCTGACCTCTCCGTGGATGCCGAGATCTGGAAGAGAAGCACCTCGAAGGGCGGCAGATCCTCCCGTACCTTTCAGGTCATCCTTTTCAATCCAGTGTGTAGATTCTGGAGATGTGTGGGGGCAACTGTGAGGGAGGAAAGAAAACACCTGTTTATCCTGCCTGACCAGTCGCTTCCGTGCTGGAGGTCCAGGCCTGGCAGCCGGAGCGCCCCTGAACCCACCCCTGTGCCATTAGCATTTCTTCGCTGCTGCTCAGCGGTGCTCAGCATCGGCGCTGTTAGTCGTATAGGCATGTGCCGTGCCGCTTGGACCAGTTCCCAAACCACCCGGGGCGCCAGCGGGGTTCAGTCAACCTTAATATGGATGATGCTGACCTGGGCGCAGCCAATGCTGTCTCCAGATAGTTGAACGTTTATTGTTTGTGGTGAAGTAGAAAAACATCCCACCGTAATTACTGTCGATTGAAGACTGATGCTGCTAGGTGTCCTCTGCATAGTTCATGGCGTGCTCATTGTCCGCATAAGACTGGTACTAGTGATTTCTCTAAGAAATGGAGATGCCGATGTTCAATCCTGAGCTATTTTAGAAAAATAGTTAAAGAGAAGTAAAATATGGGATTATGGCTAAGCTTTAGTTATTAAAATAACTTTCTTAATCAGAGGAACAGTTCTTTCAAAGAATTCTGGTTAATGGAGGTGTCATTGTAGGGAGGTTCCTGGGGTCCCCCATCCCCATTTAATTTAATCCTCCACTGTCATGAGTATGTTCTTTCTTTAGAATCTTTGAGCCTATCCAAGGGTCTGGGCTGTAAAAGAACCAGGAGTTTAGGACAGATATAGGGGCATGCTTTGGATTTTATTGGATGTTATGAGGGGAGGAGCAGCCGATTGGAGTTGGAAGGTGGAACACATACCTTACGACAATGCCACCGATGTGCAGCGCTCCAGGGAGCCGCGGGTTTCTCTTTGCTGTGAGGCCCAGAGATACAGGTGCCCCCGGGTGGGGGTGGGGGAGGGAGCAGGTTAGAAGCACCTGCCTGTAATAGGATGAAAATAATAATTTTATTGAATTGTAGGGCAGAATTTTGCACGTGAAATTATGATCAGCCAGTAATAGAATTAATTTGTCCTTAAATAAAGCTGTTTTCTTAGGAATTAAGGAGTATAGTATTTAATATAGATATCAGCTACTAAGGAAATAGTGTTTTGAAAATGCCTTGAAATGAACAAAGTGTATTCATTGTGATTTTGTTTAAATGTATGTTTCCAGAATCAAGTGTGCTTTCCTCTACTGTCTGAATCACAGCACCAGTGGCTGCTGGTTAACAGTTTCATAAAACCTCATGCATAGACCCAGGCTCCAAACTCAGTGGCAGCATTTAGAGAAACAAATAATTAGTCGTGACAATAGAAATATAAATAGGACCGCAGCTCATGACTTGGCGGAACTGACCCCTCTCTGCTACAGGTATAAGACCGGATCCCATTTAACTTAACAGCCTGGCGACATTGCATTCGCTGGAGTACTTTTCTGGAGCAGAGTAATAATGGGGTAAATGCTGGCTATTTTTGGCATTGTTTTTTAAAAATTTATCGGGGTGACATCAGTTCATAAAATTATATAGGTTTCAGGCGTACAATTCTATAAATACATCATCTGCTCATTGTATTTTGTGTTCACCACCCGAAGTCTAACCTCCTTCCATCACCATTTATCCCCCTTTCCCCTCTTTTTCCTCTCCTCACCCCCCTTTTCCGCTGGTAATCACCATACTGTTGTCTGTGTCTGTGAGGGTTTTTTCATTTGTTCATTTGTTTTTCGTTAATTCCTTCACCTTTTTTACCCAGTACTCCTCCCCTCTGACAGCCGTCAGGCTGTTCTCTGTATCGTAGGCATAGTTTTGAGTTGATAAATCACTGACTGGCACACCTTTAGAGGCTATCCGAGTTTAGTAACAATTGCCAGAAGGTAACACTTTTATGGTGACAGAATAATTATAGAGTTCACCCACCAGAAAGAAATATGACCCAGTCCATTAATAACGGAAGGGCACGGGCATTGCTGTATACTCAGCAGAAGCTGCTGTGTGCGCGTTGGTGAGTGGGAAGCTCGGCCGTGGACGCGAGCCCACGGGCGCTTGGGCCTGGGTTTGCCACAGAAGAGCCGAGGTGGCGAGTGAAGTCGGTCCTGGGCAGCGAGTATGTGCTGCCACCCTGGGATCCTAAAGGACGACCTTACTGAAGCCAGCAGTGACTTGGCAATAGTGTTAGATGGCCGAAGAGGAGATTCGAACTGGGAAACCAAGTAGACAAGTTCCCAAGCTTAGACCAAACTCTTAGACGAAAGTAATTTAGGAGGGGAAAAAAGGGGCAGGTATTTTCTAGCAGCGATATTCAAGTTACAAATGACTCTAGAACCCAAATTGATTCTTTCTCATATCACCAGTTCACATTAACGTTTCAGTATGTATAATCTATTCTAAGAGTTCTGAAACTACTTATGATTATATACAACGTAGGACAGAAGCACTGGAAAATGAGCTTTTGCAAATTCTGGTTTGAAGACTAACTTCTATGTTATTAAGAATGTATCTCTTATAAGGGAACTAAAGGGTAATCGAAAAAATACAATAAAGATTCAACTAAGAAAAGAATCTCTCTCTGACATGTCCATATAGATGTAACTACCTAACACCCATCAAAAAAGTGCTTTTAATATTTCAAGATGCTACACTCTCATTACAGTTACAGGGGTCCAGTCCCGTGGTACACCATAAATCTTGACTTACCGCCCTATAAGAGATGGCATGAACTGATCACTGACAAGGCACCATCGGTATGCTACGATTCTTAACTCTTCTATTTCGGACTTTACTGAATATAAGTGCACTTCTAAGTGAACGCTTCATGAAGTTACACACCGAGTATTTTAAGAATGAGCTTCAGGTTCTTTTCTGCCATTTACAATAAATGATCGCAGAGGAAAAGATGCCATTCCTGTCTGTAGCTTCTTGCTCTTTTTACTGGCCTTTGCCTTTGTTTCTTTCTCTCTGTATCATCTATCTTCAGCTAAGTAGTTGTACAAACGTCATGTTAAAGATGCATTGTGTTTATTATACATAACTGAAAATATTTTCCAATATCACCCTATTTTATTTAGCTACATATGAATAAATCAAAAGGTCTAGTACTGTTTTCAGTATACCAGTATTAATCTTAAATGCCAATACTTCTTTATGTTTCTTATTAATTAGTTAATTAATTAATTTTTCAGCTAAAGATTATTGTGAATTCCCTGAAGAGTGTAGTAAACGCTTTTGTTCCAAGTGGAAAAATTATGCAGATTGTGGATCAAAAGTTGGTAAGAAATATTGTTTCCTACAATAAATTTTCAACACAGACAGTTCAGAAAAGGTTCTGGTATTTACTTAAAGGTATAATTTTACAACATCTTGTAAGGCACTTGGACACATGTGCATTTATTCCAGAGCACTCTCAGAACTTCAGAGGGACTGGGAACTCGGGCGCTCAGTCCCATTAGAGTAACAAGACGTAAAATAGCATGGCAAACTTTGGCAGGCAGCTGCTCTTTCATGTTTTTTAAAAGTCTTGACAATTTTACAGTGCAATGGGAAAAATATACATATTCCATTTGGGAGTATGGCATTTCCTTCCCCTTATATATGCTTGGGTTTACAAGTTACGGCATATTTGGGATTTTTTCTTAAGTACACCCAGAGATTTTTCTCAGCCAGCCCTGGGCTTTGTGGGGTCCCTCCGTGGCTGTGACCTTTGAAACTCACTTGGGTCACGTGTTTCCTGTGGACACACATTCACCAAACCGTTTCACTTTCCTCCCAGTCTGGCCGGGAGACTCTAGTTCTCAGCCCCCTTTTTTTATGTAGGGGGAACCAATGAAAAATCCAGGGCCTGGTCCTAGGACCCCCTGAGAGAGCCTCATCACCCTATGTCAGCCTTTGCCCGGGGCCCTCGCTGGCCTGCAGGGTGCAAAGGGTGGCTGACATGGGGGCAGGGGACACCAAGGCCCTAGAGCAGAGATTTTAACCTACGACATTTGGGATTGAACAGCATTTTGTCCCGGGGGGCAGGCCCTGTCTTGAAGGATGTGTAGCAGCACCCCTGGCCTCTCCCCACTGGTTGCCAGTAGCACCCCTGTAGTTGTGACAACCAAGGATGTCTCTAGATGTCACCAACTCTCCCAGGGTAGGGGGCAGGTAAAACCACCCCTGGTTGCTCATCATTGTCCCAGAGGCTGGATGCTCCAGGATGTATCTTTCCCACGACACACCTTTCCTAGGACACTTGCTCCTGCCAAACTTGCCGTCTCTCGTGGGCATGCCCCTGCTCACCAGACCTCCCCAAAATGCACGTTGCCAGGAGTGGCAGCAAAAGAGGCCCCGTCATGGCCCACAAGCCCCGCCCCCTCTGCGTGTCAGCAGGGGCAGCAGTCACAGGGTGCCGGGCTTTTGTTCTTTAAACGCTGGATTTTAAGGTTGGATCAGCCACATCCTCGCTGGGTCCCTGGACAGGTTTCTTAGCTCATGACACTCCAGCCTCCTCCTCAGCGAGAGCCGACTGATACGCACTGCGTATGGTGGCGGTGAGGGCTGAACGACAAACTGCAGGTAAAGCGCGATGCCTGGATGTGATCAATGGCGACTAAATGCTCAGTAAGTCCTTTTTGTTTGCCAGTTTGGAGGCAATATTCCACTTGTGTGCTGCCCCAGGCCACCGTACATAGAAATAGCAAGCTGGTGAACAATGAGATTTGTAAATTTTAAACATATTATCTCAGCAAGAGGCTACCTGAGCTTAAATTTTAATCTCATTATTAGTGAATAGTTGCAGTCAAGGACAAAAGTCCACTATTGCATTTGCTCATGTGTTTACTGTTTGCTTACAGAATGCATAAAGCAGCTTAGCCCAAGATCCTGCATTAACCAAGACAGGTTTTCGTGAACAACTGGAGTATAGGTTTTTGCTCTGTGTGGAAAGGAAATAGGAATGAGGGCGAAATGCCATTGACTAAAGGGTGGGTTTGAATAGAGAGGTAAGGAGGCTTCTTGATCATCCTGTGTTGTGGGTCATAGAAGGTCATCCACGTGGAGCTGCTCCAGTTCCCCATCTCTCTGGAGAAGAGGGTGAAACAGACAATCTGAGATTCATACAGAGAACAGATGAGCTTAAGGGTACAAAAGCAAGAGTTAGAGTGCGTGTTACATAGATCTTTTAGAAATATATGAAGTGTCTTTAAAATTAAGACCACCTATTGCGGCAGCAGTATTTAGAACACATTGTGTGTAAAAGAACCAGATCTCAAAGCAACGCTTCAGGTTGAATGATTGTGAATTCATTTGGTTTTCAGCCTGGTCTACTTGGCAACTTTCCTGGCCCTTATGAGGAGGAAATGAAGGGGATTGCAGATATTACTGGCATACCTTTAGGTAAAGTTCATTTCTCAATTTTTAAAAAGTTTAATAAAGCACTTAAAATGGTTTTCTATTGCTGTATGGTATACATATGGTAAAGTGCACAGATCTTACGTATACAGCTCAATAGAATTTTAAAAATACTTACACGCATGAAGTCGCAGCTCAGATCAACATACAGAAAATTCCAGCCATCTGGAACACTTTGTCACACCCCTTTGCATACAATACTGTGTCCCCTAGGTGGCCACTGTTCTGACTTCACCTTGATTAGTCTGCCTCTTGAACGTCTTATAAACAGAACTGAACAGTACGCGCTGTGGTATCTGGTTTCTTATGCTTATTGTATGAATAGGATGTTTAGGTTGTTTCCAGATTTTAGATATTAAGAATAAATTCTTATGAACCTTCTCATACTTGTCTTTTGATGGACATATCCACTCCTTTCTCTTGAATATATGAGAAGGGACCCAAAAAACAATTTATTTATTAAAAATTGTTTATCTATTCTTACATGCTTAAACTTCAGTCACCTTCAAAGTACTGTCAATTTGATACAATACGACTATCAAGACTTTTTTTTCCCCACAGCTCAAAACAGTTGTGACGTTGTCAATTTTGAGGCCTTTGAGTGCTTCTACCACTTTTTGTTTCACCTCTTCCACATCAGTAAAACGTTTCGATTTGAGGATTTTTTTCATCTGGGGAAACAAACAAACAAAAAAAGAGTCGCTTGCAGCAAGGTCTAATGAATAGGGAGGGTGGGGCATGGGGGTCCTGCTGTTTTCAGTAAAAAACTGCTGAACACTTAGCATGGTGTGCGCAGGCATAAATCAACCATTGTGAAATGGCCAAATGCATTGAAAGAGTCTTCAAAAAAAATTCACGAAAGCTGAACTCAGCCTCTCACAACAGCGCCAGCTGGTGCACTGATGCAGATGGGCTCCTAGAACACTTATCTAGTCAGGGAAGCCTGTACTACAAGGGGCCTGCCCTCTAGAAGATAATTCTGGGGGTTTTTTGGGTCTCCCCGCATATACTGGGTGACAGGGTAGCTGCATATAGAGCCTTGTAGGTTCTGCCGACCAGTTTTCCAAAGTGATTGTATCTGTTGGCAGTCCGCAAAGTATAAGACTTTTAATACTCTCCACTTGGTAATTCTCTGCTTGATAGTCTTTTTTATTTGAGACATTTTATTTATTGAGTATGTCATAGTATCCCATTATTGTTTAATTTGCATTTCCCTGATGGCTAATGAGATTGAATAGTTTATTGATCTTTTTCTTCCTTCTTTGTGCTTGTTAAAGTCTTTTGCCCATATTTTAATCAGTTTGAAGAAATTCTTTATATATTTCAAATAAAAGGGTTTTTTTTTTGTCAGATATATATGTATTCTAGATATCTTCTCCCAGTCTGTAGCTTGCTTTTTTATTCTCTTATTGGTGTCTTTTGATGAACAAAAATTCTTAATTTTAATGAAGTTCAATTCCTCATTTTTTTTTTTTTTAGGGGTAGTGCTTATTGTGTCCATTTAAGAAATCTTTGCATACACCAGGTCATGGAAATATCCTTCTCTCTTTTCTCCTAGATGGTTTTCATTGACTCTTTACAGGATCTATCTTGAATTAACTTTTGCGTATGGTATGAGTGAAGGGCCAAGTTTCAGGGTTTTTCCATATGGAATATCCAGTGGACTAAACAGCATCTCTTGGAAAGAGTGTCCTGCCCTCAGTGAATTGCAGTCATGCTCTTGATGTAAATCAGATGATTGTATGCATCTGATTCAGGTTGGGGACTTTCTATTAAGTTTCATTTATCTATTTGTCTTTACTTATACCAACACCATGCTACTGCAGTTACTGAAGCTTTATAGTAAGTCTTAAGTAGGTAGTGTAAGTTTTCCAACTTTGTTTTTCTTCAAAATTCTTTTAGCCATTCCAGACCCTTTGCATTTCCATATAAATTTTACAATCAGCCTGTCAACTTTGACAAAACAGCCTGCCTATATTTTGAGTGAGACTGTAATACTAAATTTTCCAATCCATGAACATGATATATGAAATTTCAGTATTAGGTTATTGATTTCTCTGAGTTACATTTTTAATTTTTAGAGAGGAGGTAATAATATTGCATATTATTCATTCATATGTGCTCCATCATATCATTTCCCATAGTCCTCATATTCATCAGGGTCTTAGATATTGATGTTACTGGAAGCCATTTTTAAAATTCCGGTTCCAACTAATAGCATGTAATGAAACAGACTTTTTCTGCCATCCTTAAAGTTTTGTTTTTAAGCTACCAAACAATATAATTATTTAAGTAGCCTGTATACCTGGTTTTACAAGAGAGGATTGAGAATTTCAGAAAATCAGTAGTATTTATCAACAAAAAATGGCTATTTTTTGTTTTTGCTTCTTTAAAAAATGATTTTAAGGGGGAGGTCTCAAAAATGATTTAAGAAGATAATTAGCATACAGAAAATATACATTTGTAGCCTACATGAGAAGTCTTTCCTTTCTTTATTATGTAAAGGACTCTAGCAAGTGAATAGCATGTAAATATCTCAACAGAAAAATGGATTAAGAAGATTAACAGATGATTAATAATAAAAGAAAACAGAAGTGGAATTTCACCAAAATAGAAATCAAATGGAAAAAAGAAAGCCACATTAAATTGGGGTGGGAAAAAATATGTTGAGCCTAGCATGTTAACGTGAATTGGGACAATGAAAACGTTGTAATATCATTGAATTATTAAATGCTGAGTGGCATTATTATTATGCAGTTTTGGAAGAATATACAAAAATTAAAATGTTTTACAATAGGTTTTCTTAGTAAGCTTTGCACTTATTAACGGTCCCTGTATTTCTTCTCTCAGCTTCAAATATTAGTCACACTTTAAAAATCTAGGCAAAATACTTTTCAGTATACAACCAAAAGCCAGATGTATTAAATTACTGTATTTGGGTCTCCCAGAGAATACTAAAATGAAGCATATTGATGAAAAAATATGGACATTGTGGTGTAACAGAATTCCACCGTGCCCAGATGTTCAACTTACCCAATAGGTCCCTCTTTGGGGACTTGTTCTGTCATTAGTCTGCAGAGTGTACAGGCTGGTAAGACACCGCTACCCAGCCACCCATTCAGGCACACTCAGACTGGTCTGCAGACGCCTCGGTACGCCAAAGCAAACACTCGCACAGCGATGATAGTTCAGCCCTTGCTTTAAATAATGTCATGGTTCTGTCTATTAACCAAAAATTTGTCTGTCTTTTCTCATAGGAGAGATTATTTCATTCAATATTTTCTATGAATTTTTTACCATTTGTACTTCAATAATAGCAGAGGACAAAAAAGGTAAGTGTGCTCACGGAGGGCGGGCACCACGAAGTCCAGAGTGAAAGAAAAGTCTTCCAAATAAATGGAATTAGAACTTGTCAAATCTAAGCTTGCTTTGCAAATTTTGTGTGTGAATCCCAGAGTTTTATGGATCCTGGTAAATTTGTAAGAGTAAGTTGAAAACTATCCTTATTTTAAGACCACGGTAATGCCTATTACAGTTTAATTCAGCCATCCAAACAACTTGGAAGAAGCGTTTCAGGGCTACAGACATGCGTGCCCTTCCTCATCGTCTTCTCATGCTCATCTTCGTGGTCTGGCAGAGAGCCTCACAGGGCGCTTCATTGTCTTTGTGTACGTGACGATCCCAACGCTTTCCTTGACGCCCAGGACAAAGCTCCCATCAGTCCCCCCGCAAGGGGCCCCCTGCAGACCACCTTCACTTTCCCGTGTTTTTCCTAGCAGATCCCCCAGGGACAAAGCACAGGGTGATTCACTCTGATTCACTTTTATTTTTGACCTGTACTTGGTGTAAGGTCTGCCTGGACCTAACCCTTGAGGTGTCCAGCTATGGGTGACAATACCTGAGGCATTAGGTGAGGCTAAAATAGCTAGGCCCGGGCAGGACCATGTCCTGCTGGACCACAGAGTGACCACGGATCCTTTCCCCATATTCGAATCTTACCTGGAACCCCGTGTTCTCGGGGGTTATGGAGGGACCTGGCTGATGTGACAAGGACAACAGCTTGCTCTTAAGACTTACGGTATCAAGATGCTGCATAAATCTTCTCGTTGGATTTAACAGTTGTGAATATCAGTGAACTAAAATGAAGTGTCCAGCTTTAAGATCCATCGTACTATCATAACCGTTCCCACATGTCTCTTTTGCTTACTTTCAATTAGGTCATTTACTACACGGGCGCAACATGGATTTTGGAATATTTCTTGGGTAAGCAAAGAAAATGGTGTGCGTCGGTCCTTCGGAAGAGTAGGCTGTATTATGTTGAAGAAAAGTCCCCCGTCAGGCTCAAAGCGGGACCACAGGGGAACAGGGTGGATTCCTTGGTTTTGAGACAGGGCGGGCGCACTCGTACTCAGTCGTGTGTGAGTTTGTACCTGAGTTCTGCCTCGTGAACAGAAACCTGGAGCGTGCTTGAAGGCGCCGGCACACGTCTAGTTTAGTGCTTAAAAGGAGCTGTTTTCTGTCGTCTTGATCTTTCTGGGAGAAAAAAAAAGTAACAGGGCTTTACAATGAGGAACCTAAATTTGAACCTGGAGTTTGCTATTTAAGGCTGTTGAGAGAACTAGTTAACTTCTCTGAGCCTCAGTTTTGTCATGTGAAGAGGACAGAACCTCTGTCTTGCAAAGTTCTTTTTTATAGTGAATTTATTGGGGTGACATTGGTTAATAAAATGATATAGGTTTCAGGTGTACAATTCTATATGTCATCTGTACCTTGTGTTGTGTGTTCACCACCCCAAGTCTCCTTCCAACACTGTTGATCCCCCCCTTTACCCTGTCCTGCCTTCCTCCCTCCCCCTTTCCCTCTGGTAATCATCCCACTGTTATCTTTGTCTCTGAGTTGTTGTTGTTTGTTCTTGTGTTTAATCTCTCAACCCCTCTCCCCTCTGACACAAAGTTCTTGTTCTGAAAAGGTTCTGACATAAAGCCTGGGCCTTGACACCGTATTCCTGATTGTTCTTAAATGGCACTGAAATTTGTCTTTTGCAGGTGGAACATAAATAACAACTCCTGGGTCGTCACTGAGGAGCTGAAACCTTTGACAGTGAATTTGGACTTCCGAAGAAACAATAAAACTGTCTTCAAGGCTTCAAGCTTTGCTGGCTATGTGGGCATGTTAACAGGATTCAAACCAGTAAGGCATCTGCTGTTAGCTGATTTTACAGGTAGCTCTGTGTCTTGCTTTGACTCTCAGTGGAGGGTGGAATCTAAGGAAACGAGGACCTACGAAGAATATGAAGCCCCTGTTCATCCCTTTGTACTTCTTGTCAACTTCATAGGTGTGAGCTCACACGGTAGAGAGAAGTAGAAAAGAAATGGAGGTTCCTGAGCCCATTCTGGGGCAATGGCGTGTGACTGGGTGTCGGGATCGGGGAGGGCCCACCTGGGGCCTGGTCCTGGGCCTGCCACTCCGGCACAGTAGGCGTGAATCTCTGCGTGGCAGATGTTTTGTTAGAAAAGTGAGGCCAGTAACAGTGCATTTACTTCTTTCACACACCAGGGGTGAAAGTGCTTTGACCTTCTACAAAAGCTCTGTAATAGGAGGCGATGTTATCATGGTTGTGATTAATCTTTGCATTCCCCACGACCCAGTCCAGGTCTTGACACACCATCTAGAGCACAGTGAGAGGGCCTCACCCAGGGTGGTCCAAGTTTCTCACTGCACTCCTTTGTCTTTTCCCCAGGGACTATTTAGCCTTACACTAAATGAGCGTTTCAGCACAAATGGCGGCTATATGGGTGAGTAGCCAGTTGCTTAATGAAATGGAAATTTCCTAGAGGTTTTAAGAGACCTGCCCTGCATGTGGTTTGTAGTCTCGCCTCCTCCTGGTCCTGTGACCCTGTGTGTTTGCTCTCTCCCAGGTGTCATCGAGTGGATTTTGGGGAAGAAAGATGCCATGTGGATAGGCTTTATCACTAGATCAGTTCTGGAAAACAGCACAAGGTGATCTGGTTGCTTGATCATCGAATTTAATATTTTATCTTAAAATCATTTTGGATATAATTGATATATAACATTAAAGTATACAAAATGTCTTGATACTTGTATATATTGCAAAATGATCACAGTAAGTCTAATTAATATGTATCATCACATATAGTTACAAAATGTTTTTTCCTTGTGAGAACTTTTAAGATTTGCTTTTAGCAACTTTCAAATAGATAATATGGTATTATTAACTGTAGTAACCATGCTGTACCTTACATCCCCAGGACTGACTTATTTTATAACTCAACGCTCTTACGTTTTGGCCTGCCATCTCATTTCACCAACGCAGTCCCCACCCCGACTGCCTCTGGCCACGACTAATCTGTTCTCCGTATCTACGAGTTTGGTTTTTTGTTTGTTTTTATAGTCAACGTACATGAGAGCATGTGGTATTTGTCCTTCACCTTTAGATTTATTTCACTTAGCAAAAAGCTTTCAAGGTACATTCATGTTGTCGCAGATGGCAAGATTTCCTTCCTTTTTATGACTATTTTATTGTGTGTTTTATATACACACCTCATTTTCTTATCCATTTCTCCAACAATGGACATTTAATGTGTTTCCATGCTTTGGCTATTGTAAATAATGCTGCAGTGAACATAAGGGTGCCTATATCTTTTTGCATGTTTTCGTTTCCCTCAGCTAAATACTTCTAGAGGTGGAATTGCTAGGTTTAGTTTTTTGAGGATCCTTCACACTGGTTTCCATAGTGGTTGTACCAATTTACATTCCTACCAACAGTGCACAAGGGTTCCCTTTTCTCCACATCCTCATCATCACTTGTTATTCCTTGTCTTTTTTGATAAAAGCCATTCTAACAGGTGTGAGGTGCTATGTCATTGTAGTTTTGATTTGCATTTCCCTGATTAATGATGTTAAGCACCTTTTCATGTACATGGTAGCCACCTGCATGTCGTCTTTGGAAAAATGGCTAGTCAGAACTGCTTATTTTTTAATAGGATTGTTTGGGGTTTTTTTGCTGTTGAGTTGCATGAGTTCTTTATATATTATGGATAGTAACCCCTTAGCAGATACATGATTTGCAAATGTTTTCTCCCCTTGAGTAGGTTTTCTTTTCAGTTTTCTTTGCTGTGCAGAAGCTTTTTAGTTTGATGTAGTCCCATTATTTTTGATATTTTTGCCTTTGATTTTGGTGTCAAATCTAAAAAAAAATCATAGTCAAGACCAATGTCAAAGAGCTTACCACTTGTTTTCCTTTGGGAATGTTATGGTTTTAGCTCTTAAATTCAAGTCTTTAATTCATTTTTGAGTTGATTTTTGTGTTTTGTGTAAGAGAGTGGTCCACTTCCCTTCTTTTGCATGTGGCTGACGAGTTTTCCCAACATCATTTATTGGACTATCCTTTCCTCATTGAGTATTCTTGGCCCTTTTGTTGTAAATTAATTGACTATATGTGTATGGGTTTATTTTGGGGCTTTCTATTCTGTTCCATTGAGCTATATGTCTGTTATGCCAATACCATACTGTTTTGATTACTATATCTTTATAATATAGTTTGAAATCAGAAAGTGTGATCCCTACAGCTTTGCTCTTATTTCTCACAATTGTATTTGTCAGAGGTTTGTTTGTTTGGCTCCATATAAAATTTAGGATTGTTTTCCTTCCTTGAAAAATGCCATTGGAATTTTGACAGGGATTGCTTTGAATCTGTAGATTGCTTTGGTTAGTATGGACATTTTAACAATACTAATTTTTCAATCCATGAGCATGGAATACCTTTCCATTTATTTATGTCTTCCATTTCTTTCATCAATGTCTTATATTGTTCAGCGTGCAGGTATTTCACCTCCTGGGTTAAATTTATTCCTTGGTATTTTGTTTTTGATGCAGTTGTAAATGGGATTGTTTTCTTAATTTCTCTTTCTCATAGTTCATTATTAGTGCATAGCTACTGATTTTTGTTTGTTGGTTTTACCCTGCAACTTTACTGAGTCTGTGTGTGTGTGTGTGTGTGTGTGTGTGTGTGTGTGTGTGTGTGAAGTCTTTAGGATCTTCTATATATCATATCATATCATCTGTAAATAGCAACAGTTTTACTTCTTCCTTTCTGATTTGGATGCCTTTTCTTTTCCTTGCGTAATTGCTCTGGCTAGTACTGTCAATACTGTCCTGAATAAAAATGGTAGGAATGGCCATCCCTGTCTTGCTCCTGATCTTAGTAGAAAAGCACTTATCTTTTCACCATTGGCCGTTAGCTGTGGGCTTGTCGTCTGTGGCCTTTATTATGTTGAGGCACATTCCTCCTGTACCCATATTGTGCAGTTTTTAATCATAAATGTATGTTGAAAATTGTCAGTGCTTTCTCTGCCATCTATTGAGATTATCACCTGATTTTTACCATTCATTTTGTTCACGTGGTATATCACATTGATTTGTGGTTGTTCCCGCTTCCCTCGGGTATATCCCACTTGATCATGGTGTATGATTCTTTTAGTGTATTGTAGTTTATTTTAAATTACTCATATTGAAATATAAAAATATTTTCTAGCTTATTTTCCATTGAAGAATTATTTCAGAATTTCTTAGGTGAACCGTATATGGAATTTTTCATTTCTGTGTGTGGTGTGTGTGTGTGGTAAGGAAATGAATTGTTTAAAAAGTGTGAGGTGTGGTGCCACTATGAAGGGAACTCTGAGTTCTTCTTGCTGTCAAGAAAAAAAATAACTCATACATAAAATAAAAATTGTACAATAAACTTCATTTCCATCATAATACCTGTTAACCTAGAAGTTATGTTCTGTGCCTGTGCAGAAGTCTTATAGTAGCAAAACTGCCTTCATCCTGCACTACATCAAAAGGACCCAGAATAAATGGGCAACAATTCTGTTTTTAATGCTTTCCAGGGAATGAGATCAGTAAGCTTTTTTTGAAAATCCACTTCATTCATTAATAGCCCCAACGTTCAAGGTTTACTCTCTACTCCATAAGTCCTCTATATGGTAATTAATACTATTTCCCCTTGTCCTGTTGAGTGAAAAACATGGACAGCAGGGGCAGAAGATGACCCCAAGGCCGTTGTGTCTGTCCCTCCGACTGGCGGGGCATTTCGGAACTCCGTGTTCCCCCACATCGGAGTCGGGGACGGTTCCTCCCCGGGCCATTGCTCGCCACCCTCTTTGAAGAACATGTTTCTCAAATATTTGTGTTTGCTTAGTTTCTGTAGTTAAATTTAAATGCCAGGTCAACTCAAAATGTTTGCTTTTTAAAACAATGTTTTTATGTAGCTATGAAGAAGCCAGGAATATATTGATCAAAACCAAGATACTGGCCCCAGCGTACTTCATCCTGGGAGGCAACAAGACTGGGGAGGGCTGTGTTATTACGCGGGACAGAAAAAAGTCCCTGGATGTGTACGAGTAAGTACGTGTGTTAAAGCAAAATGGAAACTAAGGCACGGGCTGACACAGGCACAGGTGCACGGCATGAAGCCTGAGAGGAATCTCTTTCTCTGCCTAGACTCGACCCCGAGCAGGGTCGATGGTACGTGGTGGAAACGAACTACGACCGTTGGAAAAACCCCTTCTTCCTGGACGATCGCAGAACAGCTGCCAAGATGTGTCTAAACCACACCACACAAGATGTAAGTAACACAAGAAATGGTTGACGCTGAAGGTTACGTGAGTTCTGGCATTTTTCTTTGGCTTTTATAGAATTTACAAATCTTGCATTATCCAGTATCAATGTCAAGTCCCCACTGAGTTTGTTTTTAATTTAAAGAGCAAGACGCTACTGTACTTACCTTTTTAATTCCAATTCTGGATACCACTCAGTGAGGCCGAATGACAAACAGGCAAGAATTAAAGGCGGAGGGAAGACTCAGAAAGAAGTGACACATTAGAACCATTACTTCTGTCTCTGACAGTGACCCCAAGGGAAGCTCATTTAGGTGTTGGGGGAGGTTGAGGGAAGAACATCTTGGCTTCTAATGACCCATTTTTGTGCATAAGGCTGTTCACATCTGTATTTAACATGCTGAACTGTTCTTGTGTTTTAGAAAATCTCATTACCAACCATGTATGATATCCTGTCAACAAAACCTGTCCTCAACAAGGTATTTAAAATTTTTTATTGATTTTAGAGGGAGAAGGGAAGAGGGGGTAATGGAGAAAGTGGGGGGGGGATAGGAGGGAGGGCAACAAAGATATCAATTTGTTGTTCCAGTTATTTATGCATTAATTGGTTGATTCTTGTACACACCCTGATCGGGGATCCAATCTGCAACCTTGGCATATTGAGACGATGCTCTAACCAACTGAGCTCTTGGTCAAGGCTTAAAAATGTGTATTTGCTTTTAGGAAAGAATTTTGTCTTTGTGTTTTATCTTCCCCTATTGTCTTGGGAGAAAAACAGAGCTAGAATCCCAAGTCATGTTCAGCTTAAGGCTGATGTTTAAAAACGTTTTTTGTGTGACTAAAGTAGTAACTGCTGGGATGTGACAAGGAAACTGACCACTGTAGCTGAGGAGTCCAATTTGGTCAGAGTATTGTCCCAAGTTTTATTTACATGGCATTGAATTAAGTGTAGGATTTTAGTCTTCACTTCTCCCTATCAGATATCTTACGCTGTATACTACAAGCACCTAAAACTTGACCCCAAGAAAGTCTGAAGCCCACTTTTAAGACAGCTTTGTGCCTTGGTGGATTACGGTTTCTCCTAAAATTTATTACATCCTTTTGTCTTTTCCTCACAGTATAACTAAAAAATGCACCAGGTTTCCTAAGCATCCAGTTTGCTAGCAGGGCCCTCTTGTGTTTTCTGGGTACACACACCCAGAATGATTTCCCCATTGATTCTGTCTTCTCTGGTCCCTTTCCCTAACCCTCACTGACCTCAGCAAGCCTCCTTTTCCTCTGCCAGAACAAATTCCTCCTGCCGCTAGCGTTCAGATCAGAGCCTGGCTCCTGCAGGAAGCCCTCCTGAAGCCCACGTCCCCTTCGTGGGAGCTCAGGGTGCTTGTTCAGATTCTGTGCGCCTTATACTAGTCTGCATGCCTGCATAGTGCACCCCCCCCCCCGCCCCCGCACCGCTGCATATGCTGTTAAGGGTCAGGACAGCCAAAGCTAACCGGTTCCTACTCCATAGCACACCATTAGGCCTTGCGTGACTTTGATTTACAATGTAAATCGAAGGTGCAGTCAGTCTTACCGCGCTGGTGGGGAAGCTGCGCTGCTCTGGGATGAGGCCCTGTGAAGCACTGAAGATTCTCTCCCGAGCCTGTGTGTGTGCAACCTGCAATGGCCATCTATTGAAATGTTTTCCTTAATCATTAACTTACTTACTAAATTACTTGGATCTTTATATTATGTAAGTTTATTTTATATACTTATATAATATTAAATGTGAATTACTTAATATTAGGTAACTTCATAAAGCCGTTCTACAAGTCATGTTAATATGAATCAGGACAGCTTAGAATTGAAAATATGCTTACAGTAAAAATAATTGTTTTCAGCTGACTGTATTCACGACCTTGATGGACGTCGCCAAAGGTCAATTTGAAACTTACCTGCGGGATTGCCCAGACCCTTGTATAGGCTGGTGAGCGAACATCTGGCCTTCAGAACACACCTGACAAGGTGGGAGCTCACACGGCCCGCGACCGCAGCTGTCTGGCCTCTGACCAAAGTCAAAGACTCGGGGCAGGTTCTTTTTGAGGCAGGAGCTTGTCTGTCTTGGTACGTTTACACTTCACAGGCTATTCGTGCAGAAACAGTTGATTGTTCTCATTGGCACATAATTTAAGTGAAGTACGACAGTCGTTTACAATTTGCCGAGTTTCATTTCACTTTGCTATCTGGGGACGGGGATGGGCAAACTGTTGTGGGATCCACTTCCATGGAATAAAGCAAGTCTCCGAGGATGAGGAATTCTGTACATCCGGGTAATAGTTACGGTACATATCCCACCCTATTGTTTTTCACTTTTATCTACATACTTGTATATTTTTCTGTGCTACTGAAGTTAACATACGATTGTCTTTCCTGTTTGCGACAGCAATGTTATTTCACCAACTTTGGAGGCAGATGAGACATTCAACTGTATTATTTCTTAGTGGACAATACCTGGGCCTTTGACTCTGAGTAGGAGTACTTTTGGGGGTTCGTGAAGTAATCAGAATGCAAGGCAGTGTTTGACACACAGAATGGAAGTGTTTCCTTTTTGATAATTACCCTATCTCCCAGAAACCCCAGGAAGTTAGCTTCAAAAACTGAGCTCCAGCTTCTGCGAATTGATAGTCAAACAGGTCAGGCTTGTGGAAAACGAGAGCTGAACCCATTGTTTTAAACTTTACTGCGTAGGACCCACTAATAGAGTTTGAGATTTTTTTTCTTCTGATCAGTGCGTTTTTTAAAAACTAGTTACTAAAAATATTTTTCAGAAATCAATATATTTATGAAAAATGCTAACTGAACTTTTCTTTCACAATTAACTGTGAAATGCATGCCAGTCGGCATGGCTGTATCCACTTCATTTCCATGTCAGTTGTATTCATGACATTCAATAAAGTCACTGAAGTCGTGCCAGCAGTCTTGTATGCAGAGTGCGTGTACACATAATGTGTTCTTTTGGGGGTGGGGGTTATTATGGAGAAATCAAAGCTGAATATGACCGAGTTAAATTACAAGAGGCGTACAAGTGGGTTACTCAGCTTATGACTAAGCGGGTACAATTTCACGTGACTCATCCCCACCACTTCGTAACCCACTGTAACCAGCCCGGTGTGCTGATGCGCAACCGCAGCTCCTCCCAGACGGAAGGATCCACAGGTTAAACCCTGAGGAATGCCAATGTTTAACTATGAACAGAATAGGAATATATTGCCATATGACTGTCTTGAATGTCACCATAGAGAAATTCTAGGATTTCAAGGCTGGCAAACTTAAAACATCACTTAAGGTGAGGGATGGGACTATCTGACAGGATTTACAAAGCCTAGAGCCGTGCTTTTCAGCCTTTTTCATCTTATGGCACACCTCAACTAATTACTCAAATTCCGTGTCACACCAAAAAATGTATTTTTCACCAAATCCGACAAAAAAATATAATTTTGATTTAAAATATAATAATAATAATTACCTACCCTTTTTGCTCCAAAGTGACTTTTAAAAATCAGACGCCCATACCTGGATATAAGGATTTCTAGTACCAAAAATTAGGCAATCAGATGACCACTAAGATGCAACTGTATTATATGGCCTATATATTTATGGTTTGAGAGGGTATTCACACCAGACGGCTGTTGTGTTGGCTGATGTAATTTTTAAGTTTGACAATCCAAGGGAAAAAGAGATCAGAGCCCCTGACTAAAACCAGGTATTGCACATTTTAAAAATTATTGTGGCACACGGGCTGAACATCAGTGGCCTAGAGGGAATAGGAAGAAGAGTATCGCCCTATGAGTCGCAGCCTTCTCTCATGCTACGCAGTACGGATTGAGGAACATGCCCCAGAAAGACCTCTGGTGAAGAGTAACAAGACCACCTTTTCGGCGGCGGTGCCACCACGCCCAGGGAGCGGGCCAGGGCCTTGCAAACCCTGAGGCGACTGACACGAGTTGCGGTCACAAAGATCCTTGTAATTTAACCCTCATCCAATTTTGTCATGAAATAGAGACTATTGATTTTCAGCACTTTCTTGTTCAGAGACTTTAATAAACACCGACATTTGTACAATTGCTTAGTCACTGATTTACATTTTTCATTCTTTTTGTACATCTTCCTTTGATACAGCTAATTACCATTTGATAAAATGTAAATACTAAAAGCATCCTTAGATCCAGGCCAATTCTTTCACTTTGCAGATAGGAAAATGAGGGACAGAGGGGGTTAAGAGCATCAGTGTTTTTTTTTTTTAAGTCCTCACCCGAGGATATGTTTTCTTGATTTTAGAGAAGGGAGGGAGGTGGGGAAGAAAGGAAGGAGGGGGGAGAGAGAGAGAGAAACATCGATGTGAGAAACACCGATCACACTGATCGTGAGACACACTGATCAGCTGCCTCCCATATATACGCCCCGTCAGGGGTCAGACCTGCAACCTGGGGACGTGCCCGGGCTGGAAATCAAACCGGCACCTTTTTAGCGTACGGAACCGACTGTTCCAACCAACTGTGCCTTCTGGCCGAGGCAGCAACACTGGTTTGTGCATGATGTTTCGAAATGTCACAGTAATGCTCTTTGCTTTATTGTAATACTGCTCAAATATTATCTGTGAAAGAATTTTACGCTGAAGAGCAAAAGGGCTCTAATGTATTAAAAATGAATGCTAATACTTGTAAGAAAAAAAGCTGACGTACATACACAATGTTATATAAGCTGAGTTTTTGAATCCTGACAATCTATTAGAAGGTATAGACATTTTCTATATGAAAACCTAAGATGAGCACTGACGCATCAGAAGACATTTACATTCTGAAATATACCTTATTTTTCTATTACCAGAAAGTTTACTCAAATACAGTAGAATTCAATGATGGACTATAAAAAAGGGTTATTAGAAATTAAACTACTGAACACCTGTATGATCCAAACGACAGCTGGTGGGGGTAGATATAAAGATCAGGAGAAAAAGACAAGGGGCAATCATATGCTATATATAATCCACAGTGAAACAATTATATAATCCAAAAAGCTATCTGAAATACTAATCTTATAGCTTAATTAAACTCCATTACTCCATCTCTGCCGTAAACATTTCGGGGGTGTGTGGGGTAAGAGCGAGGGAATGAAAAAAGGAGAGAGAATAAGATAGATAACGAGAAGGACAAAGTGACAGCGTGGGAGAACGCCACACTTAAGATCCACTATAAGAACACTTCAGACTCTGCCTCCTTTGGTAAAAGGGGGACAGTAACAAAAACAATGTAGAGCCAGGACACGTGAGAAAGGAATGTCTGTTAAGCAAAAACCACAGAGAAGCAAGTGTGGCCCTGGGAGCCCCCTCCCTGTCCTGTGCCCTCTTTTCCAGCACGGACACACTCGCCGCCTTACAGTCGTTAGCACGCGCCACCAGAGCACCGACACAGACACTCTTCCTTTGGATGGACGAACCCATCCTCCCCTTCTAGGAAAACACCGAGTGTCCGACAGGTGACGGAGCAGCGCCCGCGTCCGCAGGCCGCCTGAAAGAGGCTCCACACACACGCTGAGCGCTGCCCCTGTGAGCTGGCCTAGCGCTTCCTGTTCTCCAAGTCTTTCGTGATGTCATTTGATCAATAGGTGGCCTTAAACAGGCTGCTATACTCTGGGAGATACAGTTCATTAAAGGTGAGGATTTCTAGCAGTATAACAATATTTACAAATATCATTTATTTTAAATTTACATGTGACTTGATAGGCCTAAATACCAGGGATAACCACACGCAGAAAGTCTTAATGGAAGAATATTATATGAGAGAGACCTCTGTGGTACTGAAACTTTATGTTGCGATTAGTTCTCAAAATAACCAATTTAACAGCTTTCTGTCAATTGCTGGCCCAAAGGTTTAGTGATGGAGATTTCTCAGACTGGGCAGATGAAATGAACTGATAAGATGATTAAAACTCTTTTTATATATGAATCAAAGACATTTGTAAGCAAAAGATTAACCTCCATGCCTTAATGGAAAATGAGCCAACCAGCCAGACCAGTTAACATTAAGGAGAGAACCAGATGTTTAAAGACGGGGAACATTAAGGTAACAATTAAGAGTTGTATGGCAAGGACAAGAAATACTGGCTCTCCCAGCAAGGTGGCGAGGTAACCAGATTTGTACAGTGAGAGAAATGAAATCCAGAGCCAATTACTTCTTTGACAGATAAAGAATGACCTTGTTTATATTAAAGAAAGTTTAGTGATAAGCCAGAAACATGCCAGTCTAATTTTGAATAAATACAAGACTGTTCTCCACACAGTATATAAGATAGCTGTAACTAAGAAATAGTAGCACATACCTACCTGCACTGTAAGAAAAATAGTATCAAGTTTAATAAGTCTCTCTGGGTAGTTGATATGTCATTATTTTTCATGTCTTGATTTCTTTTTACATCTAAAACTGTCAAATACGCCACACTTCTGGAATAAATCCTAAAGCATGAATAAGTATGATCATTTAAATGAAAATGCAATTCAGGGTCATATGCAGGATATACATTTATTAGCAGTGAAAAAGCATTCACCCAAAGTGAAATGTTACAAAATACAAAAGAGTACCTGGCACAGTCTGGCGAGCTCACTATTTCAGGCATTATCTCAACCTGTGTAGGGTTCTCTCTCCTTTTGACCTTTTCTACCTCCATTTTCTAACCAAATTTTTAACTTATAAATTAAGACAAACAGGAATATTTAATGCATAACCTGTTAGCAATAGCTACTAGGGAAAAACATGAAACTAGTTATTCTCAAGCTCTACATATTTTAAACCTAAATTATCTACTAAAATAGAAAACACCAGACTAGATTACAGTGTCTATAACATAAGTCAAATAACCGAGTTTGGTAAGGTTCATAGGTACTACAGTAACAACTAAGATATAAGCACAACTCTTCCATCATATCAATCTTTAATATGCATGCAGAGAGAGTCATAATATGTGAAGCTTGGCTTGAATACCAAAATAAGATTTCCCCTCTTCCTGTACAACCTAGAAAACAAGTATAGAACTGAAGTATACATATAATGTAACTTATTGTTTCAATTTCCTTGAAGTCAGGCCAATTGGATAAGAATTCCTTATTTTGGAATGATAGTTTTCTGAATATGTTTTATTAAAGTTGGAGATATGCCTCTTACAATTTAAATTAAGTAGCAATACAGTAAATGTCCTCAGAGGCGTCTTCCTGACTGGACACTGCAGTTTCACACTGAGGTATTAGGCTGGTAAGAATTTTCTAGGAATACTGACCAAATTCTTTTCAGTTCATTTTTAACAAACTTAAAAGATACCTGGGATAAATAACTGGTAGGTGGTTCTGTGAAGCCTTACGGGGTACATGGCTAGTTCGGGATCTGAAGATAAACCATCTTGTAAAAGCTGGCCGACTTAATGATGAAGGAGTCACACAGATTCATTACTCAACGCCTCAGCTCGCTCGCTCACTGTACACAGAAGCAACAGCCACACTTTGGTCGTAAACTAGCATCTCAGTCAGTTTACCCAAAGGCACACAGAACCTTAGCGTTCTGGTACATAAATTCAGTTCTATTATTCCCTATTTGAAAGAGCTCGGTTTTTCATTTAAAATTAATCACAATGTTACTTGTCTGAGCAGAAATACTCTCTAATTATATAAAACTTATTTTATTTGTAGAGGGAGGCAACATAGATAGGAATTGAAACTCTGGAAAATATCTAATTGGTACTAAGGACATATGTTCTAAACTTATTATCCAATTTGAATATTTATATTCTACAGTACCTGCACAGGTATCCTGGAAACCTTTATAACCTGCCCTGTTCTTGCACAGGAGTAAGACATGCAGATATCTAAAAGAACATGAGACCCAACAGCAATACCGGCATTATTTGGAAGCCTGGCATAATGACTAGACTTTACAATAAAAAGGGGGGAATTGGGACAACTGCAACAGCATCAACAATAAAATACTGAGAAAAAAATAGTGTATGTCTTTAACTCTTGACCACTGCTCTTCTTTGAACAGCTTAATTATATAGAACAGGGACTTGCTGTTAGAATTCAACATAATTTCCAAAAAAGATACGTTACTGATAAGTCCAAACTTTATTTAAAACTACATCTTAAGTTCAACATTACCAAACACCACAATGGGAAAAGAAAAAGAAAGAAAAAGAAAAAAAAACCCCACAGTGTATCAAGGCTTGAATCTGTCCAGAACTTAGTTTCTAATGTTTTAAACTGCCATGGGCAGAAATTAGCACACTTATTAAAAATGCAGTGTCAAACTAATTTACATTTTTATACAGATCAAAACAGATGTTTATTTAGAACCATTTTCATATATGCATTGACTATGTAAAGAGAGAGTTAGATGAGCCTCTGAAGACATCTCATGTGCTCTGGGCTCCCACTGTTTCTGAAAAACAGAATAATAATTAATGCCTTATAAATTACTTACTGAATTAAGATATTACTTACTAGAATTTAATCTTTCTGTCTTCCATTAACTAAAATTTCACTTTTAATATAAAGTTATTACTAAGGAAATATCAATTTAGTTTGCTACAATTCCCTGGTAACACACAGAGAGAGCTGTAGAAGAACAGGTGAGTGTCTCTGTTTTAAGATGGCAAACTGACCAGATACTTCCCATCTCCCTTCCTCTGTCAAAAAAATAAAATAATAAAAAATCTAGGAAAATAACTATAAAAACGAGCAAATCCAGGCCAACAACAGAAGAGTGGGTTCTGAGGGAACAGAAGAGAGGAGGTCCCATCAAGTGCCCAGATGCCGAGGAGACGGCGCCGCTGAGGGTCTAACAAGCGGAACTGGGCGGACGACTGGGAACTTAACTGAAGGTTCAGTATTTGATCTGCCCTTCTTTTACCTCATTTCTAGGGGAAAAAAATCTTACATCATTTTAATCAACTCAACATGATTTTTATTCAACACGATGAACTGACAGACACTAACAAAAAATCTTTTGACTTTGACACAAGAAACGCTCTCCTTTGAGTGGTCCAGGGGCTGTGCTCCTCCCAAGAAGGAGGAAATCTGGGGCTATCGCTGGGCTCTGTGATGAACCATTTTCATATAAACCCATTTCAGAAAAACAGAGAAGACTTAACTATTACATTACAAAAACAAAATGTGTGTTTAATACCTTAATAATAATGCACGAATATGACAAAAACTGAAGAGAGAAGGCAAAAGTGGAAGGGAAGCAGCAGTTGGGTAATGACAAAAGTTGATGAAACTAGCAAAGGTCCAAGTACATATTAAAAATAACAAAGGCAACAAGCAGAGAAAACCATAAATAATATGAACACTGAAAGGAAAGGTAGGTCTAAAGACCCACTTTTCATTTAGAAGATAAGAACTATTACCTCAATTTTTTAAATTAAGAAAAACTGTAAGAGCATGATTTTGAGATAGAGGAACTCCTTCAAAAGAACCAAAAACCAATAATGGAAAAAATGGGGTCTTGCCAATTATCATGAACCCTTTTGCACCTTCCTTTCTGAAACCATGTGCATATACTACTTTGCTAAAACTAAAGATTTTTAAAATAGAAAAAATTATCTGATAAATACCATTTTATAAATTAGGAAGCTGAACTAAAAATTTAACAATCATGTTTCTTTTCCAATATATAGCTTAAATCTTCCAGGTACTGGTAGTGCATTAAAAACAAAACTAAACAAAATGATGGTATAAGAATGAATAATTTTTCGATATGATATGGTTAAAACTGGTAACTCATACCAGGTTCTTTCAGTGTCTGAGAATTCCCAACTAATTCTTCAGTCTGCATTTCACATATTTCAGCAGGTAAATGGTTTTTCTGTTCTTCTTGTACCATTTTCTTCCTTAGATCTGCCTTTAGGATGATGGGGAAAAAAGTCATTTTCATCTTAACAATATTTATTATATAAAGGTAAGTTTAATTACAGAGAGCCAAATACCTCTGAATATATTGTCAGTTTAAGTGGTAAATCTTCAACTTTCACGAAGTCTTCCTCATCTGATTTCTGACTTATATTACCAGATTCTGCTTCCTGCAAGAGAAACAAATTATGTTTAATGAAGGCAATCCCAGATTTAAATCAAAGTCATCCATGCCATGAGACAAAGTGGATTCTTGTACACATCAGTAGTTCTATGATATTTAGTTTTCTAATATAGTCAAATTCTATGAATGAAGCAGAAATCTGGAGTTCACGGGACGGGTTACACACTTGTTGGTATGGGGCATACCTTGTGCTTTTTTGGTTCTCTTAAGTTGAAGGGAAAAAAAGTATGTTTGGGACCAAAATAATTAGAAGAACAGTTGTTTCTTGACTATGTTTACAGAAAACATCAGGGATGTATCCAGCAGAATCTAAGTGAACATTTACAGAGTTTCAATATCAACTCTGGGGAGGGTCAAACAGAAAGATGAGGTATGAATTTAGTACTCACTTTTGCGATCACCTCATACTGTATTTTCCTGAAACTTGAATTCGTTTATTCTCTTAGTTCTCTTTTCTGATTTTCTGGGTGCTCCTACCATTACCCAGGGGTAAACTGTATGTTTTTTTTTTCTTGCAACATTTCATACCCATCTCTCACTTAACTCATACTTTGTATTTATAAGATAACGTAGCCTCCTAACATTGCTTTAAATATGACATTTTATACAGTCATCAGATTTACCTTCGAAAAACATGACCATAAACATTTCACTTTCTTATCCTAAAGCTTTCAGTAGTGTCCTGGCCGAAAATTCAAATTCAAGACCCTCTATACTCTACCTTCACGTTAATTTCACTGCAGTGCTTCATTCAGCAACTCTACATGCTCATCAAATGATCGTAAGAATAAATCTAACAGATAACTTAGTAAGAATGTTAAGTGCATAATTTTACTGATAGTGAAGCCAATAAAACAGGAGTTAAGAATTACTCTTTCTGCTAATGTTTTTGAAACATTATAAGCCCCTTTTCTAAGAAATTACAAAATCATAGTTGTAAATATATCTTCAGCAAAAAAGCTGATACTAATTAAAAAAAAAAAGTGAAATACATTCCTTAGGCCTAAGAGCACATTGTTACAAATCCCTTCATTTTTGCTGATAAGACAAAGTATATAAAACACATACAACCCAAGGACCCAAAAAATAAACTGCATGCTATAAACTTAAATTGATACAAAGGTCCAGATTTGGTAGCATATTTTCTAGCATGTTTTACGTCATTCAGTGTATAGCGATACTCTGTCGCTGTCAAATTGTTTTATTTCCCATCCCCAGTGTAAACTGTCGGGTTGATCGAAGATTTCTGAGGTGTCCTCAACACCACCGTCGAGAAGGCAAGGGCTAAGGGAGTGACGACGGTTCAAGCGTTGTTATCCTTCAGACCTGAATGTGCCATGGACCCTCTCCAGGCTGCCACCTAAAACTCATCTCTTTGGTTCTCAAAATTAAAAAAAGAATAGCTTTTAGGTTTTGAGAGAGCCACCTTAATTTCCTATCACCCTTCTCTTCAAGTTTAAAATAAGTTTGAATGAGAGAGAAAAATAAACTGAGTTTCTAAACCTAAACACAAAGCAGAGTTGTATTACATGCTGAAATTGTTACCCTGAAAATAAATATGCACAGAACCGAAATGCAGAAACATTCAGAAAGGTAATGACACGTACATAGTCATTCACTAACACCGGAGAGTCGGTATCAGAACTTCCGGCCAGGGAGCTCTCAGGAGTTTCCTGAGCAGATTTAATTTCTTTGACTCTAGGCACCAAGGTTTCAATTTCAGTTAAAGGTAGCGGCAAAGTAGTGGGCTGTCTGGATGACTCCGTGGTCGCAGGCAAGTCCTTTTGGGCAGTACCATTTAGAGGTTGCTCATTTTCCAAAATATTGAGGTAACGTGGTTTCATAGGAGTGCTGTTCTGCTCATCTGTCACTGAAGGAGAGTCTTAATGTTAGTATAATGCAACAGCTGTTAAAATTTTATTATTACACCAAAAAAAGGCAGTATTAAATTTGCAGATTCAAGCCATTTAAGACCCCCCAACAAAGGCAACTATAAATTTTCCTTATCAACAGTTTCTAAATTTATTTAATCAGATTCATCTGGGGATGTTTTAAAAATTAGATTTCTAAATCCACTTGCTTTGTAAAATGAAGCACGATTTTGAGGAGTAAAAATGGGTATTTTAAAAAATATCCCGCGTTTCTATCTAAAGATATTTACCTTACAGAATTTTTTGCGTTTTAAGTATGTCAGCTTTTCTTTTAACAACTGTTTGCAGAAAAAACAAAGCCCCCATGTTTTCCTCATTTTTGGGGAGAGAAAAGGGACATACACTAGGTCAAAAATACCTTAAACTTACGCTAAGAATTTAACTTTTTTCAGTTTTTAAGCACATAAAGAACACTCTAGATGATGTTAAAACTGAATAACCTATTTAGATTTCTTACCTTTACTAGCAGTAGGTTCTTGTTCTGATTGGACATTTTTGCTTTCTGCTGACTTTTCAAGCTCCTGGTGTAGAACCTAGAGGGAAAAAGAAATGTCTGAATAGCAGGGCCTAAAATATAAGGCCACTAGACAGGAGGTAGTTAGTAGTCCGTGGCTTTTGTCCAGCTTGAGACCGTCATGCAAATGAATTGAAAAATATCTTCTAGAAGTGTTTCAAGGAGGCCGTGACTATGATTACCATTTCAAGAGGGCTAAGTAAAAAAGGTTTCCTCTTCTTAACTTCAAAATAATACACAGAACTGGAATATTATGGATCCCACTATTTTTTATTACTTTTTTCAGATCAAACTCTATCTTAAATGAAACTTACATCTATTTGTATGCAGATGCTAAGAGTATGGCACAGGAACTGAGCAGGAGGGGAAAAGATGAACAAAGCTAGGTGCCTTCAACAGCCTGAGAAAACAAAAACTGAGACCCACCTCCTAACTGGAAATACCCATCTTTAGGACAGGATGTTTGGTGGGGTGAGAGCTGGAGATGCGGGGTTGCGGGGCGGGGGGGGGGGGGCGGCGGCGAACATTTGAAGCTGCTGAAGGAAAAGGTGGACACTTAGGTTCCCTCCCCCAACTTCAGCAGAGAACGGGAGATTATTCATTTTGGAGAACTTAACCTACTTAGGTCTCAGGCCTGGGGGCCCCCAGGGGCGGAGGCAGCATACAGAACGCAGGAATGGCGGCAGGGCTAAGTGTCGCGCTGAACACAGAAGGGCTCCCTGCGGTGAAATGACTGGTGAGACCCCAGCCCCGTTCTCGCATCCAGCTGCAGAGCACCAGCAGCCAGGAGGCCTACCTCTTCCCAGGCAGGAGGAGATGGGAGGGCCCTTCTTTGGAGACGCTAATGCACCCCAGAGGAAAAACCGATAGGTACTGACATTTGGGAGCTTCTTTCAAAAAGCTAATTATCTACCCAACTGCCCTACAGTGGAGCCCAAAAGAAACTCAAGCAGGTTTCCCGTGTATCATTCTTTAAAATAAGCACCAAAGATACAGCAGACATTTGAATAATGCATCTAGATGGTAAGAGAAGGAATAGGGTGCTATTAAAAAAGTAACAATCATAGAAGGAAAAGAAAATGAGAAGATCAACCCATGAAGGCTAATAATATATGATAATACTAATTCCAGGCAGAAAGAAAAAATGGTAGGAAATAAAGGAAATAAAAGAAAATTTACCAAACTGAAGGGCATGATACAAATTAAAAAGGCCCACTGAGTATGCACTCTGGTGAAGGCCTGCAACAATGTACCACATCACTGCAAAATCTCAGACCTCTGGGGGAAAAGCTTCTGGAATGGGAAGGAGAAAAAATACACAAAGGCTCAGAACTAAGAAAGGCCTGCACAACAGCAACACTGAAAACTGAAGACAGAAGCAGTGTCTTCAAAAACCTGAGGGAAAATGATTTTCAACTTGGAAAAGTTAAGATTTTCTTAGACATATAAAACCTCAAAATATTTACCTTTTACTCATTCTTAGAGAGTTCCTGGAAGGTGTGTTCCACCCAAATGAGGTAATAAATCAAGAAAGAGAAAGACAAAGACTGGCTTCCAAAGCAGAGCTCTTTATAGGTGACAAAGGGGAAGCCCAGGCTAGTGTGTGGCTTTTGTCTGACGAGAGAGACCTGCCCACGCGGGAATTCTAAAGTATCTTCCAGGAGAGTTTCGGGAGGGAGGCTGTGGCTGCCACTCCCAGACAGCTAAGTAAAAAGGTTTCCTTTTCTTCTTAACTTCAAAACAGTACCGAGAACTGGAATATTATGCATCCCACTATTCTGTATTACTTTCAGCAGGTCTAAGAGCCAAACCTGAAACGGGGCAGGAAGGGGGACTGCCCAGCAAGGACAAAACTGATGGACTGGTCTGTGTGAGATTCCACTGAGAGATTCATGCATCTACTGGGGGGCGCAGCAAAGGCTTGCGTGTGTGTTCAAAGACAATTAAGCAATAAAAACTTGAGACAATTAGTAAATTCAGGTGAAAAAAAATGTGTAAGGCTAAGCAATAAACGGTATGTGCTTGGTTCAGTAGCCAGTAATGTTTACATAGTTCGGTTAAATCTAAACATTTGGTTATATATAGAATTAACCAAGAGATAATTAAATGAGGAGTTGTAAGTGACCTAAAAATCTTTATCTACTATTTTAATAGAAAGTTGATAGATATCATCTAGTATATAAATGATATACACACAGATGCAGATTATTCAGAAGTACAGAGGTAAACAGCAGAAAAAACATATGCATGTTGCCTCTGAGGCAGTGGATGAGACAGAGGCAGTAAAGGGAATAATTTTATTTTGTTGCATACTATTTCCATGATGGCTAGAAAAAATATAAAGCTAAATTAAAAATTCAGATCTTCTCAAGTAATATCATAAATTTTAGAAGTTGTTACAAAAAAGAGAATATAGTGCTTCAAACATTCCTAAATACAAAAACAGTGTTTCAGATTTCAGTGTAAAGATATTTAAAAATTTTTATCTGTGAAAACGCCAATGGAGCAGCAGCCAGCTCCGCCGTCTGTGAGAAGGCCCTGCCTCGCAGGCTGGAGTGAGGCGGGCGGGGGCCCGCGGTACCTGGTCCTCTTGCTCGTTCTCCTCCGCAGCTTCTGGGTTAGCCTGGAGCGAGGTCTGAACATCTACCGGTCCCTCCTCAAACTCTTCTATTTCTTCATCTTCATTCTCATCTTCTCCACTTCCATAATTAGTCAGTGCTTGGGTCTCAGCTTTGGACAAATCTATGTTGATGAACACAATTTTTATATAAATTTTCAGCACTTAACAGCTATAATTTATTGCATTTCTGTATTGTGCAAGTGCTTTACATACAACATTGAAAATCTTCAAAAGAGTAAGTACTACAAAAAACTGTGCTGCAGAAAGGACAAGTCATTTAGTCAGGATCACACTGCAATTCAAATTCAGAGCCGTCGGACACCTAATTCCACGTTCATTACACGCCCCCAAGCAGTTTCAGTATCAGCCCTACCACGAACAAGAACAAGCGTAGGAACCCAGCACGAAGCCCCTGAACTCACTGATCGACACCGGGCACTCTTCGCTCTCTTCATCCTCCTCCTGGTCGGAAGTGTCAGACCGCCCGCTCTTGGGGCGGTCGCCATCACCCTCCTCAGGGGTCTGACTCGGCTGCACCGTTTCAGTCTCATCCTTGTCCTGGCCACAGAGAAATCTGAGTCACCAACTTCTTAAAGTACATTTTAAAAAAGTACCTGGTAAGGCTGTCATAAAAATTAATCATAGTCATTCTCTAATAGAAAAAAACACAAAGAATCATGTTAGACGGTTTAGTTTTGTTTTTAAAATAAAGGTTTGTCAGAAAAAAAGAACATTTGATAATACACTTTGCTCTCAAACATTAAGGTAAAAACTATTAAAAGTCATTTAGTATCTTGTTTAGAAAGCATTATTTTGGGGCACAAATCAGTTCACACGTACTCTCTCTTCCTCATCGATTTCCGCAGCAGGCGAGCCATGATCTCCGTCAAGAACCCTTCTGGCCTGTAAGCAAGTCAATTGGACAACATTTAAGGGTGACTTTTCAGCATTACATTTATGTATTCAGTAAACTTTAACAAAGGTTGCCTTTTCACAGTCATCCAAAGAACTGAATTCATCTTACATATGTAAATTAAACTCTTTCTTTCAAAGCTTTTAAATGAACAAAACCAAAGCTACATTCCCTACTGCCATCTCCTTGGATACGTAAGAAGTATCTCAAATGTACTAAGTCCAAAACAAAAGTCTCGATCGCTTCCTTCCAAATGCTATCTTCCTTTAGTCTTCCTAGTCTCAGTACGTGGTCCTTCTTTCAAACCAAATGCACAAATCAGAAAAGCCTAGACGTTATTTCTATCACCCACGCTGAAACCATTAGGATGCCTCGCTGACTCGGTCATCTACGCGTACTGCTGTTGCCCATTCAGAGCTAAGACAGGCCGTTTCTTACCTGAACTATTGCAACACCCTTACAATTGGCCCCTCTGCTTCTTTCTCTACTCTCCTACAACTCCTGTTTGATAGGGTGTCCAAATAAAAATTTCAAATTGTTTTGAGATTATGTCACTCCTCTACTGCAAATTTTCCCATGGATTTCCATCATGCTTAGAACAGAAGATCCTTATCACAGTTCCTAAGGCCCCATAATTGGCTTTATATGCCTCTGTGAATTCGTATCCTACACTCTTAGTTCCTTTAATGAGTCCCTGCCTCCCTGACCTTCTCTCTGTTCTCCAAACTAACTGCTCCATCCTGCCTTGGAGTCTTCACACATTTACGTCCTGGGAAAGGCAACAGCTGAGGCAGGTGGATGGTCAAAGATTCCTGTCACCCTATCTTGTCTGCAAAAGTGAGTAAGTGGCAATACTGTGACCTGGATATCTGACCATGCACACTTAGCATCATTTTCTGTCTGCATCACTTGTCTGCAGTCACTGATGTTACCACTGAGATTCTGTCTGGGGCTAGCATGTATAGTGATATAGAATCTGATTAACTGGTATCACTTCAAAATGGCTTTTCTGAGGTCATGGTTTTAGTTATCAATAATAATCAAAGGCTATATTTATATGCTAATTATAATTACTTCTAAAATTAAAATGAATTCAATTTACCTCTTTGGCATAAGACTGTATCACTCCGGCTGCTTCTATTTTCCTTTTGCATCTCTGTTTAACAGTCATGCTATTATTATCCAAATCTTGCATGAGCTTAAAGAAAGCCAACTCATTAAACAACACTTCAGAAATCTCTACAAGAAGATCTTCTCCACAGTCTTTCAGTTTCCTGCCAGCAAATTTTGCCAGAGAATCCTATTCAAAATAACCAAATCACTTTAAGATTAATAGTAAACATCAATTGTGGATAGAGCAATACAAATTTGAATTATAATACTTATCTAGTAAAAAAGACAATTTTATTACTTTTTAGTACTGAGAAACTTTAGTTCTACTCAAGATGATATACAGCATCATCAAATGAACAAGTCTACTATATCTGAGACACTTTTTAAAATAAAACTGCTTTTCTTTTTCTTTCTTCTAAAGATATGGACTATGCTGTTTAGAAAACAGGCAAGTATGACGTCTGGTGCCCCCCTCCCCTGCAGAAAAAACCACCTTGTCTAGCGCAGTCGTGGAGAGAAGTGCAAAGGCTGGAGCCTTGTGGAAAAAAATTCATTGAACGGGTTTTGTAAGAAAAAAAGTAGAAGAAAGTAATTTAGGCTCTAGCTCATGAAAAACTTTCCATACTCTGAGCAAGAGTTAATGTACATTCCTCTTAGTCTTCATTTAGGTCCCCTTGTAGAAAAAGAAAAAAAGAAAAAACAGGAATGCGGTGAAAGAAAAGCATCTGATGTTCTGAGACACAGAAAAATATTCTTATATCCAAATTACTATTTTGGGATTTTCCCACAATTATGATTATAGTAGGAAAAATGCATGGATATTGATTTTTAAAAGTATTTAAATTACATACAATTTCTCTTTCAGCCTGATTCTAAAATGGATTTCTTTCCATAGAAAAAAGCTAGCTAAAGTTATAAACATACATTTATCTAAAAATTACCCTAAGCATTCTTAAACAATGCATAAAACCACTGATATCTTACAGTCCTTATAAATTGTTAGTTTTATTAAATTAAATAGAGCCAGAACAATTTAAAACATGTATAGAATTTATAGTCTTAATAAAAATAAAATGGGAAATTACAGTAATGGAAATTTGCATCAAGCCTAGGGTATTAAAAATTAGCAAAGTGATAACATCATCTCCAAAACAAACTTAAACAAAGGAAGAGGATGGAAAATTTTTATAGGAAAATTTTGTGATGAAAATTTTAAAAATGCATTTTTTAGTTAGGAATAAAAATACACATGACTGAACTATCTCTATGGGAAAATGTACAGGTAAATTCCACTGTAAAGATTTTTATTATATGGCGTAAGGTGTTCTTCCTTAACAGAGGGTGTTCTCAACCTTGGCACTTATTAACAGCTCACTAGATGCTAGACGCCTCCTTGCCTATTGAGACAAACAAAATACAGACGCTGCTCAACGTCTCCTTGGCCAAAGCTGCACCTTGCCCCCTAACTGCCACCTGGACATAATTTAAGGTTACTGCTACAGCCTAGGACGTCTCCATAATCAATAGCAGGCTTCTGGCTTCTAAAATTTCAGACTGGTAAAAAATGATTTGAGAAAATACGACAGAAAACTTTCTAACCAGTTCAAACTTGAAATTTCTTATGAAGTAGGAGAAAAATCAAAACAAAATTTTCCTAGAGCTGGGATAAACCTTAGATATGATCAAATTAAATGGAGACACAGGCCCTAATACAATTATTTTTAACCAGGTAAAGGAATAACCTGAAAGTAATATAATATCACCCCAAAGAGATGCTAGATGGATAGTTATTTGAATAAACTGTGTAATGCCAGAAATGGCAAAAAACAAAAACAAAAAAACAAACAAACCCCAAAACCCCACAAAAAAAAAAAAAACTTCACGAAGTGGTGCATACTTACATCATACAAGTACAAACTATTACCTGTAATATACTTCCAAGTTGTTTATGGAAGAACTTCACAAACTCTTTGCTCTCATCATTTTGCTGGGTTAGGGTCAACACCATGCGTCTCACTGAAGTTAGAAGCTGAGGAGTACATACTTCATCCATGTGCTCCTGAGAAAAATCCTAGGTGGTTAGGATATACACTTACCTATCGTTCAAAAAACATCAACTCTCATAATGAGATTTTATTGTTCTTGCATGAATGCTTCTCAACTTTCAGCTATACATTTGGAATTACTTATTCATGAGACTAGTCAAAGCCCCACTCTTTACACATTAAGAGGTTTGCAAATTTTGACTGACCACAGTGATAACAGCCAGTAAGAGAAACTGGCTGTTTCAAATCTTTTCATCATTTTCTTTCTGTACCTTAAAGAGAACTACCCATGCCATAGACTCCATGTTGCCTGTCTTCCTATTTGCAGTTCAGTTCAGCTGCTCTTACAAACACACTCAGGCTTTCTCAACGCCGGCACTCCTGACATCTCGTACACCATGGGACGTCCCGTGGCACACTTGTCCCCCCGCACCAGGTGCCGTTAGTACCCTCTAGCATCCCACGTCCTGATAACTAAAAACGGAGCAAGACATGAGAAGCTGTTCTCAGGGTCCAAATGACCCCTGGTTGAGAACCACTGTCCTAACTTTCTTAACAAGCTACTTTGTACAAGTCTCTTCTCCTGAATCTTCTTTTAGAAGCATGTTCACACTACCCAAAAATCCAAATCACGGTTAGCTTTCTGAGGTGAATCCATAAAACACTCGAGTGTCAAGTAACCTCAAGGTTCTATTCCCTCTTCTGTCACTAAATGCATTGGGCAGGCCCTCTAACTGTTAGTTGGGTAACTTTGTATTTTTTTTCCCTAGACGAATGTGTACTATGAAGTGGCCAAACTAGATGATGTCTAAGGTCCTTTAAATCTAAGGATTTGTGCTTGTTTTTAAAAGGCTCATGTATCAAGAAGTCAGATACGTGCACCACTACGAGCTATGCACTGTCTCGCAGGTGATACCTTTTTTCTTATTCATCACCTAGCACAGCGGCTAGCTCACGGGAGACACTCGGGAATTGCTGAATGAGTAAATACCACAAAAGCAGCACACACCAGGTGCTCTAAGGGGCTGTGGTCGCAGGTTAAAGGCCAACAACAAATATCTCCAAAGAGAAAATATTTCAGCAAGACAGTAAAGAGTTGTTTTACACTTTCCATAGTGACAACTTATACAAGGGGCTAAAGTAAGTGAAAAGGTAACGGCAGGAAGGGGAAATGCTGAGAAACTGCGGTGAGGGATGAAGCGGGAGAGCGCACCAGAGGCTGTGGGGAAGCCTCCTGAAGGCTGAGGGGTTTGCTCAGTAAACATTCACTTCATGTCTATTGTGGCAGGCAGTCTAGGCAACAGGTAAGAACATGAATCAAGGTCGTGCTACTGGAGAGAAGTAAAAGTGACCATTCTTAAAGAGGGAGATCAATTTTGACTCACTGGTGACAGAGGGAGAGAGACTGTGAGGAAGTCTAGCTCAGGTGGACTGCATGTAATGCTGACATTAACAAAAAGGTTCTATAATCCTACCAAAAAAGTCATGATTTGAAGTGAAATAAGACATGATAAAACAGTTGAAATTAAATCATTAGTCCTAACCATTTTATTGGCCTCAGGAACTTAAATGCTAAATTCATTAAGGAAATTCTTATGAAAGGATATCACTAAAATCAGATACAAAATGGTAAAAGCAATAAAATTTCCTGAGGATGCCTGTATTCCCTAAGCATAAAGCAAAATTATTTAGATTTTTTAACCCTTAGAAAATAACTGCATACATCAAATAAGTATTACTGCCAACATACCTAATTTAACCAAAGACATGTTTAAAAGCATTTACCCAGTTACTCATGACAAACAAAAATGTGAAAGAAAAAAGGGAATACTTTGATATATGTATGCCTAAGATAGGAGCAAGCAATAACAGTTCAAGTCCATTCACTTGAGGGAAAGGTTTTAAACTCTTAAATAAATTATCTACCTATCTACAAGAATATTTGCATATTCTTATAATTTGTCGGAATATAAATATTCTTTTGGGGGGCGATACATTATGTTACAAAACAACAGGAGATAGATTCACAGAATAATTGGTGAAACTGAAGTATTTGTCACAGCTACTCAAATTCCCTTTATCCAGACTCGGAAGTCCTGCCTGGGCGGAAGTACTAAGAGATTTGGAAAGATATTCTAGTGGGGAGACTCATGCAAATAATTACGACACTTCGTTCTAAGCACTATAATAAAGGCATGTACCAAACACGAACATGCCAGGAGCAATGGAGAGAAGGAATTCTGCCTGCCAGAACATGCAAAAATACTCGGGCTCGGCCCTGACGGATAAGGCTGATGGACAGGCTGGAAGAGCCCCGCTGGCAAAGGAAATGACACGGGCATCGTGCCTTTCTGAAAGCTGTCAAGCAGGATAGAAGGTACGTGGGAAGGAAGAGTTAAGAGGCTGAGGCGAGGCTATGAAAGGTCTTAGAAGCTACACAGTATCTGATCTGGGTCCCAAACTATACGTCTTAGAACCTAAAGAGCGAGTCTGACAAGTCTGAAAAACACACTTGAGGGCTGAAGGATCCTTCCATTCATTTATTATATTAATTCATTCAGTAAGTATTCACTGAGTGCTCATTATCTGCAGCTACTAATCTTGGCACTGTGATGAAGCAGCGACCACAACAGATTTACATCTCTGACTTCAAGGAGCTTTCATTTTAACAGGAAGAGACAAGACAAAATGAACAAAAAAACATGAAATACATTAGAAGGTGACAAGCACTATGGAGAGAAAGGAAAGCAGGTAAGGAATTGGGGGAGATCTGCTCACCAAAAAGGGAACATTTGACTAAAGACTTGAGAGGTTCAAGGGACAAACTGTGCAGTTTTGTGAAGGCAGAGCATCCCAGACCTAAGAATAAGGAAGGGCGAAGGCCTCGTAAGTGCAAACAGCTCTGGCAGGAGTCTAAAGATTATAAGAGGAAGCAAACTGAGAGACACCTTAGTAGCTATTACAATTGCCCAGGAGAAGACTAAATTCTTGTTTTTACATGGAATACTCTGGGCACAGGTAGATGATCCTACCTCTTTTTTTGGCTGTAAGATAAAGTCTGCAGAGAAAGCAGTTTCCATAATTGCCTTCTCAAAGATCTCTCTTCTCTCACAATATCCCAATGAAAGCAATATTTCCAGGAAAGAAATGTAAGTGCATGGAAACAACTTTCTGTTGTCAATGTCTTATATCGAAAAGTATAAGTAAATTTTAAGAACTGAACCCAATAACAATTTATTTTGTAGTTTGCTGTATCTGAATAAAGACTGACTCTTCATTTCTAATGTTTTAAATTTCCATTTAAATTAGAATGTAAAAGAGTTTGCCAACTCAGGTACAAGTCTTGTCTTCACTTTCCATTTCTTGCATACTTTATTTTCTCTGTCCTGTTCATTGTTATTAAACAAAATGAATAGTATTGCTTAACAGTCTCATACTCTCACTGTTGTTAAAAATATAAATTGTTAAACCTTTCTGAAGGACAATTTAACATAATGTCTCAAAAGCCTTAAAAAATATTCATAACCTCTGAACAAGAAATTTTATGCCTAACCATTACTTCTAAGAAAATAAAATGGGATAAATTTAGCTAAATCATTTAAGTGATGTTTAGAATGGTGAAAAAGAAAGGAGGATAAACATAAATAAATATTTTACAATAAGAACTGACTGAAATAATAGAAAGTTCTAGTCTATCAATACTCAACCCTCAGAGTAGCAACCAACACACAGCTCACTATGGCAATCCTACGTGGAAACTCGGGCTCTTCCTTTTTTGTACAACTACTACCTGTTGAATCACCTTGTCCTGGGCCCCAGTTCTAGGCCCCTTTCTCTTATCCAGTGTCCGCTTTAGGTAACTCTATCGACCATTAATAGGACCTGCTAATTTCCGTTGCCTGTTTCTCCCCATCTCTAGTACTACACCCTTATCTAAGCCACTATCATTTCTCATCTGATTTTATTGCGCTCCTGACCCCTATAATCAATTATCCAAACACAAAGCAAATTTTGTTTCTTACTTACTTAAAACCCTCTTGGAATGTCCTCCTGAACTTTGAACAAAGTCCAAACTGCAATCACGGCTATGTTCTACATAACTAGCCCCTGCCTCCCTCTCCAACTTCATCTCTCACAAATTTCCTACAGCCACATGGGTCCTCGTCTAGTTCCTTCGACATGCCCAACTAGTTCCTATTTTGGGGCCTTTAACTCTGTCTGGAATGACCTTGGTTTAAGCTGGCTCCTTATGCACATCTTTCCTTAAATGCTCCCTCTTTTGAAGCCTTTGCTGGCCCTCCACTCTGAAATACACACTATCCTATCATCATATTCTAATTCTCTGCATGGCACATATCACTATCTGATACACACTTACTATGTATTATATTTACTTTTTTGGGGGGGAGGGTCCATATTCTCATCCTTGCATGTAAGTTTACATGTGTTCTCTGAATTTATTACAATGGAGTGCTTCGTATGAATTAAAAAACAAAACAGAAAGTTTATTTCTAAGAATTATCGCTTACCTTTAAAAATGGAATGACTTCTTTCATAATTGCTTTAATTTGTCTGTCTAGCTGCTGAGTATCAATTCTAGGACACGGGACAGTAGAAATCTCACTTGCAGATTGCTGTGAACTATGATTTTCAGTAACAGGAGTTTCTATTTTAAAAGAAAAGATCCATTAGCCAAGTAAAGCCTACGACATTATACGTATGCACTGATGCAAATTCGAAAGAACATTAAATTATGACTTTATGCTAAAATAATACAAAGAAACATCTATAGTTCTAACACCCCTAATAATTAAAAGAAAGTGACCGCAAAACCACTGTCGTGTATCAGATGGGGTGAAAGTACTTGTTAATATACGGAAGCACGGTTTTTACTGTTCATGACTTCAGCGACTCACCTTCTACCTGGTTAACAGCAGTCGCGGCCCCACTGTCTCCCTCGACAGCCCTGCAGGTACACCTGACGTCTGCGCTACTTTCAGCCTCGGTTTTCATTCGTTCGTATTCCCTCATTCTGGCTAGTGCTTGATCCAAGTGGATCACAGTGTTACCTGCATATGGAACAGAAACGTGTCTCAAAAATATAAAAGCAAACCTTTTCATGTATTCCTCTAAATTTGTACATAAAAAAATAATGTCTGAACGAAGGGAAGAAAAACTAGTTTTAACAAGTTCCAGATATTGTAGTAGATGGGTATTTTCCAAACATTATCACATTCATTCCTTCAGTCCTTAAGATAACCTTGTAAAGTGGATGGTAGTACCCTCATTTTAAGGGAACTTAAGTAACCTGCACAGGGTTTCACAGCCTGTTAAGTGCTAAAGCAGGAATTTAAACTCAGGTCTCTTAGACTCTGAAGTCCATACTTATTTCAGTTGCTTCACTTAAAACAGTACATAAATTAATTCCAAAATGGCATGCAAATTCTGATGCAAACAACCTAACCTACAACAATCAATAAGGTAAGGAAAAGACCTAAGAGTGACATTTCCCAGTTCTCCTTTGTCTACTTCAAAGCTAATGCTGAATGTTTTGAGGGAAAAAATAAATCAGTAAATGAAAACATGTAGGCCTCAAAGTTACTGGCAACTCAGAAAGTGGGAACTACTAAAGGGGAATGTGTTTATCGGAGTGATTTTTGAAACTTTTCTCTATTATGAGTTCAGTACTTGACAAGCATTTACTCCGAAGGGAGCTGGCCTTAAAGGAAGACAACTGTTTTGGCAAAAGCTAGGTAAATAACTGAAGACAGGGGCAAGGTTTGGCCCTTCCCTCTGTAGTGGAAAAAGGCCTTTGAAATCATCTAACTCTGTCTCTCTCCACAAGAACACAGGCCAGAGCAATGGGGCCCTGCCGTGTGCACTAGCAGCTCGACGCCTGAATGACTGCGTCCCTGGGTACCTCCCGACAGGCTGCCGCCCGGAAAATGCATCGAGAGGCCCTCAAGTGTTTTCTTCTGCCTAATCTTGAAATTCAGGACTCAGGGTTTATTTTCTCTCCTTTGAGTTTGCAAACTTTCAAAATTTCTTTTTATTACTGATGAAAGAAATGCAACGTGCCATGACTTAGAATTACAAAAATTTCAATTCTTACTCCAGTTAAGATATTGACATCGTTCCTGAGGCTGTGACTGAATGAAGGCGTTGCTACCTGTGGATTCTTCCCACTGATTAACTGCAAGACTTGAAAGGGTGCCCGTTCTTCTCAGGGAACAGGAAATTAACATTTTCTAAAGTTCTATCATGCATGCTAGAAAGTTCTGTATTTTTTTCATAAGAGCATAGCAAGTTAGGTAGGATCCCCATTTTCTTAGTATATGTATAGAGTGAGAAAAGTTAGATGATTTGCCCAATGTCTAAGAGTTAAGAGACGGAAGATTCCTGAATTTAGACTGATGGATAGATTTTTAAGTCCTTATTCTGTAAGAACTTGTCTTTCTAGAATTTTGTTTCCTTACAAATGTAATTCAAAGACTGTAGTAAAGTCATGTTCTAAGATTATAAAAAAAGTCTGCTTACCCAGATCATCTGTTGCAAAAGGCTCAAAATTTGAAGATACAGACAGGACACTAGCATTATCAGCATCATTTTGCTCACTTATTTTATGTGTTTCTCTCTCAAAGTTCTTCTCAAAAGTTTCCTAAGTTACAGTTTTAAAACAAATAAAAATCACGAATATTTCTTATTTTAAAGTTGGATTAAATTAAAATTTTAACATAGAAACTATTTGCATAAAATTATACACTTAAAATCGTGATATAAACCCAAGTAATAATGCACCGAATAGAGAGTCAAAGAAGACAACCTTGCAGAACACTTGTCATTTTGTAGATGACAATACACAGAGCCAGCTACAGATTAAATTCTAACTTGGGAAACTTAATGTTGCACATGATTTCTGTACCCTCACGAAAAGTCTCCCATCTCCAAACCCTAGCAATGCCCAGAACCTTACACTATAATATGTACTTTTCTCGTATCAGAAAAAAAAAATGACAGCATCATTCATGTTTTTAGATCAACTTTATTTCAATGTAATTCACAAACAATATACCCATTAAGTATACAGTTTGAAGAGTTTTGAAAAATATATGCACTCATGCAACCACCTTTCCTAAAAATAAAGATCATTTCTATCAGCCCGGAAAGTTCCTTTGTACCCCTTTGCAATCAATATCCATGACACCCCACTCATATGATTTCTATCACCAGATTAGTTTTGTTTGTTCTAGAACTTCATATAAATGGAACCATTCAGTATGTACTCTTCACTCTCAGGCTTCTTTTACTCACTAAGTTTTGGAAATTAATCCATTGTTGTGTGTTTCATAAGTTAATGAACTTATTTTAATGGTTAAATAATAATCCATAATATGAATATACTAATTTGTTTATCCATTTATCTACTGATGTTCCAGCTTGAGGCTATCATGACTAAAGATGCTATGAACATTAGTGTAAAATACTTTTTTTTAATGTATATTTTCATTTCTCTTGGATGAATACCTAGAAGAGAAATTGCTGGGTCACATGCCAAATTTATGTTAACTTTATAAGAAACTGTAAAACTGCTTTCCGAAGTGGTACAATTTTACAAGCTCACCGGCAGTACGAGAGTTCCAACTGCTCCACGTTCACACCAACACTTCTTACGGTCCACCTTTCATTCCAGCCTTTCTAGGGGGCGTGAGGCATGCCTCGCATGCACACGGGCCATTTATGTGTCTGCCTTCATGAAGCACCCGCTCAAATCTCTTGCCCATTCTTGACTGAGTTGACTGCCTTAGAACTGACTTGTAAAGTTCTTTATGTAATAGTCTAGATTTGTCATTTGTCAGATATGCGTGCGCGCGCGTGTACACATACTGGGATTAGTCTCTCCTAATTTTAACTTTTAAAATAAAATTTAATCAATTTTTCTTTTATACTTAGTGCTTTTCATCCTAAGACATCTTTGCGTATGTCGAAATAAAGAAGATTCCCTTGTTTTCTTTGAGAAGTTTTATAGTTTCATTTTTTCCAGGATGTGAAGTACTTTCAAATTAACTTTTGTATATCGTGTGACCGGTGAATGGAGTGGGTGGGGGGCTGAAACTCATTTCCCAACTGTGTCCTTTCTCCTAGCTATAGATCTTTTAAAACTTTTTCAAATTATTAAATGAAAAGTTCTGTCCCTGATTAAAGAAAGGCAGGTATTAGCAAAAATGGTTTAGGAAATGAAACCATTTTGTTGCTCCATCAAGTAAGACCTGCTGGCAGACGTGCTTTTGCCATTTTAAAGCACCTGGAGTAGAAGATGCAAATTGTTCCTTCCTCTGCCTAAACCTCAATTCCTAATCCTCCTTCACTTATAATCCTCAGATGCCTGCTTTTACTTCTCTTTTTCTTGGGCATGAAGACTCCTACACACACTCTGAAATGCATTAGTGTAAAAGCTCCATAAATGAAGCTTGAAGGACCCTGACCCAGAAACATGGAGAATGAGACTGTCTGTCTGTCTGATATGGTAACCACTAGCCATGTAGCTAATTACAGTAAGTAAAATTTAAATTCAGTTCCTCAATCCCACTAGCCAATGGCCTCTGTATTAGACAATACAGATATAAAATATATCCATCATTATAGAAAGTTCTACTAGACAGCACTGCTCTAGATCAATGGGTATGAACACTGGATATTGTGCTGCTGCTAATTAAATGGCAATAAAGGGAAGATGTTGACATTAATGTTAACTTTAAGTTGTGGATAAAAAAATTAAAGAATTGACTTATTTATTTGAAAGTAATACTAAATATAGTTATTATGGCAAGTCCCTAAAATTATGGACTGAATCTTTGTGAACCCCAACGCCCCCAAATGCATATGCTAAAGCCCTGACTCCCAATGTGATAATATTAGGAGGTGGAGTTTGGGAGGTAATCAAGTTTGGGTGAGGTCATGAGGGTGGAACCCCCATGATGGCATTAGTGTCCTTAGGAAAAGAGGAAGCCACACTAGAGCTTCCTCCCACTGCCACGCAAGGACACAGAGAAAAGGCAGCCATCTGCAAGCCAGAAAGAGGGCCCTCAACAAGAAGCTGATCTGCTGACACAAGACCTCGAGCTTCCTAGCTTTCAGAGCCATGAGAAATATTATTTGTTGTTTAAACCATCCAGTACACAGTACTTGTTTTACCAGCCTGAGCTGACTAAAACACCTACTTATTTATGAAGCTGTACAGTTTCTTAAACTTTAACTTTAAAACCATGTCAACATTGTTATAAACTGTAGCTCAATTTTCAAAATTTGCTATTGATGATGCAAACCTATGTGCTTGAGTCTTTTAAAATAACTAGAAGTAATACTATGTACAAAACTTGGATAAAAAGGGAGGCACTAGAGTTAAAAATATAAAATTACTGCCCTGACTCATGAGGCTCAGTAACTTGGGTATCGTCCAGCAAACTAAAAGGATGCCAGTTTAATTCCAGGCCAGGGCACGGGCTAGGTCCCTACTTTGGAGGCACGCGAGAGGCAACCGATCCATGTTTCTCTTTCACATCAATGTTCCTCTCCCTCTCTTTCTCCCTCCCTTCCCCTCTCTCTAAAATAAATAAACATAAATAAATAAAACCTTTAAAAATAATGAAATTACTGAAAATGATTTATAAGAACACTTCATGCTCTCAGTAAGTTATTTCAATGCCTAATAAACTTTAACCTAGTATCTCCTATTATATATATATATATATATATAGCTGGACCAACTTCATTTCTCACACAAAGGAGTACAGAATATTCAATCTGTCATAATAACGACTAATCCCAAGTAGCAATTCCTTACATTAATTTATATCTGACATCGTAAAGTCAATTAAAACCATGTGGTTTTTAGACACAGGTTTACATTCATATTAGTATAGGAGTTGGAGCCTGGTGGAAACAGGCTCTAAGCAGAAAAAAATGACTTGGGAAAGTATTGTTTTAAACATGAATATAAATTAACAAGCAAAAGCCCTCAATAACTGTAAAAAAAATCACTGTATGTGAAGAAAGGCCAAGATAATCTTCTGAGAAAACATTACCTTTACTGTAAAAAATTATGTTAATATGTCAACAATGGACAGAAACAAAGTAACATGCTTTCAACACTCTACCTTTATCAGATATTTGCTAATCAATTATAGTACTCTTATCCATGGATATCCAGGTGCTAGAAATGGCATAAAAGAATGAATTTGCTGTCCTAAGACCACATATAATCTTTTACAACAGAATTAGGGTCTTAACTTTTAAAGAGGCGACTTCCAAATAAATAACCTAGCATGTTTCTCCTCAGTATCCTAGTAGTTTGCCATTCAGTCATGTAGCACCTGCCTACCACCACAGGTCCTACAAGAGAGGTAGGCGCTGTTTGGACAATGGATTTATTGAAAATATACCTTTCTCCTCACCAGCCTTTTCCATTTCCTTTCTACTTTATTTAAAGTTTTATTCAATTTTAATACAAAAAATTACATTTTTGTCCTGGATGTAATTTTCTTTTCTTTTATATATGCTTCTCTTCTAACCCAAAGACCCAGTTTATCTTGTATACATTTACTGAGGGGTTCTGACTGTGATCTGGTTGCTGTCTGGTTTACTGAATGTCTTAAAGAACACAACAAATATTACTAAATGTCTATGAGGAGGCAACTCCTATGATGGGCAATGGAAGTATAAATACAGCCACTTTAGACCTTATAATCAACCACTTATACATAAGGTATTCTGATTAGGTTTTAGACCTCATCTCAAAATAAAATGATTACACCTAGCTTTTTAAAAAAGTGGAAAACCAGATATATTAGGTATGCTCACAATTTATAACACCCTATTTAACTTTTGTTTAATGCATACTGAAATTATGTATAGATTTCATTGATCACTATCAGCTTACATCATCAGTAGTAGCAAGGCTTTCACTGGGAGTAAGTTCTGAGTTTGATGCTATCCAAGTACCAGAATTCGCTCCCTTTACATTTTCCCCTTCTTTTTCATGGTGCTCAGAAATGTGCGTGGATACTATGTCCTAAATAAGGAAATAAGATATTTATGTAAAACATAAACTTTCAATCAAAAATTTGAAAACAGAACCAGATTAAAGAAAAAATTCAATACTCCTCACCTCAGAGGTTAACTGTGAGGAAGAAATTAACACTGAAGATAAAATATTGACATATTGCTCAGAAAAAGACTTTATATAAAAGCTACTTAAGCTATACAAGAAGTTTCAAATAAAAGGGAAGAAGGCATATAGAAAATACATCAAAAGACGTAAGGAACAAGGACATACTTAACTCTAAGAAAACAACCAGATATAACCGTGAAGAACAGTGATACTAAATAGGATAGGAAAAAGAACATTAACTACCAGATACCTGCAACGCATATAAGGCCCTCTGTCTTAAGTAGTCTGTATTAAGCAGCTGAAGCTCATGGAAGAGTTCAATGAGAAAATGGGGACGAGATTCATTTTGAGAAATTAATGTAGCTACTTCAGAATAAATAGTATCCCGCAAAGCTTCGAACATGGAAAAATCACTCCCAGTTTCTGGAAGATATAAAATATCAGCAAGTTAATAGAGATGAAAATATATTTATAACAATTTCTATTAACTTGTATCATTACTGTCAGCCTTCAGTTACTTAAAAATTAGAATATACTTAATTCTATTTCAGAGCTTTTATAGTAAAACAAAAGGTCTTAAAATTACCAAGATAAAATTAACCATAAAAATACCTATATATACCGTATAATAAAAAAAATTTAAATGTATGAATAACATTACCTAGTGTTACTTGGATCGTAACTGTTTTTCAATAAAAAAAATTCTGGAAAATGTACATTTCATAGGAATAATCAGTGGAAATCTTTCAGCACTTGGATGAAATCAGCAAAATAATTTTTTTTCAGCTAATATGAACTTGTTACAAAGAAGGAAATTTGTTTAATAATGAGAGTAAACTAAATATTACCAATGAGAATTACCATTTAAGCTCTACAGAGTTATGTACAAATTCTCAAATCTCAACTCTGATTCTGTAGTGATAAAAAACTGAATTTGTGCCCTGATCAGGTGGCTCAGTCAATTAAAGCATCATCCCATACACCAAAAGGTTGCAGGTTCAATTCCCAATCAGAGCACATATGACAGGCAACCAATTGATTGTTTCTCTCTCTCTTCCTCTCTCTTTAAAAATCAATAAACATATACTTGGGTGAGGATTTAAAAAACAAAACAAACAAAACCCCCCACAAGTTGTAACTATAACATAAACATAACAGGTCAATTTCTCTACAGCATCACATCCTGACATATTTACAGTATACGGTATATGTTGGAACAGGCAGTGGAAATCCTCGGTTTCACAGAACCTAGGTATCACTCTATTATTTAGCAACAATTCTGCCATATGTATTTGTGGACAACACAGAATTATCACCCTTAATGATAAGAGTCATACTCCAGTACAAATTAGGAACTATTCTCATTTTGATTTCTCTATGGAAAAAAATAAAAGTTATCTGTAAGTGGGTCTTCTAGCTATCAAATTCTGTCAACAGTCTAGAGCAACAGTAGAACCACAAGCAGTTTAATACTCAAATTCCAAAAAATCAGTAGTAAGTTTCTAACAAAACTTGAAATGTTGACTGTTATGTTTTCAAATAAATCTGCAAAGATTATAAATTATAGATAATTCATTTATTGCAAAAGAATTAAGAAAATGCAAATCAAATTGGGTTTAATTAAAAAGACTTTCCACTAATTTCCTAAGCTAACATCTTCAGGTCTCAATTTCCATAAGTAAAATATAATAAAAATAATAAATATGCAATTTCCTACATATAAAAGGAAATGATATACTAAAGTTCTTAGTATTTTGAAATGTCCAAATGTGATACAGTACTACAAAAATAGTATTTATTATAAGCATAAAACAAAATTATCACTGTAGAAAATCTCTACTTACAGGAAAAATCCAGATAAGATATAATTTAATATGCAAACTTTCAATTTATATAGTATATTATAGTTTGACACAAAAATGTTATTTCAAAGACATAGGAATAAGCACATTTAGTATTTTTCAGATCTCTGTATGTGAGAAAAATAACCACTTTATTAAATGTCATTAAGGATAAAATCATTCCCAAATAACTGAATTATGTCAAACACATGCTTCCTCCCACCTGCAATAAAGAGGTGGAAGTTTGTGTCATTTTTCTCCTCCTGGACTAACATGCATTAGTTTAGGCTAGAAAAACCCTTGCTCTCACCAGGTTTCTCTGACTCTATATTGTTTTTACCCTCACTATTTTCAGAGTTCTTTTCTTTAGGAAATGCCACTGAGCTCAGCTTTGTCTGTGTCAGCTACTTGTTCTTCTTCCTTTGATTCCTCTAAAGATTCCTAACAGGCTTTTGTTTTCATGCATGGGCAGTACAGGGGGAATTAAAGAATATTTACAATTCTAAATCACACAGCACCATACTTAATGAAAATACAGTTTAAAACAAAATCAGCATTGTGGAATCTGTAATTTTCCATGACCTTATTTATCATGGTCTTTCCATGCATGTCCTAGTTGCTTTTGTTTACTAGTTTATTTTCTATAGATATTGATGGGTAATGAAAAAATAAGCAACTAAATGAAGTCATACAGAATACTTAACACTGCAAATCTGAGGTATGAATAAAAAAATTGTTTCCCCAAATTATTAATGCTCTCAAGCATTTAAAAATACTAAATACTAAATAAATTTTTACTAAAACACAAAATTACGAAAATGTTTTCTGTTACCCATATGAATGTGTTGGTTACATTACATACACAAACAGAAAATGAAAACAAAAAGAGCAGCCAATTTTACTAAGTGAAAGGCTTTGGAATTTTATGAATATGAATTATCTTTGACTTTTACAAGCCAAATAACATATGCACTAGCTAAATCTAAAAAATAAAAAGTTTTTAAAAATTAGAGCAATGAAACAATGTTTTTTTAGGACCAATGGAAAAAAATTTACACAAAGTGGACACCAAAACTAAACATATTGTTACCTGGTGCTTCATTGCATGCATTTCTGTTAGACTGCTGTAGTATTCTCCTAGCATGTGCTGTAGAAAAGGCAGACATAAGGATGAACATAAAATGTGTATGAGTAGTAATGATAGGGTCTATAATAGGAATAAATGAATAAAAAATTAAATAAGCAAATTTCTTTAAAATTGTTTGCCTGAACTGAAATGTTATGCTCTATTTAAAAATAATCTCATCAGTGAAAATAAAAGATTTGCAATAAACTACTTTTAATGTGACTGATGATCACCACCCTAAGAATTCTCCCACTCACCCCCAGAAGCATACTTATCAAGGTGAACCTTCCACCTCTCCTGAGGGAGAAGAGGGCTGCATAATTTAATACTACCAGTCATGTATGTTACACTCGAATAATCATATAACAAAACCATTACATGCTATAAAGAATTTTAGGGTAGTGGTTAACATGAAAAATAAGTCTTTTTAGAAAGTATGTAAATACATACAAAGGTGTATTAACACTATTCAAACATTTTTCAAGTCACCGGAATTCAGTCATTTTATTGTTCTAAGTGACAATAATAGGGACTGAAGTGCTATGACCAACTGTCAATTACTTATGTAGCTGATAGCTTTTCAAAGTAGTGCCTGTCCCTAACCCGCACTCAAATGTTTACTCTTTGAAGGTATCACAATTAGATATAGTGAAAGGAGATGAAAATTATAAAATTTTGTGATCAGGACAATAGAATTAATATTTTTGCCAAAAGGACTGAAAACTGAAAGCTTGGCTCTACCATTTCCAAGCAATATGACCTTGAAGAAGTCACTTTAAGGGAAAAAAAGTGGCGTTTCTTTTGTGATTACAAAAGTAATAAATATTACTATAAAAGTTTTAGAAAATATAGAAGTTTAAAGATGATAAAGCCACTATTAACATTTTGATGCACTCTCTTCCAGTGCTTTTGCATTCAGATTGTTTAAATATAGTTGAAAGCATACTGTTAAAAAAAACACTAAATCTCAATTTTTTCCCCCCCTTTTGTCTCCTGAGGATGGATTCCTACAGTTAAATTACTGGGTTAAGGGCATGACATTTTAAAGAAAAACTGCACCAGTTTATATTACTGGCCCTTTATGAGTGTTGTGAAAAACCAGGTACCTTTCTGACCATGTATCCATCCTCATCCTCATTTACACACAGAAATAAAACCAACTCACAGGATTATGAAGCTCAAAGGAAATGAGTAGTTTGTTTTAATTTATAAACAATGAAGCACAATACAAATGGTAGCTGCTATCATCATTTTCACCGAAGGTCTTGATTGACAACTAAAAATCGAGAGTTTGTATTACTGTCTCCTTCTCATATTTCTTTGCAATAAACTTATTCTTTATAAAGTAGGGAAGTACTAGCACTTAGGTAGACTCAAACAGTGGCAAAGGCATGACCCCATTCACTCAGGGCACACTGACTGGGGGACCGCCGTGTGTCAGGCAGCATTCTAACATTTAACACACAGGGGTGGAAGGTGGTATCTGCTGCCACGGGACTTAAAAGGGCGATACAGACATTTAAACAGGTAAACACTAGACAATGTGAAACAGGCAACAGAAAAGCTTATACAGGCTATGATAATAACAAAAATATAGAAAGGGAACCCTATCCTGCCTTGCATTTGGATACAATTTCAGAGTTACAGAACTAAGGTTACTTAAGGGTCCAGCAGAGAAAAGGACTCACAAAGAGCAAAAAGGACTTGCAGAAAAGACAACTGCTGAGGTAACAAAAAGCGGGAAAGCTGTGGGGAAATTTCAGTTCGGTACTGCTCAAAGGGTGAAGTAAGTTCAAGGCTGAATGTCTGCTGGCCAGATATGCAACATGAAGGCATTAAGGCATCTGGACTTTCGCCAGCAGGCATGACAAAGGCCAAAGGTTTGAAGCAGGAAAATGACATGGTTATACATCTGAATCCCTAATCAGGTAAGATTTTCAGAATTTCAAATTAGGAGTTCCAGATCAATGTTAACTCTAGTTTTTTGTTTAGAATTAAAATGCATGAAAAGCTAGCATCATAACAATAAAAAATTCCAGTTTTAGTGTACTGTACTATCTACATAAAACATTGCAGATGGCAGAGAAGTGTGATAGACCAATTTTAAAACTTGTTTTAATATAGCTTTCAAATTTAAGATGAAGAAGTCCTTAAATTAAAGCAAATCAAAAAGGAACATACCTGAAGATATTTCTGTAGACCTACTACATTTTATTATTTTTTCCAGCTGTTCATGATTCTGTCTGCTGAATACTTTTGCTTGAACAGGCTCTTCAGTCTGGGCTGAATGTCTGTTCCTATTTTTGCAAGGTTCACATGTGCTAGACATACTGGCACTTTCATACCCTTGAGTAAAAAAAGTGACAACTATTATCAGTTGTAACTAACTCAAACTGAAAGGGAAATTGATTTCCATAGTGAAATAGTACAAGTAACTCAATTTAGCATGCTGTGAAGGCCTGGTATAAATAAAATATGAAAGTAAATGATATGTCTTGGAGATATCTTTGCAACAATCTTTGGAAGCATGGGATAATAGTAATCAATGCTATTTGTTCACTGTCCTGTGATACCCATTTTAATGAGTATAGTATGTCCCAACTCAAACTATATGGCAGATTTACATGACCCAGGCTCTCTACTAGACTCCAAGTTATCATTTTTTTCAGTATTAGGAAATACAAGAAAAGAATCACATTCAATCTATGTAAAATGTCCATAATAAAGAGAGAAGGGTAATGGGCATTAGATAGTCAAATACGTCTGCTTTCTTACTATAACTTTTGTGTAATATGACTTAGTTTAAAAAGTCTTATCCACACACAGCCTATACATGTTATTCTACTAAATTTTCCTGCTACATGCCATCTATTCCCTGTATCTGAGTCTATTTCTATTTCATTTATTTTGTTCTTTAGATTCCACATATAAGTGAAATCATATGGCATTTACCTTTCTCGGATTTATTCCACTTAGCATAATACCCTCAAATCCATCCCTGATGTTTCAAAAGGTAAGATTTCATTCTTTTTTTTTTAATGGCCAACTACTATTTCTCTGTGTAGAAGTACAACTTTTTTACACACTCATCTACTGATGGTCACTTGGGTTGCTTTCACAGCTTGGTTATTGTAAATAATGCTGCAGTGAACATAGGGGAGCACATACCCTTTACAATTAGTGTTTTGGGTTTCTCCAGATATATCCCTGAAAGTGCAATCACTGGATCATAAGGCAATTCCATTTTTAATTTTTTGAGGAACCTCCACATTGTTTTCCAAATCCTTTGATTTGTTGATATAATAAATTATGTTCATAGGTTTCCTGATAATGAATCGTGATTACATTTCTGTAAAAAACCCTACTGACAATGGTCTAATAGTCTTTTGATATACTGGTGGATTAAATTTAATATTTTACTTTTACTTTTGAATTTATATTAACTGAAACTGATCTATTATTATTTTACTGAACTGTTCTCTCTTCTTTTCACTTTCCCCTACATAAAGGTCTCTACTCTGATTCCTGTGTTGCTTCTGTAGGTTTCCTCAGATAGAACCTATAGTAACTTTTCATCTTACAGGTGAAGGGTGTCATGTTGGGGTACAGGATTTCTGAGTTGCAGCCCTTTTTGGTCCATATATGGCTATTATTCCATTTTCTTCTACTTTGTGTGTTATAAGGTTGTCTGATGTCAGGTTCTTTTTCATTGTTTGCAACTTGTTCTTTCAGTTTGGAGCTTAGCAGACTTTTACTAAGTCCTCAGACTTCTGTAAGTTAATGAGGAAGTGCTCGCGCATGCCCACCCCTCCCGCCACTTGCTCCTGGCTGGACAGCAGCTGGCTCTTTTCATATGCAGCCCTGGGTCTTTCTTCATTAAAGATCGCCTTTATTTTAATTATATCTCTCTACCTGCTTTTATTTCCCCTTTAGAACTCACTGTATGTCAGATCTCCAATATCTGTCTTTAAGCCTCTAATCATTTTCAAAAACTTGATTTCTGTGTCTTAGTACTTTGTGCTCCAGGCAATGACATAACTCTTCCCCTCGATTTCCTGGGCCTTAATAACATTCATTCTCTTTTTCAAATAACCTAAACACTATATGTGAAAATCATTTTTTCTAGTCCTAAAGAATTTGTTAAAATTCAAACCTCCTCAAGCATTATGATTTTGTTCAAGTGTTTATTTCCTCAATAAATCTGTCTTTACTAGATTAGCTATCTGTGGCCTGCTCCCTTTTATGCGCACTGTTATATGCGCTAGGCTAGTCGCTGCTCTTATGTTCCATTAAGGCTGGACCCAAGTGCTAGGTAGCTTTGATGGCGCCATGCTGGCAGTGCGTGGGCTCTCACTCCCATGGGAAAGCACCGTTCTGGCTAACAAGCTGTCAGTCTCCCACTGAGACGGTAAGAGAAAGCCTCTCCACTCTTCAGCCTCCTCAGCTGCACAGACAAATGCTCTCAGAGGTTCAGGGTAGGGAAGGTGCCACCTACATGTGCAGTGACACCCTTGTCCATTTGTACCGTGAAGTGACAAAAGAGTGCTGCTACCCTTGGAAGGGAGGGAGGTGCCCAGAACAGAAAGAGTCGCAGGGCTCTCCTCAGTCAAGTTTTCTCTGAGAATCCCAGGGCTCTGACCTTTGCTCCGCACGCTCTTTGAAGGAACCAGCAGAACCTAAAGCGTTGCTGCTCCCATCCTCCAGATCACAGCAGCTGCTCTGCTGATAACAAGTTCCCAATGTGCTGTCACTTAACTCTCTGTGACGTCCCACCTGGAGTCAACCTTCCCTTTCGACTTCTAGAGCCTTTTTTCCAGTTAGAACTTCATCATCTCAAATTTAAGTCCCTGGTTTCTTCACTGCTGTCTCAGACTAAAGTCTAGCCACACTCTACTCAAAACTTAAAGGACAAAGAGCTCTCTTGGTTACTTTTGACCTTCACATAAAACAGGTCCAACAATATAGGGTATGAATGCCAAAAGTAATATGTAAAACAATACGATTTGTAGTACTATCATTCCCTTAATAGCCAACAAAGCTCTGAAGAAAATAATTTAAAGTATATTATTCTAACAAGAACATTTACATAAAGGAAATTAAGCTTTGGCCTACTGTTACTGAATAATGGGAAAAGTGCTGAATGAGTTCTAACAAAATTAAAATATATATTACATGACATACACAAAATCCTCTCTGGGGAGCCCCATTAGGCACTTCAAAGACAAACTTACCTTCCAAAACAGTTGAAACTGTGAAAAGCATGCAGTGAAACAAACAAAAAAAATTTATAACTATGATTTTCTTTGATTCCCAAATTAAAAATCAAGGGCTAGATTTCCAAAGGTAAGGTACTAGAGTGTAGTTGAATTATTTCTCTCTTGGGTACTTTAACAGTAATCCTCCAGGGAGAAAGGGAGACTTTCAGAACGTTAATAACACTTAGAGTGACACTGGCTAAGCCAGCCAGACGAGCAGCAGCACATGGCGTTCACCACTGGACGGTGCCGTCCCCATCCCAGCCCCCATCCCACTCCATCACGCCTTCCGTTACGTCCGTTTTGTGCCAGGGCCCGTGGCTGCCGCAGGCAGCACAAGCAGTACGCCCACCTGTGGCCACTGTGGGGCAGCAGCCCGGCCATGGCACCCTGGGCCCCGCACGGACACACACACGCCACGTAGGTAAGCACTGAACTGCAGCCCAACCTAGGCCTTGGCAGGAGGCCTTAGGATCCTCCTCTCGGAACGGGGAACAGGAGAACCTGGGAGGCTTGTGAGAAGCTGCTACGTGGCAACTTTCACTCGCCTCGCCCTTTCCCCAGCAAGCTGCCAGGAGAGCGTTTCGTCTCCTGGTTCTGATTCCATGAGACCCTCCCGTCACAGCCCATGGCACAACTCCATTCTGTGACGCGGCCGGGCTACAGGCGTCCACCGCTCACGCACGTCACACCTGTCACCCGGCGCCTTTTGTTTCAGCGTCGTCCTTGTGGCGTGTGGAACGAGGGGTACAGGGAGCTGGCACCTTTAGCTACTCCTCTTTTCTCTGTTTAGGTAAGTAATAAACTCTCTGAATCTAAAAAGGGCTGTTTCTTCACTGGCTGCACCTGTCGGGCCTTGCCATGCCTGATGCTCAACATCGACTCCACCTCAATCTTCATTAGTGAGTCACAGGAAGGGTCGAAGTGGAGAAATGAAAAGATTCAGGGACAGGCAAAACCCGGAAGTCAGTACATTAACAATTCTAGCCAATTTTCCACGAATAAAAATGAGGAAAATCTAGAATATATCTTCCTACTCTCTCTAATGATATCGAAAGAGGAAACGGGCCTAGCAGATTGTAGCCAAATTAGGGGTCTGATAACCAGATTATAGCTTTAATAACTGAAACGTGCAGCAAGGCAAAAAAAATCCCGTTCACCTCTTAAAGTCTGAACGTGAACGGAAGTTTAAAAGATGATTATCACATAATTTGTAAAACCATACTTCACACACTGTAACATGTATCTTTACATGCAAAGGCTTTCTAAAGATTAAAATACATGACTATCACAGGAAGCAAAGTGAAACGAAGGTTTAGCATGCCACTTCTGAAAGAATGTCAACACGTGCAAAAAAAGGCCCCGACCCAGCCGGTTTAGTACATCTGGGACGGCAAAACCGCCTGAACCCCGTCTCTCGGGACAGCAACCACGCTGGCCTACCTGTCATCTCCGACTTCCTTCCCCCAGGCCTCTCACCTCCCCTGGGATGGCCCTGTACCTTTCTGTTTCAATCTGGAATGCTTTCCAAGCTCTCCATCCACTCTACTTCCATCACCAGTTCCTTTACAAGCATACATTCTTTATTCTAAGGAATCATGGCTGCTCCTACGCCATCAAGAGAACAAAAGCAACAAAGCGGTGCTCTAGCTCTGTGTTCCTCAGACTTTCCGTGCATCTCTTCATATTAAAACTTCTAAATCTTGCTAAAATGCACACTGAAAACACACACTCACTCCACTGGTATCAGAGGGGCCCAAAAGCCTGCATTTCGATGAAGCTCCTAGATGATGCCAATGCTGCTTGTCCATGGCTCATATTCTGAATACCAAGGATTTAGCTGACTAATTTGATTTCGCTAAATTATTAGTTTGGTTCTGCTATTAAATCTTTTATTTTTTGTATGTGTGCCTTACAGATGTGTCTTGACTATCTACTGATCAAATGTGCATGTATGTTTTTTGCAGGTATTTTTATACTTAAATAAAAGAGAGCACACAGATCACAATGTTAGTCTTTGCCTTGAAGTAAAAAACCTGCATTACATATATAAAAGCATAACTCCTCAGAATAAAAGAATTTCAAAAATACAAATACATCAGTATTTCTAGGGTTAGGCAGGCATGGCCCTAAATTGGCTGAGGGTCCCCCAAGACCCTGGCACTCCCAGTGCAGTCCACAGACCAACACTGGCAATGCACGGGGGCTCATCAGAAATGGAGGCTCCCGGCTCCCTCCCCTGGGGCAGTGAATCAGAATCCGTCCTTAACCAGAACTCCCGCCAAAACCTCTGAGGCATTTGCGTTAGGGAGCACCGCCATACACACTCCAATTAACTAGGTGACTAGGAGAAGACTAGGATAAAAAACGTTAGTTTCCCCTCATTTATTCACATGACAGAAAACACTGGAGCGAAGGGGCAAAGTACTGGGGAATAAAAATTCAAGGAGTTACCCGAAGGACCTCTCAAAATGGCCACTATCTACTTAAATGTCCTCTGGAGGTACAAGAATAATCTTGGAAAAAGCACAGTAGTTGTATTTTCATTCAACTGAATGGTTTCTGATCACTCACTACTAAATAAATTAGCTCCTCCCAAGCCCATACAACTAGAAAATTATTTTAAAGATGACAATATATGCTGAGAAAAATGTGACTCATCAAATTTGTTTGTTTAACCATCAAGTCAGATTCTTCACATGGGGATAAAGGTAGGAGCCATGGAGGTGAAGGATTCATAAGCAGTCAAATAAAAAAGAAAAAGTGCATGTATTCTTTTGCACATCTAGTTTCCATCAGATTTTTCAAGGGTTCCATTAACCGAAAATGGTTAAGATGAATGCTGCCAGTTTACAAGCGTACTTTTTACTACAGGATTTCTTAGGGCCTTTACTATACTTATATGCATTGTGAGCTTCCAAGAGAGGGAGTTAACAATGTGCAGTGATTTTGCAAACTTTTCTGATTATAAGCCTGCAATACTTTATTCTTAAGCACCAAATACTATCTCTTTGAAACCAGAACCATTCAAAGACACAGCTGAAAAGTATCCTTTGCAAACTTGAAGGAGCAGCACCCTTTAGCTAATATTCCAAGTTTTAGCTGGAAAAACTGATTTTAACCTGGTGCTAATCCTCATTAAATTCTTTAAAAATCATTGAAAAAAATTAAAATCACGGAAAAAAAATTTTAGTGTCATGTAGTTAACACTATAAAGAGAACTGATATGATACTCAATGGTAAGAGTCAATAAAATACAGGTTAATGTTATAACCTACTACCTAAGGTTCAGGGAAGGCTAAGAGCAAACTTGGGCAATTTCATCAATGATATTCAAAGACTGCAATGTACTTAGAGGCCCACATTTCTTCAAGTGAATCAATCAAGTACCTAACCAGAAGTCATGGATAAAGTATTGAATGTAGAACAACATGTGGTAATAAAAGAGAACAGTAAAACTAAGACTTTAGTAATTCTGAAGTAACCTATAAGATTTGGAAAAAAAATCTTCTGAGTTCACAGTAACCACTTACATAAAAAAATATAAGAGGCTTGAAGGAGGACAAAAAAGAAATGCAATGTTCTAAAACATCTACAACATTAAATGCTATATGATAAATTTTGTAAAAAACAAAAAATTTTGTAAAAATGACTCTGTTCAAATACTTCTAGATCAGCGCCCATCCATCTAGCCACAATGAAATGAACTGTGTCAACATGCCATAGGAAAGCTACCAACATTTACACTGATGAGTATTCAGCAAATTTAAATACTTACCAACATTTTTAATTCTGCTTTTCAGCTGAGTAGAATGCCTCTTCTTACTCTTTGATTTGGGAGTTCTGTCTTTAGATGCCAGGCTGGCCTGTGCAGATGCTTTTCTTGCCTTGAACGTTTTCGACACGGTGGTCGGATCTACCGGATCAGGCATGCTGCTAAAGCTTTCTAATGACTCTTCATCAAACTGGCGCCTTCTGCTGCTATCTGATTGATTTTTGCGATTACTATTTGTAGATTTCTCTACAGAAACTGCAAATCCAGTCTTGATGAATGGTTTTTCCACTTCATCTTCTTGGTCAAATAACCATGGTGTTCTACTGTTTTCCACCTCCTCTTCAGGCTTTTGATTCCTTACACCAAAGAAAATGAGTTTTTAGAGGTTACTATCATAGATTTCTGTTTACTGAAAACTCAAGATATAGTACTTAAAATATAGTCCTGTAGATTTCAGTAAGTAAAATCATCAACAGGCTATAAAATATCTTCACAAAAATATGCATTAAACATCCAAATACTCTATAAGCCAGCATTCTAAATTATTTTAAACTTTAATATTAAATTCTTCTCACAAAACCATTTTCACTGGCAAAAGTCCCAAAGCAACAATCGACCATTTATATCACAAAAGACTAGGGAATAAAAAGGTCAAGGACAGGTGGCACATATAAGGAAAACCCCCAAAATTTGAAGGAACAGCTGAGAAAGACCGGTAGCAGAGGGTGTGAAACACACATGCGTCTGTGTCATCTGAAGTTTAACTAGAACCAGAATTTGGTGAAAACAATGTTAATGCAACTAGTCATTTATTCCTCCACACATTAAGTATAGTTTAGTTGTACTAGTCTAGTGTCATTTTCAAATATTATCTGCTAAACACGGCATCTTTTAATATGCTAATAGGCATTTACTGGTCATCTAAGTTTGGAAAAAACAAAAAACAAAACCCCACCAAAACGAAAGTTAAACAGGTCTACAGGATTCCTCACAACGTTTATTAGGCCAATGTACTTTATAAAATGTCTTTGATGGGAACAGAGTGAGATGTCCAAAACCTTTTATCACAGAATCTGATATGGACAACAGTGTTCCAGACCTAAGAACGTAATTTGGGAGACCCTGACTTAAAAGAGTTTAACTTAACACTAAAGTTAGCAAACCTACAGTTTGCAGGCCAGATTGAGCCTGCTGCCTGTTTTTGTACAGCATGAGAGCTAAAATGATGTTTATATTCTTACCTGGTTGAAAAAATTAAAATCAAAGGAGACAGGTTTGTAACACAACTATATGAAATTTAATTTCAGTGCCCATAAAGTGTTATAAGAATACAGCCACTCGTTTGTTTACATACTGTTTACAGTTGCTTTGTGCAAAAATGGCAGAGATAAATGGGCATGGAAAGTACTGTGTGGCCTGCAGTGTTTACTATCTAGCCCTTCACAGGAAAGGTTTGCTGACCCTGGCCCAAAACTACAGTATTCCTTCCACCTGACCACTTGTTGTCACCAGCCACTCAGTTCAGAGAACCTCCACTAGTTGAGATTCTGGGGAGATCAGGTCTAATCTGAAGGGTGTCAAACACCTAAAACAATATTAGATATCCACAGCCATCTTTTTTTTTTACTATCAATTATATATGAAATATGGATAATAATGAAGTAGGTTCCTTCCAGTAGGTTGGCTATTTACTAAAGCTTTGAAAAAATGTTTACTGCTTATGATGGAGATTCAGTCAACCCTCATTTCCGAATGGCAACTGTACACTAAACACTATTAGGCTCTGACAACAGAATACTTTTATAAAGCAAAATGAGATTAATAGGAAAAAAATGGCTAGTACAGCTAAGAAAAACAAAGTCAGGGGGACAATCACAGGATTTCTAGAGGCAAATACAAAGTTGAATTTATGAGCTTTTGGCTACTCAAGAAAATCATGATTTAACAATTAAACAGTGTCGAACTGCTAATTCAAGAGCCCTAGACCTGCCCGATCCCATAACTAAAGGGAAGAATAATGTTGAATTATATTATTTCTCAAGGACTAGGAAAGACAAAAATCATATTCTGTCAGAACAAATACTAGGCTCAAATGACCTATAAGATTTGATCATTCTAAAAAGAGTCTTTGACACGAACAGCCAGTCTTAGCTCATGCTTCAGGTTTTTCTAAAATCTGTCAAAGCAGCAGCACCTGGCCTCTGCGTGCCCTGCACCTCTCACTACGTGGCCCCAGGCCTGGCACTAGTGGCAGCGGGGCTTGGTTCGCAGCTGGCCTCACCTGGGCACCTCCAAGCCCAGCACAAGGAGCAGCCATCTGCAGACTGCTTTGTAGCTCAGGCCTGGCGACTGCAGGGAGGAAGAACACAGGCAGCAGGTGACCTTAGCCTGCACTTCCCGGGAGGCCCCAGATCCAGAGCACCCAGCGGACAGCTTGAGACCACATCAAAGCACCACCAACAAACCATTGCCACAAGCAACACACTCAGGGGCGAACTCAGTGGGTACCAGAGCCTCACTGAAGTAAATCCTGCTCTGTGGGGTGGGCTCCTGCACAGCAGAACCTCCACGGTGTCTGGAGTTGGTGGACACAGCCGCTCCCTGCAGCTGACCGGCCTGGGAGTAAATCTCTCCCACTGAGGTGTGGACAGCAATCAGAGCTCAACTACAATAGGAAGGTGTGCTCAGCCCACACAGGGGCGTACCTTAAGTGCCCAGCTTGGGTGATCAGGGAGGCTGAGACAGTGGACCTAACAGAACAGCTACTACATTAAGCCACTTTACTAAGCCTGGGAGACGTAGCAGCTCTACCTAACACATAGAAACAAACACAGGGTGGCTGCCAAAATGGGGAGACAAACATGTCCTAAATGAAAGAACACAAGGAAAACTCCAGAAAAAAAAAACTAAACAAAATGGAGACAATCTACTAGATGCAGAGTCCAAAGCAGTGGTTAAAAGGATGCTCAATGACCTTAGAACTTGAATAGCATAAAAAAGGACACATAAATCATGAAAAATAAGCAGTCAGAAATGAAGGATACACTATAGGGAATCAACAGTAGAGTAGATAAAGCTGAGAGTCCAATCAGTGATTTGAAACATAAGGAAGCAAAAAACACCCAATCAAAACAGAAAAAAAAAAATCTAAGAAAATGAGGATAATGTAAGCAGCTCCTGGGGCAACTTCAAGTGGACCAACACTCACATCATGGGGATGCCAGAAGAGATGCAGCGAGAAACTGAAAACCTAAACCTATTTGAAAAAAACAATGACAAAAAATTTCCCTAACTTGGTGAAGAAAAGAACATACACGTCCAGAAGCGCAGAGTCCCGAACAAGATAAATCCTAAGAGGCGCACACCAAGACACATAATAATTAAAATGCAAAATGTTAAAGAGAGAGAATCTTAAACGCAGCAAGAGAAAAGCAGTTAGTTACCTACAAGGGAGATCCCATAAGACTGTCAGCTGATTTTTCAACAGAAAACTTAGCAGGCCAGAAGGGATTAGCAGGAAGTATCCAAAATGATGAAAAGCAAGGACCTACAGCCAAGGTTGCTCTACCCAGCAAAGTTACTATTTAGAATCGAAGGACAAGTAAAGGCTTCCTAGATGAAAAAATGCTAAAGGAGTTCATCACCACCAAACCAGTGTTATATGAAATGTTAAAGGGTCTTCCTTAAGAAGAAAAAGGAAAAAAAAGATTTAAAAATTTGAACAATAAAATAGCAACAACTGAATCTAAAAACAAACTGAACAAACGAACAGAAACAGACTCAGATAAGAGAACACATTAATGGTGCAAGATGGAAGGGGGGTTGAGGGAACAGATGAGAAAGGTGAAGGCATTAAGAAGCACAAATTGGTTGTTACAGAACAGTCATAGGGATGTAAAGTACAGCACAGGGAATACTGTCAATAATATTCTAATAACTACGTATGGTGTCAGATGAGTGCAAGGTTTATCGGGATGATCACTTAGTAAGTTATGTAATGTCCAATCACTGGGGTGCACACCTGAAACTAATATAATAATGTACGTCAACAGTAACTGAAAAAGAAGAATCAAAAGTTTTTTTCTTAATTAAGTAAAAACAAAAAGTCCGTATTTTTACCAGTTCGCTGTCAAAATCATTTTATGGGTTAACGATAAATGTTATTTATCTAACTGTAAATATGCTTACAGAATAATTAACCTGACCCAATCTAACTTGTGTTTGACACTGAGTCAAAATTATATTTGGTCAGAATATCAAATAAAAATAATAATAAATACTGAGAAACAGATAATGAAATTACATGACTGATACCATGTATCACTAAAACTTTCTTGGCTAAAGTTGTTTTTCTAATCGAACAGCACTCAACATCACATAGGACAGGCCTTAGGAACTCATTCTGATCAGGAGCTCCAAATCAAGTAAAGGGGCCATCACTTTACAACAATTATCCTCTAGTAGTTAATTGTTAGTCCTAAATCAGTGAACTTAAAGACACTGTAAGGGTCAGGTCTTATCCTTTCAAAACAAATCTCACAGGACACTGATCAAAATGTTGAACTGCTGCTATACCAGGCATTAGCAGCAGGTGTATGCCTGAGAGACATCTGGTCAGATGTCGGTGGTCTGATATTCCCAACACTACCAAGCAAAGAATCACCAATATCCTCCCTAGTTGTGTTTTCATCATATATAATTAAATGCAGTCACAAAAGAGATTAATGTGAACTATTAAACACATAATGAATTATGTTTGCAATCGAGTTACCTTTGTTTCTCTGCTCCAATAGAAGAACTACTTTCAAAAGGTTTTGGAAAAGCCATATATTCTGTTTTCCCAGAAGAATTCTGGGCTAATGGTTGCTGTTGTTCAGTGGGTGTAGAAATATTCTGAGAAAAATCTCCAAAATTAGAAGGAAATAAAGGGCTGAAATTCATACCTAATAAGTAAAAGCAATGGATAAGACAAAAATAAACACCTTTAGCCTTATCATGAAATCAAAAGACAGTTTTAATTAAAGGTGTCATTCATATCCATCAAAACAAAAATTGTTAATTAAAATAAACACATTTATTAAATCAGTTTACAGCTCAGTACACCGTTTTCAACATCAGTGTATACAAAGGTAAATAATGATCCCATCTCCTTAGAAAGCTAAGAGTTAGAAATAATAGTACCTAACATCAAATTATTACATGGTGTCAGACTGTACTGTAAGCACTTTACACGTTGTTTTGTTTAATGATTAAAACAACACTATGAAATACATGTTCTATTCATTTTACCAGTGAGAAAATAGGGAGGTCTAACAAATGGGAAAACAGGTTAGATGCTTGGTCTGCCTGACTGCAAAGCTTATGTTCTTTCCACTCTATTTTAATTGGGAAAATAGAATACAATGAAACGTTTACCACACGGTGCTGTCTCAGAGGTCATTTGCATGGCACTACTAACAACTTGGGGGAGGAAGTGCGCAGGGAAGGTGTCACCAAACTGAACCAGTTTGTGAAGAATGAGCTGTCTTTGAACAGGACTGGCATCGGCAGGAAGCACATTACGGTGAAATGGAACTGCATGTACAGTTTCTTATATTACTTGTTACTTAAAAGACTACTCAATAAACACTTCCTTTCAATACTAATCGATACACAAGAACTAAAAAAGCCTGTTAAATGTTCTAACACTATTGTTTTTATATCCTGTTAAGAAACTACACTGCGACATTTTTATTTATTTGTATTTACATTCACAAAGCCCTTCCAAACCTCTTCTCCTCCTATGTACACTCCGGCAAACCTCTTCAACTCCTCTTCCTTCATGACTTACCTCATCTAACCGGTCACCTACTCACTGAACTTACCCCACACCTCCAGGATGTCTTCTGAATTACTCCCCGCCCTTTCCCCCTGTTGCTCATGCCCTTAAGTCAAGCTTTCACTCCTTCCCTGATAGTACTGCCAACGACCTTCTATTTCCTAGTCAAGAGCTCTACTCTCAGTTCCTTCTCTCCTTCTCCCCTCAACACTACCACCAGTGTAATCTCTCTACAATATACATTTCATGCTACCTCCCTGCGCAAAACTCCTCCACGGCCCCACGTGTCCGCGTCAGGCAGTCCGCGCGGCTCTGCGTGGCACAGAGAGCCGGTGCTGCTCACCCTGCCACGGCCCCAAACGCTAGCCGGGCTGACCCGGCCTCTGAATTCCCCAGGAGAGAAAGCGTTTCACTGCTTTCTAACTCCAAGTGGACCACTTACTAGGAAGCCCTTCCCCTTACTCCCTGGAAATAAATTCTATTTATTTTTTAGCTTAAACAACCCCTTTTTGCTGGGAAAAATACATTTGCTAATGACGTCTTGCCCCAAGGTAGAACAGCTCACTCACCTCATCTGCACCCACGGCACTGCACTAGGCATTATTAACATTCTTAGCTTCTACACTGGCCTCTAAATTCCTTAAATAGTCTTACTCATCCTTGAATCCCAGTCTGGCTCATTATGTAATGTCTGGCTCATAATGCATGCAGGAAAAAAGTCTGAATAAAAGCCTAAGCTAAGTGATATTAAATGGAACCCTATACTAAGCACTCACATTTAGTTCAGCAGTTTATCTCCCTTCATGAGACATGAAGCTCCTCTAGAAGAACATTATGTTATTCAGCTTTACTCTCTCAATGTTTTATACAGTGCCCGGTGTACAGTAGCCACAGGATACGTTAATTCCCTTTCTGCTTAATAAATAGTTGTTAAATAATTCAAAGATATAAGACTTAGCAATCATTTATAATTGTTTACTTAATTCCATTAGCAACAATATCAAGCTGAGTTTTTACTATAAAGAATCAAAATAGAAAAGATTTCGTAACTTTCTTTGCAAAAACTTCATACCATTCTAAAAGAGACTGATAAATATCCATGCAATAGACAAATGATGTTCTCAAACACTTCGTATTTATTTATTTTCCCTTAAAGTTTCCAGTCACTTACCTGGTGCAAATGGTGAAAAGTGAGGAAACCCAGGCAGGTTAAACAGATTCACAGGCTGTGCTGGAAAGCTGAAAGGACAAAACAAACTGGGAGACGGAGGGTGTGATGCACTACTGCCTCTTTCCTTGCTTCCAGGTTTTTCTGGATGCTGATTTTGTTGGCGCATAAGTTCATTTAGCATTTGTTTCAACCTGTAAAAATTTAAGAAGTCGGTAATTTAAAAATCAGTTACATTACATTCAGAAAGAACCTATCTAAGAAGTGATTCAACAGCATGCGGAACAGAGCAATGGCTCTGCTAGTTGCTACAACAAATATCTGCTTGTCCTGCAGGCTTAATTCAGTAACTTAGCCTTTAGAACAAGAACTGCACTGAGTACTTTTATTAGATAGTGGGTATAACTACAAGAAACATTTTTTTCTTGTTTACAGCTTTACCGAGGTGTAAGTTAAACACCATGTAATTCACCAAATGTAAGTGTAAAGATTAACAGTATAAATTTTTAAAAACAAAAGTCCACAACATTTAAGGATTACACTTGGCAAATCACTGCTTACAAAATTCTCAGGTGACAGAGAATATTTGAGTATGTAATTTGGCCCATGCCCTTTTGCCCAGAAGATAACTTACTACAGCGTTTCACTACTTCTGAGAAACTGATTACCTCTGCACATTATTCTGTTGCCACGTTAGCTGAGTATAGCACTGGTTCAACTGGTGCATTATAAGGTGTACTTGAGGAGATGCGACATTGCTGGGCATAACACTGTAAGGACCCGTGAGAAGAGTTTGGAGCAGACAAGATAGAGCCTATAGGAAGAAAAAATTTTGTAATTTTACTGATGACTTCAGAAAAATGTGCAATGCTTTAAAAACAAGATTACAAAAATTACTTTCATAGTAAACTTTACCTGCTGGTCTTGCATCAAAGTCTGACAAATACTGACACTGAAATCAAGTTGTTTCTTCAGCTGATTAATTTGTTCTTGCCACTGTTCTTTCTCTTCTACATACGAGAGTTCTGACACCCAGCGGAGGTTTTCCTGACGTTGCATGCTGACATTTTGTTGTCTTGTCTTGGCTAATGGACGGTAATTTCCATCTGCTGAAAAAGGGCGATTGTTCTTCCACCTAACAAAAAATTTAAAACGTTAAGTTATCATGTATAATAATTTGGTTTTTAAAATCTGGCAACAAACCACCAGCCAATATTCTCTTTTTAAGTTCAAAGGACTCATAAAGCATGAAAAATAAAGGGGGTAAAGACCCTAGGTTTTTAGCTTTATACAGTTATCATTTTTTTCCAGTTTTCTTCATTTATGTTTTACACTGAAGTGTCCATATAATCCTGTATACTACAACATGAAAATATTGTATCATAAGCATTTTTCCATTCTTCATGCTTTAAGCTTAGCCACATGACATCATCAAGTGCAAGTACTTCACCATTTTTATTCACAAAACACTTTTCAGTTATAAATAACAATGTAATCCATAAGTATCTTTGTTGACAGGACTTTTTCACTGATTATAAAATTGTAAATTTTAATTTAACTCCCCAGAACAGGAGCAAAGAGCAAAGCTTATGAATTTTGATTCAGTTTAGCTGAAATGTAGCTCAGCAACACTCTTGTGGTATAATAAAAAATATATTTGGAAAGGTGAAGGGATTAAGCAAAAACAAACACACCTCTTAGACACGGACAACAGTGCAATAATTAGCAGAGGAGAAGAGGGGTGGGGGGAGGTAGAAGAGGGTATGGCGGGGGATAAACGGTGATGGAAGGAGACCTGACTTGATGGTGAGAACACAATATACAGATGATGTAGTTATAGAATTGTACACCTGAAACCTATGTAATTTTATGAACCAATGTCACCCCAATCAATTTTAAAAATATGTACATGTGTCTGTGTGTGTGTATGTGGTCTTTGTCCCAGATTTCCACCCAAGCCCTTGGGCCTCTGGGCATCTCCAGAGTATCTTCTGTTATTCACAAAGAGCCCCTTTCAACCACATCTAAGTTTATGCTAATGACTCTTGGCAGGTTGCTGCATGGTGGGAGCTGGTCATCAGGAAAATCAGCCTGGTAACTAGAGGAGTTGGAGCTTTCAGCCCCATTCCCCAAAATCCAGGGATGTTAGAGAAGGGGTCTGAGATTCAGCTGAATCGCCTATGGCTGATGATTTAATCAGCTGTGCCTGAGTGACAAAGCCTCCATAAGGCAGTGGAAGCATCTGGGTTGGCGAACGCACTGGGGTGAAGGGCCGCTGCTCCCAGAGAGGGCACGGAAGCTCTGCAGCCCTAACCCCCAAACCCTGCCCTACGCATCGCTTCCATCCAGCTATTCCTGATGTTGTATGTTTTATAATAAACCAGTAAATGTGAGCATTTTCCTGAGTTGTGAGTTGTTTGAGCAAACTACTGAAAGTGGCTTATGGGAACCCCCAAATCACTAGCCACATCAGACAGAAGTGCGGATTCGCTGAGGACTTGGGACTTAGGCCCGGCATCTGAAGTGACAGCAGTCTTGTGGGCCTGAGCCCCGGAAGGCACAGCAGAACACCCCGGTGGTTCTGGGGGTCAGACACCGATTGGTGTCAGAGAGCCTGAGGCTCTCCAAATCAAGCAAAAAGTTAAGACAGTGACACTAACCTATTTTTAGTTTCCTTTACATTGTAAGAGTTATGATTCATGCTGTTAGGAGGATACACAGAAAAGTTATCATTGGAGCTGGAATCTTGTTCTTCTTCTTCCTCTTCATCTGTCCGAACAACTCCTTCAGAAAGGTAACCATCTTCATCTCCTTCTTCATCCAGCGCGCACTGGGCAGAACCACCCCAAGTTGCCATTGTTCTAGAGATTGAGACAAAAACCAAGAGGTCATTCTGGAAATGAGCCAAACACTGTATCACCCACTATATGTCAGACATTGTACCAAGTATGTATGTGTACGCATATGGATATGGGTATATATAAAATTTCACTTGATCTTTAAAAAACTTTTTTTCTTTTTTTTAGAGAGAGAGAGAGGAAGGAAGGGAAAGAGAGAGAAAAAGAAACAGCGATTTGTTGTTTCACTTATTTATGCGCTCATTGGTTGAGCCTTCTATTTTGCCCTGACCAGGGATCGAATCTGCAACCTTGGCATATTTGGATGACACTCCCCACTGCTACTTTATAAAATATATTTGCTCTGCCTTCACAAAACAATTCTAGAAATAAAATAATCATATCCTCAGGAACTATTTTCTTACACTAAACCACTCCTCAACTTTCCTTTCCTCGAGTAACAATTTTCTAGATCAGAGCTACCCAACAGCACTTTCTGCAATAGTCATCTATTTCTGTGCTGCCCAACAAATTAGTCACTGGGTACATAAGACCAGAGAGCACTTAAAGTATGGCTAGTGTGACTCAGAAAATAAATCCTAACTTTATTTAATTTTAACTTAGTTAACTGTTGTCTAGTGATACGCTAGATGCTTATCAAAACTATGTAAAGAACTCAAAGTATAAATGTGTGGTGGTCAAAACAGAATAAAATACTGCAGCTATAGTCTCATCACTAAATATACATATCGGGACTCCAAGAATAGGATTGGTTTTTCTAAGAAGAGTGAGGCCTGGTGCAATGTACCAGAAATGCCATCTGAAAATATCAAAATGTAAAGCCACAACAAATTTGGATTTCAAGATTTTAGATATGAATACTACTATATAGATAAACAACTGATCACAGATAACCAAGTCTTTTAGAAATATTCTTGATATGAAAATTTCAAACTTAAATTCTACAAATTAACTGTCTTATATAATAAAATGTTTTAAGATCCTTAGAAACCTTACAAACAGCAGACACTCAATTTAAGTAACAAAGTACTTATTTCTGGCCTAATGGAACAGCACTACAAATTATCAAAAATTTTCTTTTCATGAACTTAGAATGAATAAAATGAGGGTCATATAATCAAAATCTATGTCACCATTTGACCAAGTGTCTGAGTAATTAAAAAAAAAAAAAAAGAGAAAGATGATGCTATGAGAAGTCTGAACAGAAATTAGCTCAATTTAGTGAAACTGGGTCACAAAGGTGATGTTTAAATAACACCCTCAATGACACAGATTTGTGCTGTGATGAAGAAGGGAAACAAGGCTGCCTATCCTGCATGCCTCAGGTAGGCGATGCTAAAAAAAACTGCTGCTACAACTCGCTTACTTTTCTGTCCTGCTTTGCTGAGGAGTACACAGGTTCTCGGACCCGTCACTTCTCAGGGAGGCAGCCACTGGAGATGTCGCTTCAGCCAGACCTTGCCTCCTCTGATGTTCGGCCATCAGAGCTTCGAGCTGCTTTCTCCTCTGCCGCAGCTCCTCCCTTAAAATTTCATGTCTTCGCATCTCTGACCACAGCTATTAATTAAAAAATTAGAGCCAAGTTAGTGTAAATATTTGGATTTGTCTTCCCCTTAAAGAACAATCAGCTAGTACTCTCGTCGATATCAACAAATATTTCTAATCTCATTCTATCCTTTTTATACTGTGATATCCATGAAGGTTAAAATATTTTAATGATGAACAAGAAAGTATAAGGCAATCATTAATTCTTAATGAAAACGAGTAGCACCCAAACATCAACTATTTAGAGAAAGTTATGATGTCTTCTACAAATCACATGCAAATAAAATAAAATACCAAAGGGTAGGCCTTTTTAACTGAAATGATTACTATTTCCTGCAACTATCCTTTACATATAATTCTGCCAAATATTTGCTAATAAAGGTAAAGACTATTTTGAAGAGATCCCAACTTAACCACTTTTTGGAAAAAAGTATTTCTATCCCCAACTAAAAGACATGAATCAGGCAACACTGACTCACCCGGGTGATCACTTCGTAAGATATACAAATGTTCAATAAACTATGTTGTACACTTGAAACTAACATAATATTGTATGTCTGTAATATAATCAACTGTAATAAATTTTAAAACAAGATGTGGCTTAAGACTCAAGAATAACAGGGTGCAATATACAATACCTCATTATCTACTACTGAAGAAACTTCAGGCTCAAAAACAGATTTGCTTGTATTGGTTTCATTTTCATTAACAGTTGGGGTTGAAGTGACAGCTGGCATATATTTTTTTGTGGGACAATTACTCGCACTAGTAGCTGACAGCTTAAAAAAAAGGATTAGTAAAAATTATAAGGAATTAAAGCACTTATGTTAATTTCATAAAAAGTTATTTTACTACTCTTCTAGGGTTCTAGTAACATATTTTGTTATTACCAGACCTCAACTGCTACTATGATTCAAAGAAAATCCGACAAAACAAAGATGAAAACACAGGCTAAAGTTGATTAGTAACCAACCTTCAGAAACAAGAGACAGGAAGAATAAACTGTTACTATGTAAAATTTCACATACTCAACCTAACTTAGGTATTTATTCCTTTGGACATTGTTTAGATTGGGGACAAGGAAAAAAGGATTAGATACAATAGAAAAGGTAAGAACCTAGAAAGTAAACAGCTGTATTAGAAATATTATTTGATGTGTTTCCCTTTCTTTGAAAATAAAACCTGACTGAAGAATAAATCTAATGAATAAATTTTAGGGGAGGAAAAACAATTTCGAAAAGAATTGCTATTCCCTTCCCTGATAAACCCTACTCCTGATTATCTGATAGAGTCAAAGATCGTTCATTCTCTACCCGTCTTAAAGACCTATGCGTAAGGTACTATTACTATACAAAGGTATGTAAAGTTAGTATTCAAATTACAAATAAAACATTTTAATTAATTTACTTAGCCAACTCATGATGGCTTAAGAGCTTTTTAATATAATTTTAGGCCAGTAAAAGATAGAAATACTAGTGCCTGAACTACAAAGCTGAAACCAGAATATTTTAATAGTTATAATCGTGTTCTGAATCTACCGCCAGCTAACCCAGCAAGTGAAAGAATGGAAATAATGAGTCAATTACCACATGGCATCTTTCACAGCGTAAATGTCTATCTCTAGCCCATTTCATTAGTCCACCCATGTCATTGATCATAAAATTAACAGATAAAAATATCTATTATTATACCAGTACTAGAAAGGATATTTTTAACTGGCATTGAATTTTAAGACATCTTTTTTCAGAAAAATGGTAAGAAAGAAATTTCCTAATTACCTGTAGGTCAGGACATGCCTTTTGCAATGCTTGAATTTTCTCTTGAATCTTAATCAGTTTCTTTCTTTCTTCCTGCAACTGTTTGAGCTCTCTCTGTTGCTGCTGTAGTTTAGCCTCATAAAATTTCTCTCTATAATTAAATTGACATTAAATTTGTGGACTCCAGTACATCTGATGATAGCATTAAGCATGAGGTAATACAGTACATCTAGCCAAGTACTTTCTCTATAAAGACACTACATTTTTATGAAATGAAGCCTATAAGCTTAACATACCTTGCCTTTTCATTTACTCCAGCGTCTTTCTGTGTTTTATTGGCATTTCCTCTAGTGTTATTCGCATTCTGTTTAGTGTCTTCTTCTGCTGGGTAGAAATCATCCAAATTTGAAGTACTGGCAGAGACAGCTCCTTGATCTGTTGCATCATCATCCTAAAATCACATCATGGTATTAAAATAATCTTAATATATGCAATTCATACCTTAATAAATATCACTAGTCTGTCAAAGTTACAGAAAAATTAGAGTAGAGAAAGTATAAATTTTTAGAGAACACTGACGTTTATCTTCTACCAATGGCAATAAATGAAACTAAATGTTGAAACTAAAAATCGTACACTTAAAATTTAAGCTGCCTACTTTCCAGTAATGACAAATATTAAGTTGCTTTTTCTTATCTTGACCAGGTACTGAGCTATCAAATTAAAAAGACATGAAGATAAAAAATACACTACTGGAGCTGGGAACTCAATATTAGATAATGTTTTTTGAGATTTAACTTTTACATGAACAATTTCAAATAGTCAATGTCTATTATCATTTGCTTACTTAAAATTTTCCATTTCCCCACTGTCTTTAGTTTGCCAAACAAATGCCAATGGCTCAAGATACAAAAACTAGTAAGAATATACCACTTCAAATCTGCAATAACTACTGGAAATACAACTAAAATTCTTACCTTCCTAACAGTAGATCCACATTCTTTATTGAAATCAATGTAGTTATTAAAAGAGGAGGTTTAGGGTGAACTACTTTATTTTCTTAGTCTTTAACTCTATGTATTTTATATTTAGTCATGCTTTCTCTTAAGTTCTCAACTAAAACTTTAACCTTTGGAAATCATTCTAATAAAACCTTGAAGAATAGGCAATAACTTAGTTACGAAACCATCTATCTAATCAATTTTAAATTTGTAGTGTTTTTCTGGTCTTTACAATCTAAAAACCTAATTCATTATTAGTATGGAAGGAAAGATCAGAAAGTGAGTTGGGACTCAGGAAAATAAAGAAGTTAAATCTTGAGGTATTTTCATATAATGTAAAGTAGAAATATTAAAGTATGAGAAAAGATACAAAACACCGCATAATGCTTCAGATGGTAGTATGAAAATGCATGAACAACTGAAATGATAGAGCTCCAACACTAAAACATAGTAACTGACCAAAAAATTATTGTATTCTAAGACACATAAGGTTTCATAAGGGCCATGTAAGTTGTCCAAGCTAATCTAATCAACAAGAGTAATAAACGTTTTTATCTGATCACAACTATATAACTGTTTAGACTGCCTCCTGAGTCTCTTGGGAAAGAGAATATAAGAAAAATATAAGAACACAAAGATTACCCTTAATAAAATAAGTAAAACGCATCCAATATTTTTTTATAGCTCTCTTTCAAAGGCTTAAAAAATTTTTTTTTTATTTATTGATTTTAGAGGGAGGAAAGAAAGCGGGGAGGGGTGGGGGCGGGCGGAGAGAAACATTGATTTCTTGTTCCACTTACTGATGTATTCATTGGTTGATTCTTGTGCGTGCCCTGACTGGGGACTGAACCTGCAACCCTGGCGTGTCAGGACAATGCTACAACTAACTGAGCTACCTGGCCAGTGCTCAATAACTCTCCTTCAGAAGAGACCTCTTAGTCCCTCTGGGTTGCAGTTCACTCATTTCTCATATACATATTTTAGGTCTTAGAAACTCCCTAAAGCAAAACATCTCCATTCAATATAATCCTGAAATTAAGCTGATTCACCTATAGGCCACCAAGTTATTTATCATTTCTAATCTATTATTCCCACTCTGGGTAGTACATCTGAAGAAAGGAACCTTAAAAAACAAGTAGAAAGTAATTAACAAGTACAGTATTCAAGATAGCACAACCTATTACTCTACTTGCTTTAGCAGCTGTTTTAATTTTTTCAAATGGTAATAATCAAAGTTTGAAAAGTAACAAAGACATTTAGAAAAGTCTTCTTTCCATTCCTTTCCCCCAAATGACTCCAATCTCCATAGGTAACCAGTACTATCAGTTTATATATCCTACAGAAATAATTTGAATACATAAGCAAAAATATTTATGCGTATATACACACACCTATATGTGTTTGTATACATGTGTTTATACAAAAGCCGTTCTTATACATATAGTAGAGAAAACTTGGAAAAACCCAGAAATCAATTTCAGTGATGGTTAAAGAAGCTCTAATGCAATCAAAGATAATGGGACAATGGACTCATACGCCACTGCTTGGATACCATTTAGTACAGTCATTCTGAAGAGCAGGGAAGCAGTGTCCATTGACGTTAAAATGTGCATAAACTCGAGCATAGCAATTCCCTTCCTCATAACTGCTCTTGAAAAACACAAACGCACCAGGAGGGTTGTGCAAAAATGTTCATGGAAACATTCCAAGTAGTGAAAAGTTGGAAACAACAAAAGTATGTATCGGTAAGGTGTCAGATTAACTAAATTAAGGTCTGTTGATACTACAGAAAACTATGCAAGACTTGTATTTAATATATACACACAAATGCATACATATTTATATTTTATATTATTATCTATATAATATTTCATAATTACTTACCTACAATTATATAGAACTATATATATGATGAAATGAAAAGTTCTCCACACATTGTGGAGTAGGGGAAAAAAGTAAGCTGTAAAATAATACTTACATGTGGAATCTAAAAAACAAAACAAACAAACAAAATGGGAACAAACAGATAGTCACCAGATGGGAGGGGAGGTTGGAGTCATGGATAAAAACGTGAAAGGAATTATGAAGTGCAGATCGGCAGATACAAAAGTAGTCATGGGGATATAAATAAAGTATAGCATAGGGAATATGGATAAGTAATACTGTAATAATTACATTATGGTGTTAGATGTGTACTAGACTTATCAAGGGGATCACTTCATAAAATATGTAAATGTCGAATCACTATGTTGTACATTTGAAACTAACATGTATATCCACTGTAACTGAAAAATTTTAAAAATAAAATAAAGACTGGGGTCTCTAGCACAAAACAAACCTGTTTTTGTAATAAAGTTACACTGGAACATGGCCATGCTCATTTGTTTATTTATCACCTGTGGCTGCTTGGAGTAGTAGCTGTGTCAGAGCCTGTATGGCCCACAAAGCCAAAAATATTTACTAACTCGCCCTTCATAACAAAGTCTGCTCATCTCTGATATATGGCACGTAAAGTTCTAAGCACGTAAACCTACCATACAGCACGAACTCAATACATAAACATGTACTAGTATAATTTACCAATATAATTATCAAAATACATAAATTTTGTAAGACTGTTCTAGTTAACAGTTTTTTTAAAAAAGCAAGCAGTACTTGCCTGTACCATAGCAACAAGATCTTGTAACTGCCTAAGCTTCTGTTTTGCAACCATAAGTCTACTGATCTTCTGTTCAAATTCAGCATCTTCTGGAGCCTCATCAACCACACTGCTCCTATGACTAGATAATGAAGCTCCACTGGCTCCTTCATCTTCTGCTTCATCTTCCTCTTCATCATCTTCACCTTGTGCAACATGAATCCCCTGTTCTCCTTCTCTATTATATCGACAATCTGCTAAAAACAGAGATCATTGAAACCCATAATTTAATAAAGTTAAGAGTACCAATGAAAGAAAATCCACTTCCCAAGAACAACATGGCAATAATTTCTGGGAACAGAGTTAGTCATACCTAAAGAAGGAGGCATGTTTAAAGCTCTTATGTTGGCGGCAGATCTGTTGTTAATCTCACAATTAGAATTAACTGATCTTCCATCTCTATTATTAGAAACACACTGTGCGTTAGAAATACTATTTACTTCATTCCTGGTGGCAGCTACTTGTGGATTCCTAAAATAAAGAAAACAGCTTAAAGTTATTTAAGGTAAAAATAAAAACAATACTAATAAAAGGTTTAGAACTGCTGATAAAATAATTCCAAACTACAAACATCATTGGTTATTTCCCCATTTAAATCCATGCTGTGAATAACTGGCTTGCTTTTCATTACCTTCTGCTATTTGGAAATTTAAGAAAACATCAATCAAAATTATACCTAAAAGTAAAGAGGTAGGAAAATGCTAAATTAGATACTTCTTACGATTTACTTGGATTTGATCTAACAAACGGCAAATTTAAACTATTCAATACGCTACTCAACACTTCCCTGGTTTTTTTTTTTTAATTTATTTTGAGAGAAGGGAAGACAGGGAGAAAGAGAGGGAGAGAAACATTGATGTGCAAGAGACACATCAATGGGTTGCCTCTCGCATGTCCCCAACTGGGGACATGGCTTGCAACCCTGGCATGTGCCCTGATTGGGAATTGAACCATCAACCTTTTGGTTCAGAGACCGGCACTCAATTCAGTGAGCCAAGCCAGCCAGGGCTTTTTTTTTTTTTTTTTTTTTTAATGCAGGGCATTAATATTACACTGACCAAAATAGCAGACTAACAGGAGAAAAGTTTAAACAGAAGACAAACAACATTCAACTAAGGTTTTTTGGTTCCATATTAAAAGTATCATGTTAAGATAAATGTTCAAAAAACAAACTTAAACAATGTTCTTACAGAATGTTAGTAACAGGTTCAGAATTTTCATGCTCAGAATCATATTCTGACTCTTCAGTTTCTTCATCTTTCGTGTTTTCATTTACAGCATCTGTCATCATATCTGAGGTTTGTTCATAATAATGAACTAATTCTCTTAGTTCATTCAATCTCTTTCGAACTTCATTTAACTTCCTGTAAACAGCAAAGTAAAGCATGCATTATTTTAATAGTATCAGCTAGCAAAAGCAAAATTTCAGCCTAGTCAAATATCCAGGGGATACAAGTAAAGAATTTCGAGTACCACTTACTCAAAATCTCATCACTTTGTATTTTTTTCATGTTGTGTTAGGGACAAAAGAATAAGAGAAAGTTCCAAGTGTTCACTCTGAGCAGGTATCGATGTTAACAGCTTAAAACTCAATGTCAAAAATATCCCTATATTTCTTAATACATATCAGAAATGAGAAGTACAAAATACTCAATTTGAATAGGGGCTCTCAAACAAATCAGATTATGTAGGCATTATTGAGCATTTGTAGATGGTCCCTGATTTGTCTATAACATAACAGAGATCTATAAATTTATAATATGTTTTGACAAGTTATAAACTTGTCAAAAATGACAAGTTTAAGTTTTTATTAAGTGCCAGGAGGTACGCCACTGTTTTTTAATCCTTGTAACACCTCTGTGGCCGTGGCTGATGCGGCTCAGCAGACTGAGTGCCAGCCTGCGGACCTAGGGGTTGCCAGTTCTCCCAGTCAGGGCACATGCCTGGGTTGCAGGCCAGGTCCCCAGTGGGCGGGCGCTGAAGGGGCAACCGCACAGTGATGTTTCTCCCCTTCTCTTCCTACCTCCCTTCCTCTCTAAAAATAAATAAATAAAATCTTTAAAAAAAAAAAACCAAACAAACCACCACCAAAAACCTCTGTGAAATGGTGTATTATTATCCCCATTTTACAGATGGAGAAACAAAGGCTAAATGAGAGTAAGTTATTCGTTCATGGTCACACCGCTTGAAAGATACAATTTATAATTTGAGCTATCTGACTCTGAAGCCTGGATTCTAAAACCATTTGATTAAAGAAATCTTTGAACTGCAGTCCTGCTCTTTCTAATCCTCTATTTGGAAAGGGGAATACGTCAGCTCACAGAAATTACCTGTGTTACAATGTCACATCCCCCCTGGACAGCCTAAAGACTGCACATGCAACACACAGACACACTTCTACTACCGTTATCGTTTAAGAAAGTTTATCATATTAACCCAGAATGCATCCCCATTATTCAATTCTAATCTAGTTAGCAGTATTTAAAAAAGTGTTTTACTGGAGTTTTTCTGTTGGATTTAGATGGCCTTCATTTTCACTCTCATTCTGAGAAGCCAGGGGAGCCGCAGGGTGAGGAAGCGCCGGCGCGAGGCTACTGGGCTCTCCGTTGGTGACTGGCGCTAAGCACACAGCAGCCGCTGGGGCTGCGGGTGTACCTCTTTGATCCACGCTCCTTTGTGGAGAGGCTGATGAAGGCACAACTATAAAAGAAAAAATAAAGTTACCAAAAACAAATATGATATCAAACGACACAGTCGGTTTGAATGTAGGAAAATAAAAAGTAAAAATCACTGACATGTTAAATTCTGCATAAATTTTAGAAACGTACGGATTTAACATCCAGATACTTACTAACATGTCCCTCAACCAAACATAGTTAAAACAGAAATACAGCCGAGACAAAAATTGACAAGAACTATGCTATTGTACCTTTAAAAATAACTAGAGTACTCCCTGTTAAAGCCCTTGATAAACCTGGTTCTAGGTTAAGTTAAACAAAGCCACTGTGCATGGTGTGCGGTACACCATCTACAAATCTTTACAGGGCAGCCCTAGCATAGTAGGTCCCTAAGAGAGTTCCAAGTCCACAGCTCAGAGGAAATCATATCTGGTCTCCAAGGAGAAACTTTCCTTGTTCCAAGAGATAAAGCAAAATTGTTAAAGTGACCATGGTACATCCATACCATGAAATACTGCTTGGCAATAAAGTTTTCTATTTAATGATGCCTAATCCTCTGCAGTCCTTGAACGACATTTCAGTTACTTTTCTGTTCACACAGACCAAAGAATATCTTATGCCTTCAAAGACAATATATAAAGATTAAGAATTTTTGCACTTCACTATCTCCTATCATTCTAAAACTATTACGATTTATCTCTTTCTCAGAGCAACACCATCATTATCTGTTCCTTATATTATCAACTGCTATAGCTAGTTTCCAGAGGTCTCTTCACTCTATTCCTGAACTATTCCTTTTGCTGCTACTTTCCACACAGTTTTCCAGCGGGAGGAAAATGATTTTTTGGCATCATCAGTAGGCAGAGTGCTACTTTATTTATGTGACTAAAACTGATCACAAGGCCTTGGATGCAACTGTCACATATTAAGGTTTTCTTAATTGTGTTAACCCATTTCAGAAGGAGTAGCATTTTTTTTTCAGTTGGTCAACACTCTAGAGGAGCAGACCAGCAGGAGTCAGGGGAAAGAAAGGAGTATGTCTCAGGGTAGAAATTGTAAGGTTCTTTTGGAGGGGGCAGAGAAGTAGAAGATGGGCGAAGAAAAAACAAAAAGAGCATATACTCCAGAAATGATTCCATCCCTTGTTTTTTCTTTAACAAAAGAACAGTTGAAATGGCAAGGACTAACGCCCAGTTGGGGGCGACCCTACCGACTGCAACGGCCAATGCTGAGGCTCCTACTGCTGACTGGGTGAAAGACAGGGACCAGGTCTGAGAAGGTGTGAGGACAGGAAGTGAGAACTAGTAGCTAGATCTTAATTAGAAAGAAGCAAAAAGAACACGTGCAGAGCAGAAAAGAGTTTCCATATCATAACAAGGACAATTACTGACTTTCCTATTCCCATATGAGGTGACTATTTATATACTTTTTAAAAGATGTAAGTTATGGAATTTCTGCACGAAACCATATGTACTATATAAAAGTTTTTTCAATCTTTATTTTTTGTCTAAATGCTTTCAGTTTTTAAATAAAAGTATTAATTTGCATAAGTTTTTCTTTGAGGGAAAATTTTGAATATGTTAAAAAATACAGCACTATAATGTCTAATTACCTTCTCTTCTACTTTTCCCTTATTTAAATCCTACCAATTTTTAAGGCCTAACTTTATCCTTTCCCTTTTCTAAATTATAGAACAGATCTTCCATCTATTTGGCTTTTATCATACACTGCCTTGTTACCGAAAAGCTTTTCATATGTAAGTTCCATCTTCCCACAAAAACTATCATTTTCTTCAGGAACTATGTGTTCAGTCACTCACCAAATGTTTACTGAAGTAATTACTATGGATATGTGCCACAACAATACCTACGCATCCTCTACCTAATACCACTAAGCCAGATTCACTTACATGATGAATTATTCAGATGCTGATCTCGAAGTGTATGAAGTTCTCCAAGCAGTTTGTCCATTTTTTGCTTCTTTTCCTGTAACACTCTCATTTTGCTGAAAAGTTGGACTTTCTCATCAGGTAAATGTTCTGACACTGATGGATTCCTGCTCTGGGAAACCTCTCTAGTTAATGAAAGACTTTCTGCCTGCCTTCTATTATCCGGAACAGCTGGAGGCTTATAAAAAATAAGAGACATAAAGACTAAGGTAATTAAAGGTTGCATTCTCATTTTAAAAATGCATAAAAATTCTTCGTAATAGATAAATATTTGCCCTGATTTTCCTAGTGGGTAAACATATGCCTTTCCTATTCCTAAACTGCCTAGTGCTTCCTGATGTGCCACTGTAACAAATACATAAGTTTTACAGACACATAACTACACAGTGGTCTTGGATTCACTCAATGTTATTATCTGAATCTAAACTAATCAAGCAATGCCACATTTTCTACAATAAGCCTTCAAAAATATCATTCTTTCTCTTGCTACCTTTTTAGAACTATGACAATAAACTTCAACTTCTTAACCTACCAGTTTTTCCTATCCCTTTTTTCCTATGTTCCTCTATTAAAAAAAAATTATCAAACATTTCAAAAATCCACTAAGGCTTAGAAATCACACAATGAATAAAGACCACTGAGCTCAGTCAAATTTTAACGTTTTGCCACATTTGTTATCAATTCTTTTTTTTAAGAGAACTATGACCTTACAGCTATAGCTAAAGCTCTACACATTCCAATCCCCAATCCCATTACTCTCCAGAGATAACCACAATCTAAAATTAGATGTCTACCATTCTTAGACATGCTTTTATTTTGTAATACCTATGTATGCATCCATGAAAATGTCTTTACACATTTTCAAACACAAGCTATGTGGTATCCCTTTTAAGTCTGATGCATTTTCATTCCTCACTTCTGGTTTGGTTACTGTAACTGGTTATACAATTTCACACTATGTACGTAACTTATTAGGCCATTTTCCTGTTCATGGACATTTAGGTTGTTTCTGATTTTTGCTATTAACAACACAATGCTGCATGAACACTCTTGTGTATATCTTCTTGTGAACATGTGAGAGTTCCTTAAGGTGGGACATTGTAGAAAATAGGTACTAGATATTCCTAAGTAACTACCCCAAGTGGTTGGGTCATATTTTTTTTTTTTCAGTTGGTCGGCAGACGGGAGATACTGCATCTTCAATCATACTCATTTCTGATGGAGAGGTATTAATTCACCCTTTCTTACGTAAGGCCCGCAGACTGAAAATCTTGCACTTATGTAATTACTTTAAAAGGTCAACAAATTATAAACTTATTAACTCCAAAATTAAACAAGAATTTTAAATCATTAGTAAAATACTGCAAGAACATATATTCAAACATAGCAAGTTTTAACCCTGTGACCACTAATCTTTGAAAGGAAAAAGAATATGTTATCCAGTAGCATACAAAGGGAAAATATCACTAATCATTTCATTCAAAATAGATTTTCCTCTAATTTAGTGTTTCACAAAGTATAGTGCCCAGACCACCAGCACTGGAATACACTAGGGGAAGCCCACCCCAAATATATGAATCGTAATTTTGGAGGTGGGGAGAATCCCACTGGCCAGAAATCTACATTTTTTTAAACAATCATATCAGGTCATACTTATGCTCAGTAAAGTTTTAGCACCACTGTTTTAATTAATGTGACTTTAATCTCAACTATACTGAAAAACTGTTACCTGAGAATCACGAAGCTGATTATGAAAACGCTGAATTAAATCATTCAATTCTTCATTTAGTTCAGATGTGATACTGACTCCAGACAGGCTACCTGTAGTTTCTGTTACAAATGGAAAGCAAATTAACAACTATTCATTAAAACAAACAAACAAACACAGCACCTTAATTTCTGAGAAGCTAAAAATAAATTTGGGGGAAAAGAGGAATTAAAAAGCACCTCAACTAACATAATTTGAAACTAATCCTTGGATTTATCTGTCAATCAATTATTCTATTGTTCCCATCTAATCCAAAAATAAAGGGAAACTGGCAAAGCTCTTAAAATAGTGGTTCACCTTTTCTGTCCCAACATTCAAAGAGGGAAACTGTTACATCCCAATTAAGACAGCGACTGAATGGAGAGCAGGGAGGGCAGGTCTGTCAGGCTGGGCAGAAGGCAGGGCAAGGAAAGCAGCTGTCTGAAGCAGAAAACAGCTGGTTCTGACAGGCCTCAATCTCCACCTCCCTAACAAATCAACACTCTAGTTCAGGGGCTAGCAAATTTCTTAAAGATTCGGTTAGTAATCAATATGCTAGGTTTCATAAAATACAGTTTTTGTTTCAACCACCCAACCCTGCCACCCAGGTCAAAGCATGCACAGACAGTACGCGAGCAGGGGGCATGGCTGGGCGCCATAAAACCACCGCAGACAGCGGGCCAGACCCAGCGGGCCAGACCCAGCGGGCCAGCGTGCGAACCCCTGCGACCGAAGAGACGACTGCTGAAGGGACGCGCGTGACACGAGCCATGCGGAGAGCCCCCAGTTTCTCTCGGCCAAGGCAGCAGTATTCTGGCAACATTCTGGTCACAGTCGCTGGTCTACTACCCAGCCACCCCCAGGCTCATCCTCTCCAGCTCTAAAAGAGACGCTGGCTATCAGCTGCTTCTGCGTTAAAGGAAAACGCTAGTTGTTTCTACTGAGAAATTAGAATTTCAGGCTGGAAAGAATCCCACACATCTAGTCCAAACTGTTTGAAGAAGAAAGGAATTACAGTCTAGATAACTACCACACAACTTTCTAATCAAGCGATGAAAGGAGCACTCTTTCCCATAACAATTATGTTCCCTCTCACACACCAGTCATTAAATACTACAATTCTGGTGTTTCATCAGTATTCGTCTGCAAAAGTCTCATAAATAGAAGAAGAAATCTGTCTTAAAATTACTAACCTAAAATTCGTTTTGAAAGAGTATATAAAATAAATGAAAATTCTTATTCATTCTACTCCTGGTCCCTATCTCACAACCGTACACATTTTTCTTTTTAAAAAAACAAAGAGATATCTACTTACTTAAAAATAAAAGTTCATATTTATAAACAGAGAACAGAACTCAAGAGATCTGATGCTACTGAAATTCCATATAAGCCTAGCAACTCAAAAATTCTGTGTTAAGAGTTCTTTTTCTATAAAATGAGAGTAACAAGAAAAGCTCCGGTGACTAACCTATAATTTTGTGAAAATGAAATGAAATGATGTAAATTTAACTATTTGAAATAACTATCACAGCAAAGTCTCTGAAATCTGACACTCCTAACTTAAAAAATATTTAAAAGGTCAGTCATTAACCAAACTAGTATTTGTCCTTGATAAAAATATATTTTCCTAAATATAATACCTAATGATACCTTGAATTTTACAAGGGAAAAGTGAAGATGAAAATCTTGTAATTAAGAACAGTGACTGAATGACTATATAATTATTACAAAAGTGTAAGTCACAAGTTCCTTATGAAAATGAAAAATTAAATTATGAGTAACAGTGATCAAGGGGCGGAGCCAGAGGGCTGAGCGTGGACAGCAGGACAAGCTGGGTAACAACAAGGAGACTTCAGTGAGGACCTAAAACAGAGAGCCCACCGGAGATAAATTATTGTTAGACTCAGATGACAGACTACTAGAAATTACACCTTAGTTTTACTGGGCTCTAATAAGTAACAATTTGTTTTCAACATAATGAAAGATTAAACACTTAGTTTGAAGGTGATGAAACAAACTAAACTCAGTACTGAAGAACTGAATTAAATTTCTACCTAAATTTTACACACCTATGAGGGAAGGAAGAAAAAAGAACAGAATACTTCTGAGCCTCAGGGAGGCTGTACCAGATACAAATACAGCCCAAGGAACTACTGTACACAACTGGATACCTAACTGAAATAACAGAACTACCTAACCTCAGAAGCTAAAGCAGCTCTACAAACCTAACCACTGTCTCGCTGAAGGTTTTAATGCTTCCTTGGGAGGCAAGCAAAGCACAGCAATCCTACTTAAATAGAACACAACAGGTGGAAATAAAAGCATCAACAGCACTATCGATCTGAGGTACAAAAACATAACTACAGCCTGTCCCCTTTACCTCTTAAGGGTACACTCTGATGAAAAGGAGGGCGGGCTGGCTGTCTGCACGGCACAGTATGATGGCCAGGAGCTGTCCCTGCAATCTTTTCTGCATAACCAGAGAAAAGCACAGGACAGGGTAAGCCTTGTACGCAGGTTTCTAAACTAGTCAACAATCAACATCTGACTACAGCATAACTGGCATCCACCGTGCAATGCCACTATGCCGCGCTCATAAAAACCACACTCTAAGACCGTGGCATACCAGAGTCATCCATCACAGCAATAGCTTGCTCTGCTTTATGCTGCAGAGCGAGAAGGGCGGCTTGTCTTCCCTGCAGAGCTCGCAGCTGTTCCTGCTGCTGTAACATCCTTTTTAATAAATCATGTTGTTTCTTCAAATTTTCTATCTCTTCCATAGGCTCCTGCTGAGGATCTCTGGCCTGGAAAATAAAAGCAGCAATGCTTGTATCTATCAAAATTCATGTTTCAATTTCAACTACCAATGGCAAAGTACATACATATATACTAACTTAGTACTAAATATATAACTCTAGACACAGCTTTAGTAGACTTGAAGAAAAAAGAATAAAATAGTAACACAGAGGGAGCCTGTCCTATTAAGAGTTAGGTAATTTCATTCATAAGACCATAAGCAATGACTTAGCATAAAGTGGAATTAACAAAAGAGAAGTAAAGAAAAAGGCACACAAAAGAAAAGATAGGAAATCTGAGGACAAAAGGAGCTACACACACATATGCATACACATACACAAATACAGGAGGGACCCAGGCCCTAGAGAAAAGGAAGAGCAAATCATACCAGGTTAAGGCCCAAAAGTATCCTTGAAAAAGTATCTTTGAAAAACACCACTCCTAAGTGATGTTTAACAAAAACAACTTTAAAAATACATTTAAAATTTTAAAAACAATTTTAAAAATTGGTAAAAAATTGGTAAAAATTTTAAAAACTTGCTGTGAAAGACTTTAATGTTACCTGCATCACATTATACAAAGAGTAAAAGCAGAAAATTTTATGTTTTGTATCAATGTAATTTTTCTTTTAAAATAAGTTGATTTAGAATATGCTGACGTTCCCCTCCACACCCGCCCCATCTTAGCATTTTGCCTAAAAGTACGGGATCAGATTATTTTAAAAACGAAGTTTTAATTTTAAAAACTAAGTTTTAAAAGTTTACAACTATCCAAATGTAACCCAACAAGAAAAAATAAAAGTCAACTGAGCAAAAAGACAAAATTAAATATAACTAGGACAAATTATAAGGCAAATTATGCCTGAAATATATAGTAAATATTTTCCATCATTAATTTGCCTTTTAAAAAATTGTATTTTAAAATTTTAACAATTTTACCTAATGTTTACATAAAACATTTCTATTAACTTAGAAATGTATATTTCAATTTTTCCTGTCAATATTCATCTTGTTAGTTCTGGCTTATTTCAACATTATTTACATTTCAAAAAGAAAAAAACAATTTGAAGGGAGAGGGATAACTATCAATAGTTAACTTTCTCAGATTTGATCCAAAATAATTTCACCAAAGTCATCGGTAAAATGTAAAACCAGACCCAAATAGGTACGGATCTCAGTGGACTAAGAGAAATGTCTCCGGGCTAAAACTGAATACTCTAATGAAGTATCAATGGTAATTAAGTAGAAGAAACATTGCACAATTACAATGCAAACTGTCATCTAGGAATAAAAGGATAACCTTTAAGAGTGTATACAGCTCACTTAATTTAAAATTCTATTTCTTAAAAATAGTTCAGACTTCAAGGTAACCTGAAAGCTACCTAATTTTAAAGAATTTACTAAATAATTTAATATTATGGATTTTTACCCTTTAAAAAGCAAACTTTTTAAAAGAACTTTCATAATCCGTTAGACACATTTACAAAACTTTGATACTCTAATTATAAAGAATTCTGAACAATTTATTAAAGCAAACACAATTACTTTTTCACCAATCTAAAACTGAATTCCCAAACATTTTCAAAATTAGTGAGGTTTTATTACTGCTTAATAACTTTTGCATCCATAAAAATAACATTTCAGAATAATACTTAGAAAAACTGAACTAGGAGAGTTAGGTGGGAATGACTATCAAATATAAAGAAAGGACAAATGAGAAAATGGAGATAAAAATGCTTAGAGATAAGAACACACTGATGGTGCATGCATGGAATAGAGATCAAAAAGGAAGCCAGGTCTATATTCCCCCTTCAAACACATTAAACTTTTTGAGTCACTTTCAACAAACACATTTTCAGTTTATAGATTTAAAAAAATAACTTGGGCATTAAATCCTGAGTTACATACAGATAACAGTCCAATTTTAGAAAACATTCTCTACTCAGCTGAGGGTCCTCCAATAATTTATCATGGATCCAAATATATGTACATATACATATATACACACATTCCTCGCCCAAGGATACGCTTATTTACTTTCAGAGAGAGGGGAGGGGAAGGAAAGACATGGAGAGGAACACTGATGTGTGAGAAACATCTTTCGGTTGCCTCCCATATGCACCCTGACCAGGGACCAAACCCACAACCCAGGCCTGTGCCTCGACCAGGTACCACACCTGCGACCTTTCAGTTGACGGGATGGCTCTCCACTGAACTGAGCCACACCAACCTGGGCCCGAATATATTTTTATAGCTGAAAAGTACTTCAGATAATACACACTCCAATTTTTCTTTATGTGAAAGGTGGGGAATTATAATCCCAGAGGGGATAAAGCAATGACTGAACCAGTATCACAGGGGAAGTCAAGATTACTAGGTTCCAATGCTGTGTTTTTCACACCACATCTGCCCCAAAATTAAGCACTTAGATAGTTCCAAATTCAGAAGCCTAAGTTACTATCTCTGAAGAAGTATAGTCTGATTTGGGAAACAAACTTAGACATTCAGTAACTAGAAATAATGAAACAGCAAAAAAGGGTAAATGGTATTTTAAAAAGCTTATAAATGCTCTAAGAGTTGGAATTATGTGTAGGGGGAAAGATGAGCATCAGAAAACAATGAGGACTTGAGTATTTGTGGGAGGTTTCTGTTTAAAAATTATGCAAAATGTCATCATGTCCATAAAAGTCCATAAAAATGGACTGTGCTCTTAAATAGGCAGCTTGAGAACATTAATCATCAACTACTAAGCTGCAACTCACAAGATTGCTTTAAGTTCTGAATCTCAGTTAAGACCTCAACTTTTTTTCCCTCCTCTTCTAACAGAATACTACATTTTGATAGGATGTTAAGAGAGTGAAGGTGGGGTAGAGGGAATGACATTTTGCATAGCAGAAGAATACAGTCAGCTGGTGGGAATTAGGAATTTTTCTAAGAAATTAAAATAATTTTATGAGCAAAGTACTGAGGGAACAATCCTGGGATGGCGCTAAGAATCAACAAAGAGACTCAAATTAGAACAAACTCCAAGAAGCAAGTTCAAGAGAAAATAACATTCTTTTATAAGGATGTTAATAAAAGAAACTTAAAAACAAACAAGTGGTGTTTAAAAGTAAATGCAAGCAGGTTGACAGCTTTGGAAGACTCGGCGTGATGGAAGGATAGAACAAAAACAAAAAAGAAAGACCTCATGGACTTGGACAACAGTATGGTGATTGTGCAGTAGAGGTGGGAGAGGATATGGGAGGATCAACAGCAATGGTAAAAAATACGATTAAATAAATAAAGGTCTTAGCGGAACTGACAGATACTATGCTTTAGTAATTGTCAACTCTTAAGTGCTATTTGTCACTATTCAGAAGACTTAAACAGTGTAAGCTCCAAAGAACATCTACTGTGCTTCACATTCACCTTCTCTTCTCCAATGCCAGCAGTTTTAAGAATAATGTTATTTACTTTTCTGTTAAATTGGGGTACCTTCTGCTTAACACTTTATAGTAACATCACCAGAGCATCAAACTATATCCTCAAACTTTTGTCAGATTGGGGCGGTGGGGTGCGGATGGAGGCGGAAATAAAAACTGAAAGGTCAGGTTTTACCATTTTTAAACATACACAAAAAAATATAAAATTTGTCCCTAACAGCAAAGAAAGACTAATCCTAGGTAATGAACTATTAATAAAACATGAAATTTGTCTTATCTATACTCAGTTATTAAAATAGTCCTTTATTTTGGCCAAATGGATATGAGCACTTTTAGAAACGGTATTTTTTTATTCAAACTGTTTAACTGGAATTACACAAATAGTTGTCTTTAAACCTTTCCTGAGTGCCTTTATGCAAATCATAAAAAAAGAAAAAACATTTAGAGGAAACACTGAAGAAAAAAAGTTGCAAGAACATTAACAAAGTCAAATGATTAAGCATTTTTCCTTAAAAAATAAAAAAAAAGAAAAAGTTTTGTTTCCAACAGGAACAAAACTATAAACCAAAAGGCACCAGGCCCTGGCCGGGTGGCTCAGTGGGTCAGGGTGTCATCCCCACACGCCCAGGCTGTGGGGTCAGGCTCCTGTCAGGGTGCATACAAGCAGGAGCCGATGAATGCGTGAATAAGCAGGACAAATTAACATTTCCCTTTCTCTCTCTTTCTCTCTCTCTCTCTCTCTCATAAATAAAACTTAGGTATTTAATTTAAAAAGCAACTAATGGTCAAGGCAAATATTTTGTTATATTTGTGTTGTATCTTGAATTCTCAATAGCAAAAAGCTTGTGTTATATTTTGAGTTCTCGATAGCAAAAAACGGGAAATGCATTAAGTTTCAAGTCCTTTGTTACTGCAAATTCAAAACAGCTGCCAAATATAATCCATGGAGAGAAGTATTAGCAGAAAAAAAAAAACATTAAAGAACAGCATTTTAACAGGGCGAATTAGAGTATAGTTGACTGTGTTAATAATATATACTTAAGAGTAATAGCAATAACAGAAAAGCAAATAAAGAAGAGGAAATATGAACAAAAGAGTTGCTTATATAGACTTCCCAAGTTAATACTGTGAAGTATACCTTTGAGGGAAATCCACGTTTTCGGCTACATTTCCTATTAGGCCTCAGTTCCCTGTCATTCTGAGGAGTTCTGGTACCTTTCCCTTTTGGACTTGTAGTAACGTCAATGTCTGAAACCTGTTCTTGTGAAGCTGGATTCCCTAGTTTGTCCTCAATGCACGGCCGAATTCTCAGACTAAAAGATGCCTCCTTTATTAAATAGTGTAGCATATTAATTTCTTAACACAAACTCCTGTTTAACATATAAGCCACTCTTATAAATAAATACAAAAACTTTACCAGTCCATTTTTTAAAAAATCGACCCACCCTCCCCAAGTGTCAATAAACTTAAGACTTTTACCTTCCTCTACACTAGACTACTGCTTATTACGATTATCTTATCCTAGGCAATTTTAAAGTTCTACAACTGCTGAAGCATATCTTAACATTTATGCAGCTATTAATCAACTTCCAAAATATACTTTTACACTACGAAAAAAATTCTCTTCATGGTGAGCACTAGCGATAAATGATAACCAGCCAACTACACCGTTTCCCGCTCCTCCCCAGCAGAACTCCTTCACCCGCAGGCCCCCGACCTCTCCATTTCTGCTGGAACGAAATGTGAGGAAGACATCATTCCCGGCACCACTATAAACAGAAAAATCATCCCCCACAGTAGAACCTATTCTTTTACAACTGTTACAATCAAGTCTCTGAGTATCCCTTGGTGAAAATAATGCAGGGAAAAAAATTTTCAAATTTCCTCTTCAAATTAAGAAGGGCAGAAAAGAGAAAGGGGACAGATGAGAAACTACACAGGTCAATACTAAAAGGAAACAAACCTTCAAACTTCTAATGCTGAACGGTATTTAGAACATATCCCAGAAACAAAAGATAAACATACATCATGTTTTACAAGAAAAGCTTTACTAATAACAGATTTTCAAATTTACTAATGCATGTTTATAGGTGCATCTGTTAAAATAAAAATGCTTAAAAGCCAACTAGTTTCAAAGCACACCAATTACTACGAAGTTATTTTACAAACATTTCCTCCAAATTCTGTAAATTCTTGATTACTTTTCAAAAGCTGCATTCTGGCTCTATTTCCTACTGGGCCTCAGCTCCCTGTCATTCTGAGGTCTCTCACCTTTCCTTTTAATAAATCTCATTTTGCAGAGTCAGAAGTTAGTGTATTTTTCTCACTGTGAATAAGTCACAGTGAAAATGCTACCTTGTCCCATTTTCACCTCAATTTTTCCGTCTTTTGAGCTGCTACAGTTGTAGGCTAACCTGAGAAATAAAAAAATCCTAATAACCTTAAAATGAGTCATCAATGGCAAACAATCTTGGAAACTTCCTATAGACAATATGACAAGCAATGATACTTTATGCTTATAGCTCTTATATCCATGAATTTGAACTTTCCCAATGCTGTTCAAAATGAGTAAAGCTGTGCTAAATGAAACAAACTAGGAAAACCATGTTTCCCAAAAACAAAAGAGAAAAACCATGTTTCTCTGAGCTGAAGATCAGAATGATTAGATTTTAAAATCTACCATTAAAACTATCTTTAATGTTAATAAATAAAACTTTTAAACTTCCATGTTTACAAAGAATATGTTCAGCATTAACAATTTGAAGTTTCTTTCCTGAAATATACTTTTCATTAAGGAATGCATATAAAAATATAATCTTAGAAAGTGGCAGAAAAGTTTAAATCTTCATTTCTAGCACTTTAATCACCAAAAAGTTGCTTACCGGGGTGTCTGAAGCCTCAGACTGCACATCCATGTTTAGGGATGTGCTCTCAGCTGCAGAACCAGATCCCACAGCTGAATCTATACTTCGAACATCCTCCTCCTCATTTTCTCTAGCCTGAAATATTTTAGTGGTATAAATCATACAACTACTAAAAAGGGCAGTCAACTGTTAAAATGGACGGCACAGTTTTCTGAAATCACGTCAACTCCTCTGAGGTGGCGTCAGAATGTCATCAGTACGTGTGCACTGATAAACCATAAAAAAAACTCAATACACATTATTAAAAAGGTCCAAAACTTACAAGGATCTTTTGGAGAAATTTCATATACGACTTTTCTTGTTCTTTAAGGTGATCTATTAGATGAGTAAGACGCTCAACATTAGCAGATCTTTCATTTTTTTCTACGAGATCCTCCCTCATGGAACTAGCTTTAGTAATATAGTCACGGATCTGAACAAGCCTGCTTACAACCTGCTGGGGAAATAGTTTTTTTTTTAAAAGGCATGAAAATACAGTATGTAAAATTGAGCATGATTCATTCAATGGCAACAACTTTATAGATTTTAAATTTCAGCTATAATAACAAAAAATATTTATTGTGTAAATTCATAAATGTCAACCATCTGAATCAAATTTAGAATTTAATCAAAACAATCAGCAATACAACTCCAATTACTGCTAATTTTTAAAATTTCAAAATTAGTGTTTACATTACCCGAAGTTTTATTTATAGAACTACACATCAAACTATTTTTATATAAATTTTTCTGTTTATATTGACTTATAAATTTAAAGTACTATAAATACCCCTGAAAGTACTTTTCAAAAGACTATCACCATTTAAAAAAATTCTTACAACAATCTATTAATCACATTGCTCCCAACCCTCCCCTTATTAAAAATTGGCAATAGAGCATTTGGCAGAAAAACAGCAGCCTTGTTTTACCTGGATCTGTCATTTCTACAATCATTTTAGGTTAAAAAAGAAACTTATTTTGAATAAATCTGATAGAATGATACAAGTATGAAGGAGTACTTTAATTCTACCTAATAAACATTCCTATATGCACACTCTAATACAACTTTTTTTAATGTTACTGTGTTATACTTTGTGGTTTGTGAAGGGAAAGAGCAGAAGAAACTTCTACCACCTGGCTGCTCTCCATCGCAGGCTCTCCTCTCCCATCTTCTTCAGAGACTTGACAGTTTTGCAAAAGGTCATTACTTAACGCAGAAGCAAACAGCTCTTTACACTGTGCCGAGCCAGTCACCTCTCTCTTCTGCGGACTTGTGGCAGCATCTTTGCTCTTGTTAGTATTGATCTGCATAGGCAGAAAGTTGAAGGGCTTTCGGGTCTCGCTTAGCTGACGTTTGTTGTTGGCGGCTGTTGCTCTGCCTTGAGAATCACTTCCAATGCTTCTCTACATATGAAAAAGAAACCAAATCCACAAACAGTAGTCATTCAACAATTTTTAAAAATTTCAGCGTTCTTAGTTTCACCGTCAGATACTGATTCAGCTTGTAGTAAGATATGAAAAAGCTTCAGATCTACCAAACTCTACTAAAATATCAAAATCTCATTAGTACAACCTATTCGTAATTTTGTCAGACTATTCAATCGATGACTATCAGCAAGATTAGGTTACCTGAAATACTAGGAATGTGGAACATATTTATAATTCACAGTGCTAGTCTCACTTGTTCACAGAGTTCTGTATAGGCTTTGCACCCAGTGAATCAATATTAGTTAATGGGAACACCAGCACGAAGATGAGTCTTTGGAAAGCACTGCGTGAAAAGGACTCGGCTCAATGCCTGGCATGTGTGTTCAATAATCAGTAAACAGAGGACCAAAGGATATGTGACCATCACCGCACCAGACTTCATGTACCTGTAAGCATATTCGGAAGCCTGTTTTATCTCTGTAAAGTACAGATGTACAGATGTAATAGTAAAATACTAAGAGTTCATTATAATTCATACAAAATGGAATATTACTCGGCTTAAAAAAAATGGAAATCCTGACACATCCTGCAACATATGTGAACCTTGAGAACATTTGCTGAGTAAAATAAGCCAGTCACCAACAGACAAACATATATGAAGTTCAGTAACACTGAACTCAACACCAACAGCACAAGCTGTTATACCTAGAACAAGAGGAAGTACCAAGAGCGGTCAAATTCAGAGACAGAAAATAGAATGGTGGTTGTCAGGGGCTGTGGGGAGGGGAGAATGAGGAGCTGCTGTTTAACCGGAACAGAGTTTTAGTTTTCCAAGACAAAAAAAGAGTTCTCTGTACCTGGAGGTGGTAACAGCATCACCATAAGGTGAATATATACAATGTCACTGAACTAAGCCAGAAGAGGTGAAGACGGTTAACTTTGTTATATTTACAACAATTTTTTAGAAAAGTTCAGTACTTTTAAAAAAACAGTTCATATCATTTCTACTTGCTCTTCTAAACTTTATGTCAGTGATTATAAATACAAACTACAGGTTTATTCTAAACAAGGTTATCCAGCATATTCCACACCGAGCCAGAAGTACAGTCAAACCTCGGTTCTCGACATCTTGGTTCTCAAACAATCGAGTTCTTCATCAAGTTATTAATGGAAAAGATGTCTCAGTTGTCTAACAAAACTTTGTGTCTTGATTCTCTACCTGACAACCCTTTCATGCTGATATCTGTAGGATCAGTCACGTGTCTCTCAGACCACAAAAGAAATTCAGTTTACAAACAAATGGCTTCCAGAACAGTTTTCTGGGACACGTTAACTCCTAAAACCAAGGTTCCACTGTATTCTAAATTTTTCTTTAATACCGATCTTATTCAGTACTAACATGCAAAATTTAGTTTCATAATGAAATTAAAGTTAGTCATATAGTACAGTAATGAAGTCCAAAAAGATTTCTCCTTAGCAAGTTTAGAATAAGGCTTTGTTTGCCCTTCGAAAAACACAGTACCACCACTACTGGTTAAAATTCTTTCTGTATGCACAGAAACTAAGGAAAAAAATATAATAAACAGCTTGATCTTTTATTAAGACAGAAAATTTCATCCATTTTTAATATTTTCCATAACATAACTGATTTTTAAAGTCAGTCACTAACCTGGTCTAAATCACTGAAGTTTATCCGCTGTTTCAGCTTCTCCAATTCTGCCTGCTCTGGAACAGACATCTGGGTCATGTACCTACTGTGCGGAAACGTATGTGGGGTCTTTGTTCTTCGCCTTCCAACTCCTGGTGATGACTCCGGAGAAATGTCATTGGTTACCCTCTTATCACCTTCCACACCAAACTTTTTCTTATTCTTTTCTGACGATCTATTTGCCTTCTTCTGCTGGCCACCCCAATCCTTTAAAAAAGTAAAGGCAAGAGTTAATATGGCCTCTATCAAACCTGGAGAATATAACTTGGTATACTTAAAAAATTTTGGCCAGTCTTAAAAATGACAAAACACTTTTCACATACATATGTAGTCTTAGAGACAATTATTTACTACTACTAATCCATCCCCTCCCCATTATGTCTAGTCTAAATTTCACAGACTGTCCTTCAGAAAACAGGTAATTTTCCTTTTCATAAATCATTACCAAATACAAATCCCTAAACTCTAACCCTAGAGTCAGTTCAAATATTTTCAAAAAGCATTTTTAAAAATGGTTCTTTACTATTTATAAATTGAATAGTGAAATGAATTAGATACCTTTACTGGCCTCCTTTACAGTCAGTGTGTATAAGAAAACAGATCTGAAACCAACCTGGGTCCTAAAGTATTACTGTTTTCTGAAGAAATGCTCCACTGCCTAAGCCTAAGCAATTTACTTAACTTCCCACAGCCTAAGTTTCCTAATCTCTGAAATAGTGTCACCGTTAAAACACAACTAAAAATAGCATACATAAAAACATCCAGTACGGTGCCTAGTATATGGTGAGCAACAAATATAACTTATTATTTTAATAGACAACAATGTGTTACATAAGATCTGATAACAAAAAAATGCTTACTGTTTTAACTAGAAAAGATTTTTATTTACTAAGTTGTACCCCCATAACCTAAACCAAGCAAGAAAAAGTCTACAAATTCCCACCATATCAAATTAGAACAATCTTATAGTTTTACAATAGTAAAACCTTTGGTATATTTTCCTCATTTAAAATAAAACTCCCTTCACTACAAACTGTCTCCTCACGCCAGTCTACCCTCTTGTTCTACCTACCCCACCCCAACTGGCCACAGATGACTGGAAACAAGATGCATATTTACTCCAAACTAGAACAATCATACTTTACTTTAAAATTTCACATTGGAACTGAAAGATTACTAGTCAGTATTGAATTGCAGCTATAACAGAAAACTTCAGAATGAAAAGGGCAACTATAGCGCACCATGTGGACCAAAGAAGAGAGAACGCGGGTCTGGGAAGAAACAGCTGTGTTACGCAGACACACTTAGGAGAGCGAGGATAGTCAAAGAGTAATTCCTCCTAACTTTCTAGTTCTTTTTTCTATCCCTGCCTAAAATCCAACTTCATTCTTTTAAATTGCTTTCCATAAAACAGTTTTATATCCTTATAAAAAACTTCCTCTTTGGCTTAAGCTAACTCAAGTTAGTATCCTTGTACCCGCAAACAAAGATATCTTCACTAACATAACAAATAGCCCGGCATCATTTAATATCTTGGCCAGCAAGAAAAAAATGTGTTTAGAAAGAGTTTCAGTGAGTCTGACTTAGCTAAGTCAAGGGAAAGGCGTGTTTTAATTATTAATAGTCAGTGGCGCACCATCAACGATGCCATCATACCATGTTGTTGAGTCGGTCGTCAACACTCTCATTGCTCCAGTTTGGTAAATCCTGATCATTCATGCCTTCTTCAAAAGGACCTCCTCCTGTGGCCATACTGGCTTTAACAATTTTCTGTAAAAGAAGTAAAAACTAACCTTTTTAACATGTAAAAACAAACTCTAATTTTTAAGTCATTCCCTGAAGCTTGGCAATATAAAAGAATCTTGGAAAAGTTGATTTTATAAAATAAAAAGAGGCACTGTTAAACTACACATCACAAACTGATTTAGCGGTTGCAGGCCTATCACGATTAACATGAACTGAACAGCTGGGGCGATGGGACAGGGAAGGAGAACCTCTGAGGAGCCTTTATGTATACTGGCATACAGACTTTAAGGTTATTTCATTTAATTTATTCAGCAAAGGCCTAAAGGTAACGAGAGAGGAAAAGGTTATCAATAGCTAGAACCAATGGTGCTCTCAGAAAAGAAACTAGTACCTCCCAAAACCTGGACGTTTGTTTTGTGTGAGAGATTCAGAGGGCAGGACTGCTCTGCATGGAACATGGAGAAAGGCTTGGTTTCAGTAAAAAGGAAGGTAGTGGTAAGCAAGAGGAGGAGAAAGCAGGCAGCTGGGTGGATGGCCAATAAAAGCCAAGAACACAGTAGCTAAACACACTTTTAAAATATTGCTGCCTACTGCCCTATTTTAAATTGTATTGCTGGGGATTTTGTGAAAAACAAAGGCAGGCAGTGGATTTCATAACCAGGTCAAAGAGATGAGAAACAGAAGCCACAATGGTAAAAGCAAAGGCTTTTAAGAGCAGAGATTATCAGGAGAAAAGAGTATTTCTACACATCCTGTGGAGGACTTTGGATTTCCACGGGGTATGGAACTGCATGAGTTAGAGGGAGGCTCAATAAAAGAGGAGATGGTAAGACAACTTTATGATTCAAGGGGCAGAAAAGGCCATCAGAGATCAGGGTTGTAATAGGTTTCTCATTTTACAAACAATAACACCAACATTCAAAGGAGTTAGATAATTTCACCAAGGTCGTTCAGCTAAAAATGTCAAAAACGAATACAAATTCCAGGTGCTTTAACTCTAGGATCCTAACTTATCCCATTCATCACTACAGCACAGTATTAAAAGGAATATTATCCATAACAAAGGATTTATCCCATAGATGATAGGATATCTATCAGAATAATGTACAGAGCACAAGTGAATTTTATCATCTCATAAGGAAGAGATGGAATAAAATTCAATACTTCGAATTTTTAAAAAAATCTTAAAAGTACAAATATACTGACACTTCTTCATAGATATATATATTTTCCTAGTTTTTCTTTTTTCCAATGAAAATATGAGATCTGTCGAGAAGATATCCAGCCATATAATATGAAAAATAGAGACATTTACTGAAGCGGGTAAGAAGATATAAAAAACATTGTACACAGGACAATGACACCTTAGCCCCCTTCGAAGTAGGCACCTGGGGACCTCACACAGGTCTCCCAATTGCCATCAGCTGCCCGTCATATTTTCCTGAATCTCACCAACAGTCTGAAATCTCTTCCCTTTCAAAGGTGATTTTAGTTTTGGGAAAAGCCAGAAGTCGCAGGGCACCAAATCTGGGCTGGGTGGGGGTAGTCACTTGGGTGATTTGATGCTCTGCATGAGCTGGCACGTGGTCATGATAAAGCTGTCAATCACCAGCTGCCCATAGCTGTGGCCTTCTGAATAATCCAAATAGTTTCCATGGAGGAATGTTCAAGCGTAACATGAAATCTGATGCAGATTCACTGCTCTACTTGCTCAGTTATTTTGAATGTGTCAGCCACACAGTACACCTGCTCACTCAACAGCATCTACTGCCCCCACTGACGAGTAGAGAAGTCATCATTGTTTGCACATGCGGATTACAGTCCACTCTCTTTGGCTGCCAGGTTACATCCCTGTCGCGCAAACCGTTCTCATTATATTAACAATGGCTGGACCTTTTCTGAACAGACCTTGTAATTACAGAGTTGAAAAAAAGTACATTTTAAACCAACAGCCAACAATTTTAAAATAAGACACGAAGGCCATTTCTATTAAAATAAAGACCAAAACAAGAATGCCACGTCAGTTATTGAGCACTGCTTTGGCAGTTCTAAAAAACACAAAAATAAGGAACAAATATTAAAAAGAGAAAAGGTATTTTTAAAGAATATGCATTAAAAAACCTTCAAAACTTAAAATGATCACCAATAACCTCTCAGAAAATATACTCAGAAAAAATGATGCCACTGATACTAGTGACAAAAAGAATACCTAGGAATAATATAATTTGCTCTATGTAGATAAGCACCATTAAACTCTAGAAAATATGAGAAAATTTTAATAAGTAGAAAACAAACTATCTTCCCTGGTGGAAAGATAAAAATTATAAAACCTATCATTTTTCCTAAATGTATAGGCTTAATAAAATTGCAAGAAAAATCCCACCATTATCTTCTTAGAATTTAACAAAACAAGTAACAATAAAAAGCCACAAAAAAATTTTACTGTCTGAAAAACAGCAGGAGTAGCAACAGAGGTAGGAGAGTAAAAAACTACTTCCATGATAATTCAACCACATTGAATGCCTATATGGTTAAGTTCGTACCAGCCCTAAAAAAGAAAATCCTCAAATGTACAATTTAAAAAAGTAATGAAAAAAATTAATTGTAGCTAAATCTATTGGTTGGTATTCACTATATAGAAGCCAAGCACCATGCTGAATATTTTATGTGCATTTTATCATTTAATCCTCACAAGAATTCTATGATGCAGGATTATTTAATTGCTGAGACAATTTGCTAACAATTTTGAAAAAGGTTTATTTAGAGCTTTTAACAGCATTTAACTCAGATTCTTCATCTCAAAATGATTTAACAGAAAAATGATTTAAGTGCCTATTTCCTCAATTCTTCCAAGGATGGTTGGTACATACCCAGTACCAATCAGACAGACAGAGGAATTAATTCACAGTGAACAATGGATGGCTTACAGCATTAGAGCTTAATCCTCTCCAATTGAAAAAGGCTGCCTTATACCCCAACACCAAGACAGTAAATAGACTAAATATTTTGCAACTATTATTTTTTAGATGTATTGATATAATCTGTAATATTAAAGAGAAGCTCAAAAAATACATATGCAGTAGAGGAATACCATATTTAAAAGTGCTAAATGCAAACTGTCTTAAAATGTAAATTAGAATGAAAAATTCCTAAGGCTACTTAAGTAAAAAACTCATCAATTTTTCCCTCAAAATAGAGTATCTTACACTCTCCTATCAGTATAGTAATGAACTAAGCTAAGTTTACTTTAAGATAAATTTAGTAAGACTACACTTGAAGCCCTGACTAGTGTGGCTCAGTAGGTTGGGCGTCACCCCACAAAGCTGACTTTCCGGGGCCAGGACACATGCCGGGGTTGCAGGTTCGGTCCTCGGTCAGGGCGCATGCAAGAGGCAGCTGACCCATGTTTCTCATATTAATGTTTCTCTCCCTTTCTCCCTCCCTTCTCCTCTCTCTAAAAATAAATAAATAAAATCTTAAAAAAAGAAAAGACTTTATTTGGAAAGATAATGTTTTATATATTACAATAAATCTCAAAAGCTTTCTCTAAGGATCTATTTTTAGGCTAATGATGGAATACTATTAAAATAAGATTCTAAAACAATTTGAATACATTAAAATTAGTTTGGGGAAAAAAAGGATCAAATATTTTTAAACCTTTTAAGAATACCATTTCCTAAATAAAGTCTATTTAGTTTATTAAATAAACAACTCTGTCTACTGTTATATTGTGACTCACATACAATGAGGTAGAACATTTAACAGCATAATACCCAATGTGTTTAAAAGGCACATGCCTACAGGAGTAGAATTATTAGTATAAAGCTAAAGAAATAATTGCACGTGGATCAATTCTCAATATGTTAACATTCAGCTCATCTCTCTAAGGGAGTAAATATCTCTCCTATAAAAGGTGGAAAATAAAGGCACGTTATTTCTCTCGTTTATGCCAATCTTCCTAACCACCTCAAGGTCACCATTAGAAATACAGGATTTCTGTCTTCTAGGTTTTATTCTGTAGACACACTAATATAAACTATTATGTATACAATAATTATTATTATGAACTATTACTTATATAGAAAGACTGCCAGTAATGAAAACACTAGGTATGTAGAAAAGAGGACCACTACCAGCAAGATTTCCATGGTGGAACCCCCAGGGATTAGTGACTACACTATATGCCATGGGAGATGAGGCAGTGAGGAAAGAATAAGAGGACGAATCCTGGAACAACCTGCAGCTTAAACAACTGGGTATAGACAATCCATCACAAGTAATTTGGAAAGGTTTCTGTTGTTGAGAAAAAATTATGAGTTCAGTTTTAGAAATGTTGAGTTTGAGATACCTATGGTAACCCAATTAAACTTGTTTAGCAAATATCAGTCTCTCAGAAGTGAAATCTAGGCTGGACAGAGACTGCAAGTCACCCACTCATAAAAGACTTGAAGTGCAACAGAAGGTTCAGAAGAGATGAAGAGCAAGGGGGAAAAAAAGCCTGAATCTTGAAGGACACTGATATTTAAGATACAGACAGAAGTCAAGACTGAGATGGTCAAAAGACTTTCTACAAAAAGACTGAGATGGAAGGAGAAACCAGGGGAGTGTAAGGGAAACGGAGAAAAGTGTATAAAAACACAGGATATAATAAGAATGCCAGGTACTACTTTGTCATGAAAGAAAAGTACTGAGAAGTGTCCACCTGAAATTAGCAACAGGTTACTGATAATGACATTCTCATTAGGAGCAATTTCAGCAGGGTGGTGAGGGTCAATTCCATAATTGTAACCTATTTATTAATGGGAATGGGAAAATATAAAGCAAGTCAGAGAATTTTTTTCAAGGAATCAGACTGTGAAGTAAAGCAGGTGGAGATGGTCATGAAGAAAATTTTGTTAAAAGGGAATTATCTTGAGTATATTTAAAGTTTGTTGGGAAGACTTCGTAGAGGGGAGATACTGAAGACACAGAAAAATGGGGAAAAAATAGTGTGTGGTTTTTGAAAAAGTGGAAACGATTGGAATCCAGGGCAAAAGAAAACTGATTAGTTTTCGACATGCAGAGAAACATCTCTATCGAAACAAAAGGAAAGGAGAAAGTGGAACTGAAAACCTGGTTAGCAGATTTTGAGGTAAAAGTTGCAGGAGTTCGTAAGTGATCTGAAATAGAAAGGTTTGTTTGTTCATTACATGTGAGAGAGGATATGGCAGTGTCTGAAAGACTGAAGAAGAGTGGGAAACAGAATGACTGGCAGCAGCAAGGCCCCAGGTGAGAGCAGAGAACATTACTGACGTCACATCTGCAAGAGAACTTGCCCCCGGCAGGGCTCACCAGCCGTCCCATAAACATTCATTCCACTGACTCCGTCCACGGTAGAGTCTGCCAGGCAGGCCTACTAGTAAGAAAAACGATGAGATGGAAAGCTGAAGCCATTGGAAAACAGCTGGTGAAAGTGATAAATGATAGTATGGGAAACTTAAAGGGGAAAAGTCAAAACTGTCCCACTTTAAACAAGCATTGTAGGCATCCTGTGACCTACTAAACTATGTTGAAAATGTTACTTGTAAGTTTCATTTAGCTATTTTGACAGCCTTATTTCACTCTCTTATCTTGAAAAGATATGAAATGCAAAAATGCTATGATAATTTATATGTTACTCTCAGCAACTGATCTTTCCGAAGAAAATCCTGCTGCAGAATTCTCACTATAGAGAAGGGGTGTCCAACCTGCGGCCCGTGGGCCACATGCAGCCCAGGATGGCTGTGAATGAGGCCCAACACAACATCGTGAATTTACTTAAAACATTATGAAATTTTTTGTGTGTGTGATAACATGTCACAATCTATTTAACATATGGCCCAAGACAACTCTTCTTCTTCTACTGTGTCACAGAGACACCAAAAGGTTGGACACCCTGACAGCATTAATTACCACAAAAATACCTATGACTAAGATTTACTTTTGAAAATAAGAAGGCAAGAAGTTCAAAGAAATTTAGTAATCAAGTAGAGAGAAAAGATTATTTTTCAAATGGCACTAAACTATTCATCATCATCCCTGCAAATATCTTACTTCTCAACTGACTGCTTTAAATCAAAGTTTTAGAAATACTCACCCAAATAAAATAATGTGTAAAATACAGTTTTTTTAAAAAAAAATATTTACGTAGAGTCACAAATAACCAAAGTTGGCATTTTACATATCAGTACAAGTTTTCTAAAGGTTGCATTATTTGGGGTATTTCTTCTCCAGATCATAAAAATGAAATACTCCATACACTATTTTAAGCTTTAACACAGTGTTCAACTAAACACTTTTAATGGAAACTGAGAAGAAAATGCCTAAGTATTTGGTATTACATACTGTTTATTCAAAGTTTCTTCTGAGGAACTTCTCAATTTTTTCTGATCAAGTACCAGAAAATTATACAGGATCGTTTCCAGTTTACTGAGTCTTTCTAAAAATTTCAATAATTTTTTTTTTAAAGATTTCATTTATTTATTATTTTTAGACAGCGCAGAAGGGAGAGAGAAAGGGAAACATCAATGCGTGGTTGCCTCTCATGCGCCCCCCACTGGAGACCTGGCCTGCAACCCAGGCATGTGCCCTGACTGGGACTCAAACCGGCGACCCTGTGGTTTATAAGCCGGCACTCAATCCACTGAGCCACACCAGCCAGGGGAAAATTTCTGTAATTTTCTATAACTTAATATAGCTCCATCATTACCCTCTTCAAATTAAAAATACTCAAGTGCTGGCTGGGTAGCTCAGTTGGTTAGAGTGTCATCCCAATACACCAAGGTTGAGGGTTCAATCCCAGGTGAGGGCACCTATAAGAAGCAACCATTAATGAATAAATAAGTGGAACAACAAATTGATGTCTCTTTCTCTCTCTCCCTGCCCCTCCCTCAAATCAATCAATAATTTTTTTTAACTCAAACTATTGGGAGGCAGGTAACAGACTGCAACACCTAATTTGCACCAACAGATATCGGAATAAAACTATGTATCAAGTGTGCATTAGGTCTATCTTTACAGTTACTCTACATTGAACATTTTCACACCAACAACATTTAATATATCCCTGCTTTCTACAAAAACAAGAATCCTGAAGTCAATCAATTTTTCAATACACAAAGTTCTGCTTGCTTAGACCTCTCCCTATAGTTTCTATGCAACCCTATGACGCTTCCTTGTCTTTGATTACATACACCTCTCTAGGCAAATCAGGAGGCCATGCTACTGCCATCGATCTTGAATCCCTTTCATCAAAGCCACTTCATTGCATTCTCACTGGTAACAGCTCTACTTATCATCGCTTCTACTGGACCATTACATTCCTCACCTGTTCCCAAATATCCCTACTTCTTTGGCTTCAGTAAAATTCCAAATCCCTCTGAAAGCACTATTCCCTTGAAACTTCCTTGAAAAGACTGGCCTCAGTTCCAATGCCCATCTCATCTTCTCTATTCCAATATTGTTTTCACTCTGAACTGGTCATTTGTTCAAGGCCCTGAACTTCTGAAATCCCTCTTTCTTACCCTAAGTTTTTGTATTTTACTTCTCTTTCTCATTCCTGATGAACTTGCTCTTGACCCTGTCATTTCTCTCTCCAGGAATCCATTAATCCTTGATTTCTAAACACAACCTAAGTAGGCCACTCCAAAAACGCCTTGTGCTAGCATCCTTAACTTCCTCACCTATTTGCCTCTTCTGTCAACTCAATGAGTAGTTTTGTCTCCTTCTCGTTTCAATCTGTCAAACAGTAGGGAAACAGTTATAAAATGGCACTGCCTGTGCCCTTATCACGGTGTACTATACTGTATACACGTGTACACACTCACATTTTCGAAATGTAAATTTACTCCATTCGGTAAGGAACCTGGTCCGTTTTGCTCACTGCCTTATCTCCAGTACTTTATAGTCATTAAATAGCATATGAAGGCACTCAATTTTTGAGATGAATGTACTTCTGTGTATCCCTTATTCGTTTCTCGCTTAATTTCCTAGTGTGATAATTCCAAAAACTTTGTATTTTTTTTCCAATTCTCAAATAAACTTGTCCCTTCATTAACAAACGGCCAAATCCCCTACTGAGAACACCAAGTTCTTCTAATGTGAATTAGCCCAACAGCCGTTATGTTTTTGTTTTATCTTATCCATCTTTCCTACTGTGTTAAAAGGAAAATTATTTTACTTTATACCTGATTTTACCATTCTGTTTATTCTACCAAGCTCCTACTATCTATATACTTTAGTGTTAAGAACTCTAAAGCAAACACTCAAATCTGACCTTTCCCCTGTGTTCTATTTTTCTTATCCTATTTTATTATAGTCTTCTAATTAAGAAACTACTACTGAGAATTATAATTAAGATATAAATCCACTGTCAATCTGTATTTTCTCATAAGGTCAGCTTATTTCAAAAAGAAAGTGAAGATCTGGAGGCTTCCCTAGAAAGCAAGAATACATGAAACAAATTTAGAAAATGAGCTGCCTTAAAATTTTAACTGAATTAAATTCAGACTAAGATATTCCTAAAAGAGCATTTCTAAAACATTCTTAACAAAAATTTCTTCTAATTTTCATCCATTGGTCATTTAATTTCTAAACTGTCCTAAGCAAACTTGACTTTCCCTCAATGAAGTTAAACTGACTTTTTTCTGCTGGTCAGAGTATCTTTACATAGACACTATTTGATAATGCACTACACATAGAAACTAATTATAAAGTCATGAGACAGCTAAAAAAAAAAATACAAAACTGTAGTCAACAGTATGTTTAACAAGCCCAAAAAATGGTTTGTGAATAAAAAATAAGAGCAAATAATGAATAGAAAATTCGTACAAGATTACCTAAGAGTAAAGGGATTTGGCTATCCAAACATCTGTTCTAGGACAAATTCAAACTCAAAACGGTCTGAACAAATTCTATGAAAAGAAAGACATTTCAAAAATATTACATAAACTATTCCACATTTTAATAATTAGAAGTGACATGGCTCCTTTGTAAAAAAAAAGTATGAAGGCAGACTGAAGTGGCATGTCAAAAAACAGGCATAGGCCAGCAAACCCAGACAGATTACTAGCTAGAGAGAGAGGGCCCTCAACTATGCACTGGTGGCTTTTTTTTTTTTTTTTTTTAATTTTTTAGTCCTTACCCAAGATATATTGATTCCAGAGAGAGGATGGGAGGTAGGGAGAGAGAGACAGATTGACAGACATCAATATGAGAGAAACATGGACCCCATGCCTCCAGCACGCACCCAACTAGGGACTTGGCCCGCAACCTAGGTATGTGCCCTGACCGGGAATCGAACCCGTGACTCTCCCGTGTATGGGACGATGATCCAACCGAGCCACATCAGCCAGGGCAGGCACTGGCATTTTGATAGGAGGTTCCATCATAAAGTCTTCTTCAACTATAATAAGAAGGACAATAACATATATAACGATGTCAAATTACCTGCTTGGAAACTAGTTTTTGCAGCTCAGAAACAGCTCTTTTTCTGCTTCACACTTCAAAACTGTGGTCTGCTTTTGAGGGGAAGAAAAAAGACTTTGTAAGTTCTTTACAATATGAGGCAAAGAATAACAAATACTATATTTATACCTAAAATGTTTAGTAAATCCATAGAAAAGAAAAATACAATTCATCAATATTTTAAGACCGTTACTTTAATCCTTTTAGAAAACAATGTGAGATACATGTTTAAACCCTCCAAACGTGTAATATCCTACAAAACAACAATGTGATACCTTAATATCTACTTTGGAATATAATGAAAAGTGGTTAACTCTAATTATCAGGTAAAGATCCATGCCAAGTTTACTCTTCACATTGATGAAGTCATTAACTCCCAATCACTCAAACTATTGCAGAACTTTGTCTCTCCGATGAGAGAAAAGGGGTTTCTTTATTTAAAAGCTAAGCTACTTCATTAAAAATACCCTTGCCGCTGCAAAAACACAAGGTTCACCTTCAGGTTCAGAAACTCAGTATTTTCATGGCTTCCAGTGGCTCTCACCAAGAAGGTACAAGGGAAAGAAAGAAGCAGGTGCACCCCGAGCTCTACGACACCCACTCCAGTAATCCGAGAATACCAGAAGGCGGAGTCTGGAAAGCAGTTATGGGGCAGGGGTGGTGGGGGCGCCCTGAAAGCCCGGCTTCTTCCAGAGCCAAAACACGATCCGTCACCCGTAGGGCAGACGACACAAACCTCAAACGGGTCCAAAAAAAAAAAAAAAAAATGTGTTTTTCAGACAAGGCGCGCTCCTGAGCAGTGGACCGCGGGAGGAAAAGTTTGGAGGCCCCGCCTCCCTAGCGGGGCCTAGCTACCACCTCATGCCCAAACACCAGTTTTTGCAAAGCAAGCAACGTTTCTCGAATCGTATTTGGCGTTTAGTATTCCCCATCCTAGGCCCATCCTAACTGGACCTGCAGAAAGGGATAGCGACGCGAAGCAATGGGAGGGGAGAGGTAGTAAGTGAACATCTCCCTCGCAAGAAGAAAACACCTCTTAGCCAAAGTCAGGAACGCCCCCCCGCGACCCTCCCGCTCTACAAACACCCGAGAGAGCAGAAATTCCGATGTTCACAGGTTAGCTTGAAAGCCTATCGTTCCTTCCCCGCCCTTTTCCAGCCCGAATTCTGGACATTGACACCCCGCAGAACAGAATTTGGAGATGGGGTGGGAGGGGACGCAACGACGGAGACTAGGGCCACTGAGGCCCCTTGATTTGGAGAACGAACACCCTGCCTCTGGGAACCAAACCACAGCTCGGCTCCTCTTCCTCTACTCGACAGACATTCCTAGGCACCCAGGACGCAAGGCTGCCTCTTCCTCCCCCGTGCTGGAAAAAGAAAGGGGCGGGGAGGCAACACGGGGGCTCCGCCGTCGCTAACGCGTCCCTAGATGCTCACTCCGAGATGGCGTCAGTCGGTCCGGGCGAGGGGTGGGCCGCCTGAAGCGGGCAGGGAGAAGACCCAGGAACGCACAGGGAGGCGTGGGCCCGAGGCCAGGCCCTGCAGGGTCAAGAGTCCCAGAGTGGCTGATCTCCCGCCCCTGGCGCCGCGCTGCCCTCGGTTGCCAAGGGCTGGGGACGCACAAGCATTACCTGTAAACGAAGCAGCCGCTCCTGCCAAGGGCGGAGTAACGGTCAGCCCCCGCAACCCGCCACCGACCGCGGTCCTCCCCTGGAGACCGCAGCAGGGGCAGTCCTCAAGTTCCCTGGCTGCCGCGGGCCCAATGGCCGCCTTTCCTATCTCAGCCAGTCGGCGCCAACCGCCGCAGCCACCGCCATCTTAGGATCTCATTGTGGTGGGAGAAGAGGGGAGGGGGGACTGCAGAAGGGGCTACGAGCCCCGGGAGACATGCGCCGTCTCCGCGGCAACGGCCGCGCGCAGGCGAGAACTCGCCGGGGCGCGAGCCGCAGTGCGCCGAGCGCGCTAGACTGCAATCACGTGACCGGCCGGAGTCTGTGTTATCACTTCTGGCGCTGATTACACCAACGAACAACCAGAGACTGCAAATCCCAGAATGCCACTGGACCCGGGTTCGAAGCGTCCGCCGGTCGGCCCAGAGGGATTAAACAAATCCCAGCATGCTGTGCGTTCCCGGCTCGGAGAACGAGGGGCTCGAGGCCTATGCGGAAGTGGATTGACCATCCTTGGCAGCTGGAGAAAGAGCGGAGGCGCATTCCCGTTTTCCGTGGGGGTGTCAGCTCCGGACGGTGCCGGATGGAGGAGAAAAGACCGAAGTCCGGGATCGCTGTTGTATTCCTTCTCCACCCACATCCCGTTAAAGAAAAAATGGAAACAAAAGGACCTTTACAATCTAGTCCTAGTTTTTCATCCATGGGAGTTCCTTGGCCGAAAGCCATATAATTAGTGGGAGAATCATAAATGTAAATAATTAACTCCACATTCGATTAATGTCCTATTCTTAGTTTAGAAAAACTAGATGATTTAAATCAGAATTTAATATTGAGAAACTTTACAATTACACTGTCTGAATTCTTTTAATTTACTCTTTTTCAGCACCAACTTTTTTTTATGGTTAGTAAATTGACAGGTTTGTAAAACAAACAAAAAAAAGATACAACAAAGGGACAATTAAGGCTTTCGGTGTGCCTACATGAAAAAACTGGTCAATATTACTTGAGAGCAGTGGCATTCTATTTAGGCAGTTTGTAATCGTGGATTTTTTGTTTTAAGCATATTAAGGAAGGAGGAATGAAGAACGGCCATCAGGGCTCCAACAACAAGTTGTTCACAAAACCAATTAATAGAACGGATCTCAATGCATAATTCAGGTGAACGAAGCTCTTCCAGCCTGCGGTAATTTGCAACTGTATCCAGGTTCAGTCTCAGTGCAAGGGTCTTTTGACACTTCTTTTGTCATACATTTTTTAGTACTTTCCATGTGTCTCACATTGCTAATTGCTTAGGGAACAAAATCATTCCCCTTGAAGAGCTCATATTTTAGTGAATGATGGAGAAACAGGCTGTGATGTAAATAAATTCTATTTTGTTAGAAACAGAGTGATGTGGGGACTCAGGGCTTGGAAGGACTAACCAGCATGTCTTTGCTGTTAGTCCAAAGTGGCCTGGGCCCTTCTAATTCCACCACTCAGTAGCTCTAAGGTCTTGGACAAGCTACTTACCCTTTCAGGGCCTTTTTTTGCCCCGCCTATAAAATGAGGGGGAGGGAATAATAATAATGCCTAACTTGGAGGGATTTTTTTAGAGTAGTATTTATTTTGTATAAAGCAGGATTAAGCATTTCACATGTTGTGATTTTCTTAATCGCACAACGATCTTGAATGCAGTGATTGTGCATTCGTTTCATTTTACAAATGAGAGGTTAAGTAAGTCCCAAGGCTCTTTGAGTGGTAGAGCCCAGGTTTAACCTGAGTCCTACTGACTCCCTGTAGGGATTTTTGGGTTAAATAAGACAATGCATGGGAAAAGTACTAGCATATGATAAGATTTCAGAATATTAGCTGTCGTCATCATGATCATTACCATTTTGTTTTATATAGGGGGGTGCAAAAAATAATTTTTCCTCCTACCTTTTAAATTCTTTGCTGGGCTAATAATCAAATTAACAGATTAACAGCAGAAAATGTCCAAAATTATTTGGATATAACTTGTGGGGGGCGCCATGAAAATATGAGACCTAATGAAGCATTGGGCAGCTGAGACTTATATGCCATTCTGGACAAAGAAGAAGGAGACAGTGATCTGGAATTTCAAAGGGAAAGCAGACAATTTAGAGGTAGATAGACAGAACAAACATGTAATAAACAACAAATGCTTGCTGGGCCACCCAAAAACAAGGGTACACAGGAGGAAGGAAGTTCAACAACTGGCCTTTGCTAGATTTCTGTGGGGGTGGGGGAGGTGGTATCTACCATGTTTAGTTTATATTACGATGTGTTAAGCAGGCTTTTTCTTTTTTTAAAAAAAAATGTATTGGTCTATTTTTAGAGAAAAAGAGAGAGGAAAGAAATGTTGATTCGTTGTTCCACTCATTCATGCATTCATTGGTTGCTTCTTGTATGTGCCCCGACCTCGGATCTTACCCTTAACCTTGGTGTATTGAGAATATTCTCTAACCAGCTGAGCTACAGGGCCAGGGCTAAGCATGTTTTTCTATGTGAATTCCTTCAGGCAGGTAAGGAGGAAGGTAAAAGTTTTCTCCTGAACCTTGTTTTCTTAATAACCAGCATAAAATCAACATCCTAAAAGGTATATTTTGGGGTGGCAAAACTTTGTTTCCCCTCATATACATATACAATTATTTTTAAGCATGTAGAAGCTATTATCGTTAAAATAATTCAGATTAATTCAAAAGCATTACTGAAATCAGTATGGTCATTATGTTTCTTGAATTTATGGACCCTGAAAAATGTAAATAGTATTATGTTTGGTAGAAGGAGGAGTCTGAGACATTTTTACATTAAAAAGGGGTCCGCAAACTCAGATATAGGCATTACAGGCTTTAGTAGGGGAAAAAGGAAAACAAAACCCAAAACTACAAAATCATCCCAGACTTCCAAAAACTTATCCAACTTAGAAAACAAACCGTAAGTGAATAAATCAGTTTAGTGTCAGCATATGAAAGTGGCAAGTAAATGGTACAGACAGTGAATGTTTTAGGAATTCAGAGAAAGTACTGATATATTGCCCCAAAGATAATGATTGTTCCAGGGTTTCTGTGTGGGATGAAATTGGATGCAACGGTCTGGTGGAAATGTAGATGGAAAGCGTGAGAGGCCTCTAATGCAATGAAGCAGTTACTTTTAAGACTAGTGGCAGGATTTAAAACACCATATGGAGAACAGAGGAGGGGAAGGCAAGGAGAACAGGTGGTAGTGGCAGGAAGAATCAAGTCAAGGAACTGGATTCGGATGGTAACCGAAGTCAGTTTGTCATGTGGTGAAATATTTGTTTCTGTTTGACACTAACAAAGGGGCCCTTACAATATAACATTTTGTGCTGTATTGCTTATCTCCTTGACGTGTTCTCTTTGTTCTTTAGCCACACATGGATTGGATGCATGGCTGGGTCAGAAAACCAGCTTTTTGTACTTGTTTGTATCCCAAATGCCTTGAAGAGTTCATTTATTTTGATGTAGATTCATTTGTTTTTGTGACAGTTCTTTGCAATACCTAGTATTAACCTGCAGGTGGTGACAGAACTTAAAGGGAAAATCTTCAGTGGCTACTGCACATACGGCTATAATAGAATTTTATGATTGCTTTTGTTATGCGGTTTTTGATACACCCAAGGGAATATATGGCATTTATGTAAATTATAATGTATAATAATTTCACTCAAGAATCTACTACCTAACCTAAAAAATTAGAATGTAATCAATATATTTAAGGGTCCCCTGTGCTTTTCTTCAAATCCATTTTCCTTCTTTGCAGACATAAATGCTATCCTGAATGATGTTGATGAGTACTTAACCATAATTCCTGAATTTTACTCATGTAACTGTATAAATATGCCTAAATAATATATTGTTTAGTTTTCCTTGTTTTCAAACTTTATATACCGTAACTGGTATCATACCGAATATATTCTTGCTTGACTTGCTTTGTAATTGAACATTATGTTTCTGAGATTCATACACATTAATGGGTGGAAACACAAAGTCTATTAAGAATACAAGAACACAATGTAAAATTAATTTTGGAATATTCCTGCAACTGAATATAACTGACTTTATCTTTACTCTTCATATCAGCTTTGTGAGTAACGATGAAAAAAGAGATTGATCATGCCAAACAGGGACTATTTAGAGGCCTCTGACATAATTCTTAGGCCTTTTGCTTAAATTTAAGCGCTTTACCTCTCTGCTTTAAGCAGTTTCTCAGTCTTGGTAAAATTGTCATTGGGGGCTGGATGGCTCTTTGTTTTGGGGGATTGTCCTGTGCAATGCAAGCTGCTTAGTAGCATCCCTGGCCTCTTCCTGCTGGATGCTTGTAGCTCCCCACCTTCCCAGTTAGACAACCAAAAATGTCTGCTGACATTGTCACAGTGTGGGTTCGAGGAGGAGATGGGGGCAAAATCACTCCTGATTAAGGAACATTGACCTAGTCTTTGCATTGAAAAAAACGTTAATTATGATTTTTCTTATGTACCTTTTTTGCTCAAAAACCTGAACGTATAAATAATTAAATCAATTAATTGCTATATACAGTTATATCGACTAATTATATCAAATCCACATGCATAAGTAATGTTCCAAGGCTCTTCTTACCTTCCTCTGTTTTCCTCATATCTAATTACCATGACATCTCTCATTACTGCCTAGTTTGCTTATTATTAGACTCCAAAAAGTCCCAGTTGCTGCTCTCAACATAGAATGTTAATGTTTGTTCCAGGCTAAACTGCCCTTTCTGTTGTCCTTTCCTTTAAAAAAAAAATCACCAATAAATTTAACACTATGATTCTGAAAATTCCATTCGTATTGGCATTTCATTAATTTTCACATGGTTTTACTTCTGTAGAGTTATAACTACTGTATACATCTTGCTATACTTTCCTTGTACATATCCTTCGGGGCCGGGGGGGGGGGCGGGATTCTATGTTTTTACCCTACCTTCTCTATTCATTGGAAACCTGATCAGCACTGTAACAGTGTAGTCCTGTGTGGAAAGCTTGCTTCCCAGGGCATATCAAGTTGGAAGGTCTAAACAAAGGGATGCGGGTAACAATAAAAACAATACAAAGAAAATAGTACACATCTTTTTCCAAGCTTCCTACCACCCCTACAGCAGAAAAGTATAAAATATAACTGGATGTAGATTGTTAATTAAGCAGAGATGTCAGGTAATTAGGTATGGAAATATGGGCAGATATAGATTTTGTTTTCTCATTCATATAAAAATGGTAGAAAGGTATGGAAATTTATTGTAAAAGCCCTGTTATTGAAAATAAAATTATATGGAATATAATTCAACT